ACGTCCTCCTCATGATCAGAGGGTAATAATGGTTCTTGTTCCCTGAATCCAGTAAAAGCTGAAGGTGGAATTGGATCCTCAGAAGCAGGTTGTTCTTCACGTTGTTTTCCATGAATAGTTGATCCAGAGGAAGGTCCTGGAGGTGGTGGTGGTGGTAATATATTAATAGAAGTAGAAGCATCTGGAATATAAACTCTACTTCCTGAAATTCGTGGAGTTCTTTTATAATGAGATGTTGGTGGTAATTCTAATTCCTCATCTCCATCATCCGCCAGATCTTGATTATGCATTTGAATAACTGAAGACATAGCTTCTTTATATAATAAATTCTTTAAATAAGAACTAATTTTGATATATTTTTAAATGAAAATGAAAGATAATGTTTATGATTGATTTGAATAATTTTAATTTTAAATATCTTCTGTTGATATCCACGTGGATAATTTTTGTTGAATCTTGATGTAATATAATATAATTTGATTGTTGATAATGATTAAAAGAGAAATTGATTTGATTATAAGCTAATTTTAATTTGTCAAGCCCGGGCAGAGTCACCAATATGTAGAACTTATAACCCAACAAGGGTTATACAGAGCTGGAAGAGGATAATCCACTAATAAAATGACTAGTAGAAGTTGTCTAAGGACTGCTCTTCTAAAACAACACAATCAGAAAGAGCTCTGTTGTATTGAGTACTGATAAGGCACCAGAGAAATATATCTTCACACGTAATTTAACTTCAAAAACACACTTTGTATTACTATCAACACTGCTATAGTGTTATTCCCAATTGATAACTGAAAGAAATAAGCAATATCTGATTGATATTATTCCCAATAAGTCTTTATGACTATAATACTAAAGTAAATTTCTCTTTATAATTGTAATAAAGGGTGTATTTAAGTGACCAGGTACTATTAAAATAAGTTTATGATGATAAACAAAATGATAATGACGTAAATGATAAAGAAAAAAAGGGGAACAACAGTCCCAAAACCCTCTCAAAGTATATATAACAATGTACTAGAACTTTTACAATGGTCAACAGCCTCCAAGCCAATCAAATCCGCCCAAAATTCCCTAAAAACCCTATGATGACACAATGTAATGATTTTGTTACTAATAAATGATGTAATTTTCACAGCTAAAAGTGATCAATGACGCAATAATATGATGTACAGCACTTCTTATGATGAATACAGGTGATTTTTTCCTTGTAAACTAGCTGAAAACCAATTTTTGAGATTACGAATTTTTTCAGATGTGCTCCAATTTTTGATTACTAAAGTGCATCTTGTAGCCCACGTGTTACTGATCATTTCTGACACCTACATGATCTACTTCTGATGAGTGATGAGTAAGATATTGAGTTGTGAAGTTAAGGTTTTTGGTGTTACATGTGACTTGTGACTGTAAATTTGAGATTCACACCAATTCTTTATTTGCCTTATAACTTTTTACACACACCTCCGTTAATAATGATTTAAAGTTTGTACATTATGTAATCCACTCTTCTGCGTTGAATGAGCCATCTACCAACCTATTCTGACGTCATTTGACATATGTAATTAGCTGAAAACCTCCATTTTCCACGAATTTCACCCATTTTCTTCACTTTTCACAGCTACTACTCTCTTTTTCTTGCTCATGTAATATGACATCATTCTCTATAACCTTAAAAATCCCGGAAAATCCTCTTGGCAACCTTAAATTCCATCACTACCACTATTACACATCAAAACTACACGTGTACCTTTTGTTTACCAACTTCGAAAAAGTACCTTTTCCCTAATAACTTTTGTTTCTGCTTATCAACCTTGAAGATTAAAATTGTCATAGTATAATATAATGTTGTTCTTTCATATTCTAACCTCATAATACCCATAACTTTATTTTTACTAACCTAAAAACCATTTTCCAACTTTTATACCTATATTTTCGAATTTTTCTTATGTTTTTCTTTCTTTTCTTTTTGTAATAAGTTTGTAAGTAAACTATAATAATCTTATGTATAATGTGAAATAAAATTGATGTAATGTTGACCTAATGACCAATACATAAGCCTACAAGAGCTTCAATTGATCAAAAACCTCCATTTCGAATTTTGCTTTCCTGCTGAATCCTGCTAATAAACTGGTAAACTGGTAATTGTGAATTTTTTAATTGATCCCATAAATTGATCACCACACCGGTCAATAAAGCCCTCATTAGCTTGGCAGATGTTCTTGATGATACCATCATCAAGACTGGTCTTGAAGTACTTCCAAACCCATGAGGTTCGGGCGATAGTGGTTGATTCAGTGCGGCCGGTGTAGAACTCCTACGCAGTGTAGCGTAGGCTGAGCCGGGGAGGGGAAGATTCACCACTCGTGAGAGCCGATGAAACTACAGGCGCTGTGAAGCTGCCCTCGTCCTTCAAAAATGATTTCGAAATTCAAGATGAGGCTTCTCTACTTTGCACTTCTTCGTCTTTTAAATTTTCCCAAAACCTAGTTTACACCACGTGGTTGGATGCGCAGCGTTTGGCAGAGTCTAACGGTACTACACACGACTCTACACAAAATTGTAGTGCTGAGATATGTAAATTGGAGTAGTAAAGAGGGGGGAAGATAGGTTTTATTGACGGTGGGGTTTTATCCGGTGGTTTGAGTACTCGGACTCAGGGCCAAATTTCGATTTCAAAAGTAGTAAAATATAATAATTAAATAAAATAAGACTCTTTATAAAATATAAGACTCTAGACACCAATAACCGAGCTCAGCAAGATAACAAACAATAATTGGACTCAATAACACTCAACAACAAATGATAATAACAAGTGAAGTAAACTCTTTCTTTGTCTCTGTTATCAAAGAAAATCTAACTAACACAACAAAAAAAACTAATTGATTTACTGCAGTACTTCTAAAGGAAACTAACAACGGACTCGATCATAAAAACACTAGCCATTTACTCGATGACACACTTTATTATAACACACACAAAAAAACAAATCCGGACACACACATTCATCAACAGATGGATTGATTCCTTTTTCTCCTCTCAAGTGAAGCCCTCTTTATACCTTTCCTCAATCCCAAAAACTCGATCATTCACATCTCAACCCCAACCTGTTTTTACTCCAACCGATCATTCTCCAAGTTGTTTTATCATTCATGTTAATATGTAAGTACCTTTCAATTCTTCTCTTATTTGTTTTCTTACATTGTTCATCTTCTAAGATTGATTTCTATCTAATTTCGATCTCCAGCTCTGATTTCCATCTTCAACTATCTCATTATAGGGATTGTCCCCCAAAATCGAACCTCTTATCAATACCATCTTCAACATACTCTATCCAATTTCGATCTCGAGACCTGATCTTAATCTAGTTTAGCTTTGGACATCAACCTCAAAAATCGAACTTCCTATCATCTTCTAATTTCGATTTTGATCTTTGATGAAGATATGATTCAAGTATGAACTAAGGTGAGTCTTGTATTCATCTTCTAAAGACTGTGGCTCCATTCAAATCGATCCCAGCCTCTTTCTAACCACCACCTTCAAAATTTCTCCTCAAACTTTCATCTCTGATTTGTTTTGATCTTTCACATCCCACTAACGCTTTCTAATTGTTTTGTCTAGGTATATACCCCAAAATCAATCCTCATGTTCAGTTAATCATTTCGATCTCAGCCTTTGAATTTGATAACTCTTCTATGTATGTTATTTCTTTTTCCTCTAGTTTTGGATGGTTGCTGACTGCCTTTAACTTATTTGTACATATTGTAGAGTTTGTTTCTAAGCTATTAGCCCGGATCGATCATCCTAATCTCCTTCAGGTGAGGTTCACTTTGATATCACATTCCTATCAACCAATTCTGAATTGCTTCCAGCCTATTACCACCTTCAGACAGTCCTGTTCACTTGTTTTATTGTTATTTTGTTATTGATTCCTGATCAAGCTCTGTTCTAGGATCTAGTTAACTATTGATATCTTGAATTTATTGACTCTTGGTCTATTATGTTTCCTCCTATTGGCTTCTTTTATTTAGTTGTAAGTTAGAATATTGAAATGAATGTACATGTCTTGATGAAAAAGTAATCAGAACAAATATGAGAGTGTTGAATAAAGAGTCTGAGAGACAAGATCCCTGGATAATTCAGAAAGTCTCAGGTGTAGTCCTTAAAAGAGATTTAGACTGTAGATGTTTTGTAAGATTATAAATTGAACCCTTCTGACATTTTGATTTCCACACCGGATTCAGCCATTGATATCGAATCCAAAGGTTCAATGCTGGAAGCAGTTGAAGACATGAGGGGTGAGGCAGGAGCAGAAGCTGTACTGGGGTCTTTGGTGGTATGGATATCACGAGGCTTGGCCATTGTGCGTCTGGGAGGCATGGCGATGAGGGCTTGGTGGAATGCTGACTCAGCAGTTTAAGATTTGGGAATGCCGAGCAAAAGCCTCGGCCACTTCGGCCACTTCGGCCGGCCTCCCCTGGTCGAGGCTTTTGCTTGTATCATCATTAGGTTTCAGCAGCCTCGGCCAAAGCCCTGCCTAAGGAGCCAGAGAGCTCGGGCATGTCGGGTTTCCCGGGGCCGAGGCCGGGTCGCAGCCTTAGTCCAGGACCCTCATGAGCAGATCTCCTCATGAGAGATTGAGAATAATCAGATGAAGCCCAGTCCGAGAGGCTGAAATTCATAAGTTAAATCACCAACAAGGACACGCCTAGTGACATCCATATCCCCTTCACTTGATGAGGCACTTCAAGCAATGCACTAAAATATCATTTTCATTGTTGTCGAGTATCTAAATTGATTGAAAACGTCCATAAAGGCGTCAAGGACACCTTGATCCACAAGAATCTGGTAAAATGCAAACAAGGCATTACAAAATTCACATTTCCATTTACAAAAGACACACTCCATGTGCATTGTAAATTCACAATCATTTCACCAGGAAACAAAAAGGAAACAAAGAGTTAACATGCTTCATGAGAATGTAAAGAGAAAAAAATCTAATCTTGATGAAGGTAAGAGACCATTTTTTTCCCTTTGTTTTGTTTATCAAGTTCGATATTTTTCTTTAATCTTTACAAAAATAACAGATTCGAGAATTGAAGATCATACATATATCAGTAATTGGGCTTTATTTCAAACCCACTCAAATGTCCTACAATTATGGAATAGTATAGGAGAATCGAGCTTACTTCTTTTTTTCCTCGTCAAGCTTTTGTCTTCTATCTGCTTTACCTTGAGCAAAATCGATCTGTTAACCGAAATACATAGTTAGGAAAGTAAGTTCTTTGTGAGTATGTTGATAGAGCACCAAGCATTTTGAGGATCGTATGGGTAATTTGATTCGAAGACACTTACAGCCAAGTATGTCTGTTGACCTGGTCACAGTGGCACGAAGAGAAATCAAAATATCAACTATTGTTTACAAACTTCGAGCCTGATGACATTTAACGATCACCTACCGATTAATTTTAATACTTTGTTGGCAATCTACCAATGACAGAACAATAGATATCTCAGTGTTTGTAATTGTCTTTCAAAAAAAATGTAATGATTTCTGAAGATTTACCAATCCTACAAAAAGCTCATCATGTTTCTTTGGGTCTTTAGCTGCTTTCTGTAAACATCACACAAAACATTATATCAGTAAGCAAATGGTACAAAGGTCTAAGTAAGAACAACATCTTATGACAAAAAAAAATCAAAACTAAACCCACATTGAGTGCCGGTACAAATCCAGAGTTTTCATTCTCACTTGCAGCCCTAGCCATGATCTTCAATTGTTTTAAATCATTCTGAGAAATAGATTTCAATCGATCTGTTGGTCCGATTTCTAAATCTGATGATAAACTGAGGCCAAATGGTTCCATAAAGACTTTGATAGATTTTTCAAGTGAATCTCCAGCAATTCCATCGGATATCTGAAGTTCATGAGTATTTTAAAGTGTATAAATCAGAATCAAAACTATTTCTACACCATTCTATCTTTCAAAATCGTTTACATAATCTTTTTTTACAACTTACTTGGAAATCTTCATATGGTTTAGGAACAAATCCCCCACCACTATTGTTTCTCCTGGTAAGCTCATGATTGCCTGAAATCTCTTGTGTAAATGTACTAGGGATTCCCAAGGACCATACTTGTGAAACTATGAAACTAGTCAAGAAGAAAATACGTCCAGCGCAAAAATGTGACATTCTTATGATGTGAATTGAAATGAACCGCTTTTCAAAAGCAGACGAACACAACAGGAAATTGCAATATGGGAAATGTGAAAATGACTAGGGTTATCAGTGAATGTTGATCGGATGAAGAAGGGAAGATATAGTATGGTGAACAAGCAAATTTAATGCTTGTGGGTGTTGATTAGAAATAACCTCGCCACCTAAGGCTATATATATGGAAGCTGAGCCATGCAGTGCAGTGATTCACTGATTGAGACAGCTTGGGTTAAGCCAAAAAACCTTCCAGGCGTAACATGCTCACATGCGGTGATTGGCAAGGTGTGGTAAGGTTACTTGACTACGTTCAACGTGATTCGCTTTGCTCTTACACACTTATTCCGTACGGCTCTGAATTTTGACTTCCTGAAGGATCGGTTCCTCAATTCGATGAAACTTTTCAACGCCTTCTGAAGTGAAAAGTTTTGCGTGGAAGCCTCTGCCCGATACTCAAGTGATGAATGAAAAAACCTGGATACGCCTTCTACCAGCCCGAAGATCCACGAAGCCCTTAACAGATTACGGCCGAAGATCTTTTCGCTTATACCAAGCCAGCCAAGAAGAAGCCGTTCATCCTACCAAACACGACATCTCCGTTCCTACGACAGCTAGAATCTAAAGAACACCACCCCCAGAAAACACGACAACGATCAAATATCCGATATGTACCTATCTTTCAACCTTCAACATTCCTGAATCCTTTCAAACTAGGCTAACTCTATTTTCCTCAAAAATCACAAAATGAATCAAGAGATCACAAGGTGCTCATCATTACATGCCAGATCTCGACTAAGACTATCCATCCCAAGTATCCACTTTTTTGTGTTACAAGCTTTCAGTGGCAGGCACTGTACCTGCCATATGAGAACCGATTGGTGTATTCATAGCCAAAAGCAGGCGGATAAGAGATAATGTTAACTATCATGACTAAGCAGACCTGACAAGTGTCGGTTTTGTGTACGAAGCGGTCTTCAAAAATTACCAACTCCACATTTACAACTTATCATCAAAAGATTAGTTTTAACTTAATATAATTCAACATTGGCCAGGGCGACCACAGGGCGGTGCTGGTGCTTTATAATATGATGAAGGACTGATGTTAATTGGTTTGGTTTGGTAGGATGGAAAATCAAAAAGTAGCATTCCGATCGATCAGCAAATTTGGCTTGACTGTGACAGACTGCTTAGTGAAAATTTTGAAAGTCATACTCACAACTCTTTGGTGTCTCGTTTCACGATTTGGTGAGAGTCACTTAATTGATCATCGTACCGAACCCGTTGGATTCGGAATCACCATCCCATCAGAGATCAATCTTAAGAGAAAATTCATAGGATGACTTCAAAACTGTGCTCACGTTATGTCCTTCTGGACGGGAAAAGCACATACTGCGCCTATAGAAATTGATAAAGACATATTAATATGAAGGAAGGTGTAGATAGGTGGGAAAAGATAGCAAGTTCACTAACCTGCCAAAACAGCAACAAGAAGAGTCTTGAAGAAAATCATCGAGAGTGATTATTGGTAGAGGAATAATGGTGGTTGTGGTGTTCAATAGGTAGGTAAATGTCTCTGTGAAGGTCAGAAGCCCAACTGGCTCTACCTCGGGAGCTTTTATAGCTATTTCGGTGATATGTGAAACACGAAAAATCGAATGTGATGGAAGCCAAATCACCAATCCATGGTGCTTTTCAATTGAACCGCCTGCAAGACGTCATAAGGATTGAGCAGGAATGAGCGCTGTGCACATCGCTTAAAGTGTTCTTCATTCCGATGAGAGTGTACCTGATCCTTTGGATTGCAATTCGAAACCAGTGACTACACAAAAAGGTCAAAAGACCCTTCTCAATTAAGCTTAAGCATGAGCCAACTGGGAGGGAGTTTGTTAAGTTCGAACTGGAACCCCTCTTCCGACGCGGCTACGTGACACGTCTTCGAGAGCGGACGTGGCCGCGTCGGAAGAAGGGCAGCTTTACTGCTCGATAGAGCATAGCTGGAACCGGATAAGCTTTAAGTGCATCTGCCGCTCGGTCGGTGAAGAGTCAGCTTAACTGTTGAGATGGACTTGGGATTACCAAAAAGACCACTCGTCTCCACATATATTTTTTCAACACTAGGAAACTCGAATTTCTCTGAGCAAATCAACCAAAATCATCCTAAAACAATGGCACTGGCAGAAAAACATTGAGATGGAAAAAACAGGCAATACATAGGTTGACATGATGGCTTCAATTGATTTCACAAAAAGAAAAAAAGAAAAAGAAACACGACGTTTAGAAAACTTTTGGATTTTTGTTTGATTTTTTCAACCACAGAAATGATGTTTATAAGTACCACCTTGAGCCGAATTTCTTATAGCAACAAAATCATTTGGATTTTGAAAAGCTTGATTTTTAGGACAATTTCCATTTGAACAATAAACTTGTTGACCATCTGGACCTGTAAGTCTAGTAGGAATATTAATTTGACCACCAACATAAGAAACTAAAAAAAAACACTCATACATATTAGTTATATGAATGAAGAATTTTTGAAATGTAAGTCAAAAGAAACAAAAAACTTACGATCCCAATAAATTCTACCATCAGTTCCTAAACCATATTCAGAAAGAAGAGCATGAGAAGTGATCCCAGCGTCATTACAAACCAAACCACCATTACAAGCACCAGTTTGACAATTCCCACCAGATCTGAATGAACAAACAAAAAGTAGATAAAAGAAACATAAACCAAGACACATCAGTTAATGAATTTCCGAAACCTAAGACAATCAAACTTAAACCCATTACAACCAGTTCTTCCCCAAGCACGAATTCCTAATTGACGATCTGCTACACCGAAATCAGCAGATTGACCTGAATTAAGTTGTCGACCAAACGAAACCGATCTATCAGGTTGTCCATTCGGAGCTTTTCCTACAGCTGCCCAAACTGTATAAGGACAACTATTTTGAAAATGAATTGTATAAGCCAAAAGACTAGTTGATAGATATGCAAAAGTCACGAGACGTAAGATCAAAGAGGAGATGGTCATCATTTTTCTAGAATTAGATTTTAAGGAATGATGAGGGAACTGGTGATGATTAAGGGGAATTGGGATGAAGACTTTTTATATTCAAGAATCGAAAGTCAGATCACTCATGAAGAAGCTGGTGACTGATCGATTTGCACTCTTGCCGAGCAGGTGGCTTTGATCGAACACATCAAGCACGAGCAAACTGCACACAGCAAACAGCACACAGCCCGCCTGAGTCATATTACCAAAGCACATTAGCCAACTTCACCTCTCTCTGTACACCTAACTATTCGAAACAATGATCATTGATCCCAGCCACAAAGTTCTCTTAAACGCCCATTTTCCTGATGACATCTTTATTTTCCTTTACCCGCCACTTTGTTGTAAACCAATACGGCTTTTCCATGAGACAAGCTAAGATCTTTCTATTTGTTGAATTCATGATGACATCATGAAGCCGAAGTTGCAGTTAATCGAATTCATTCCTGCTTACTTCTTGGAACTAGTCCCATGAGTTAAGCCTATATATCAGCATATATTAGTGCGTTTGCTGTGAGCTGTGGCTGTGATGAAGATCTTAGAAATGTGATTCGATCGTTTTGATCCAAGCGTTTGATGCATTTAGCCTTAGTGAGTTTGATTTGCATTTCATTCGGCTGAGTGAAGCTTGATTACATTTAGGATGAGAAAAACCGTTTGTCTAGTGATATTAAAAGACTATATAACCAAGCCTGGTAAAGCTCACTATATATAAATTTCCTAAAACCACACATCAAAGCTTTCCTTTACAACCTTCACCATCATCATAAAATCTTATTACTTTATCCTTCTTTGAACTTGTCGAGATGGTATCATCACGTATCTCAAACTTCACCTTATTAGCAGTCGCGATATTTTTCACCGCTGTTTCCGCAAGTAGTCATAAGATCACTGTAAGTTTAAGCCATAAACATCACCAGATCTATATTCTTACCACTCACTCTTATGATCATCAATCAGCTCGTCAACAATTGTGGTACAGCCACGAAGATGCAACTTCCAGGACGTGGAAACTTTGGCGCAGGTACATATACCTTTGACGGTGATATCCGAGGAGGGATTGCACAAGCCTGTGGTGATTTAAATGGAATCGGATGTCATTCGATTGAATTTACACTAGTAGATGGTGTTACTTCTGCAGACATGACACTTATTCCTCCTCATAAGTTTGATCATCCTGCAAAATTCACTCTTAGAGCTTCTTCAGGTACTCAGAGTGCTTCTTGTCAAAATTCAAACTGTGGTCCGAAAAATGCTTTTTATAAGTTTGATGATTATTCTGCTCAACGTCAAGTTACTGGTCCTGGTTCTAGTATCTCTATGCAATTCTGTTAAATCCTTTTTGACCTAGGTCTTTTTATGGTATGTTCTTATTTTTGTTCTATTTCATTGATTGATTGAAAACATATAGGATCAGGATCACTAACGATGTATTACGATTCCTCAATCTTTTCTTCTTACTCTTTTCAAAAAAAATCAAAGACTTCATGATACAAAAAATCGAATTGTAACTTTTCCATTTCTCTTTCCTCATCTTTTTCCAATCAAATCAAACCAAAATGACTATTCATGACTCGCTTTTTGAACCATTGGAACCGTTTTGTCTTCTTTCCAAATTCAAGTTTGTTCAATGATTTTTCAAAAAGAAAACAGTGTAACATATCGATCCGGTTTTTCTTCTTTTTGGAGACTTTGACTTATATTTGTGCAAAGAAAAACTTGTAGCATAAAGATTCAACTTTGGGTACGATCGACCAAAGTGTATTGAATTCAGATAGTTTCTTTCTTAAATTCTTTTCAATTGATCACCGAAAAATTGTTGAGACACCCATTCGAATATAAGAAATTGAGAATAAAAAGATTGTAAGGAAGGTAAATGAGACCTTCTCAGGTTCTTGAACTTCCTGATGATTGTAAATGACCTAACCAAACAATCTGAACTCTCCTTGAAGTTCAAAACCCTTGAAAACAAAATAGCAAACGTGTAGACCCGACTCGGCGCCCCCATTCGTCTTCTCACAATACCAAAGACTAGGCGCACCTTAATCAACAGCCTCCACTGGGTGAGCAGAAACCAGTATAAGAGTAAAATTTTCAAATTGTCATGAAATTTGTTATTTTATACTTTTTTTTTCAAAAAGAAACAAAAAAAGTATAAACAGATAAGAATTAAAAGAAAAAATCACATCTTTATAAATCTAAACATCAAATCCTTTGAAACCCAAAAAAAGCAAAAAAATCAAAAAATGAAAATGAGAAAAATATATATGAAAAAATGGTCATTAAATGTCATCAAATATATGAAAAAAAGTAGAAAAACCCATGCCGTCTTTTTATTCTTGCAAATGAAAAAAATCCAATCAATCAAACCAAAAGATAAAAACCCTTTTAATTCTTTTTTCAAATCACTTCTTAATCATTCAAACAAACTTTTTTTCCCAAACGTAATCAACCTTTTCTGATCAAAAACAATTTTAAAATAATCATGATAATCAAGAGAAAGACGATTCGGTTTACCAATTTGAATTCTTTCAAATGATTTTGTATAACTCAAAACTTCAAACGATTCGACCCCTAAAAACTGTTGATTTTCTGTAATGATAATCTCAAATTGTTCATCAAATCCCAAGTTTTCATCCTTTATTAATTTAAAATACGTCCAATTTCTTGATGCGTTTCCTGATTCTTGATCTTCTAATTGTATAAACCTACTTGCTCCAGTTTGAGCTGCTAAATCATCTATATAAACTCTCAGATTTGTATCTAAATCAAAAGATGGGGTATCAGTTCATGATTGGTTTTCTTCAAACGATTGCTTAAAGATTTCATCACTAACGGTTTGCAAGGCTTGGAATCGAATGTAAATCTTTCAAGGCTCTTCCACCTGGATAATTATGGTATGAAATATAACTCGTAAAAACCGTTTGAGAGACAGTGATCAGACAAATCAGAGTAAAAAGGTACCATCTCAAATTCTTGATTGAAGGACACATCATCCCACTGTCCAAAACAACGATCAGTAGGAATCCAAACTTGAAGGGCTTCAAAAAGATTTAGGAAAAACCTTACATTTTAGTTAAACAAACTGAAGTCGATAAATTAAAGATCGGAATCACATAAACAATAAATCTCCATTCTTTATGTTTTAAAAAAGACATTAAACTAATAAAAACTAAACAATTGATGCCTAAGAATGAAGTTTTTCGATCAATTAGAAATCCAATCAATCCAATCGGATAACTTAATCCTAATAACTTTGGTAAACTTTTGGTAAAATATTCGTGCCATGGCATAATCTATTAAGAAAGGGACCAAGAAAGAAGAAAGAAGAAATACTCAATTTTTTCTTTTTCTTTTAGAGGATTTAGATGGATTGATTTTGAATTCCGAAAGAAACTTACACCCCAATCTGAAGAATGACCTTGAATCACATTAAAGAAAACAGAAGATCCTTCTGGCCAAGTGAACTTTTGCCAAAAATAAGAATCAAGTGGTACAGTGACCTCTAAAAGATTAACAAGAAAAAAACAAAAAGTTTAAAAATCCAAACATCCAAAAAAAAGAAAAAGTAAAACTCGAACCCAAAGAAATCGTACTGACCAAGTGCAGCAAAGACCACTAAGAAACCTCTTGTCAAGACTTCCCAAATCGATACAGATCTTGAGATCAAACTGAACAGAGTGATTGGAAAGAGTAAAGCCAAGAGTTCAAGTCTAAAGATCACTGCAGCCAATGATAACAAAGATCCACATCTCAATAACCTTCTCCTAACAAACGAAGGAGAAGAACGACGTAAAGCAACGACAAGGTGACCGAGACCAGCTTGAACTAAGCAGAACCATCGGGATGATTTGAAAGAGACAATGTTATGATTAGATTTCAACTTTCAGATGATAGGGAAACAAACAGGGTTTTTTTTAGAAATGAGTTTAGACGGACCAAGAGAGAAGGCGAACATGTTAGGTAATGTACGTGAAGAGTAAAATGGTAAATGGAATTGTAAACTTGATAAGATGATCGTCATCATCCCAATCGAATTCCCAAACACATATCTTGTACAAAGTCCAAAGTAAGCAATCGAAGATGAATTGATGATAGCCAAGATTGATCGAACTAAACTCCAAGATCGAAAACAAAGCAGGTCATTAACTTTGTTTTCCTTGAAGTTTTAAATGATCAGTACACTCACCAATTAACTGTTGACCATATTTAGAATTCAAAAAGCCCAAAGTTTTGAAAATCGAAATAATAGGAGAAGAAATGAAACCAACGATAATCGAACCTAAAAAAGTACGAGGGATCGGACCGGTAAAAGTTAAATGATCACCTTGATGTGCCCAAGTTGACCAAGTCGATTGAAATAGATAATCATAGATTCCATGTAAATTAAAGGATTCTTCTACTTTCGTGAAGGGATGAATGAGAAGTTGAAGTTGAGTGATGATCATCAACATTAGTATTGAAATTAAAAATAAATTGTAATTCATCATTTCATGGGTTTGAGTCTGTTGTCTAATCTTTTGTTTCTTCTTCTGGCTAAGCTGATAATTTCTTTTCCAATGTCTCTTTCCTCTTTTGCTTTGGCTTGTCTTGTGCTTTCGACCGGTTATTCCTGATGACCTTTGGAATGAAACTCTTGCTCGTTGGCGTCTTGGATGTGGAATCAGTTGAAGTGAATGATCAGTGAGTTTGATTAATCGTTATCGATTCAACTTCATCCTTCAGAGTTTATTAAATCTTCCAAGTTGCATTGGGATGGCTATTATCAAATTGTGATGGTGATGATTAGTGTTCTGATTCTAAATCAAGTCAATTCCAAACACACATACCTTTTTGGATCACACCACTCTCATGGTAACACCACAACAACTCTTCACCAAAACTTGATCAAATCCCAAGATTGTCAATCAAAACACCATAAACCCATAATCATGGCAGGCTGTACCATACATGGGTTTAGGGAAGTCTAGGGTCAGGGGGCTATGACCTGGACCCGGCCCTGACAACTCTGCCCGATACTATCTTTGAAGCCAACAGTCCGCGCCCTGTCACATTAAAACTAGTTTACTTTTTTGCTCAATGAACAGAAAAAAAAACAATCTTGATCTTCCAACATAGGCTCTGTATACATAGCTCTTTCTGATGACCAAGTAGGCTCATATAACCTCTAAATACACTTTGATACACATATAATGGCAATATAGCTCAACATCATTGGATGTTTATATTTACTGGCTCACAGAGTAATGGAAGGCGTAGATGATGATCATCTAAGAGATTCAAAAAGAAGTGTTACTGAATTCTCTTTCACAATGAAAAGTTAAGCTTGGTAAATTCTAAGATTCATGGAGTAATGAAAAAAATGATCTTAAAGATTTAAAGACAAAAAATTAGGATCATGTTGGTAGAAGGTCATAGATGAGAGTTTACAGAACTCATGGTTTGCTTAAGGTCAGTGGGTGAAGTGTGGGTTATTTATTGTGTAAGGTGGTCTCAATGAGTCTAGTTCTAAATTGCTCTATGTGTATGCTAACATGGGAAAGAACAAAACTTCACACAATCATGGATTGGATTGGTCTGAAGCCATGTGAAGAGCTGGGTTTACTTGCGTATAAGGAACACGTTAGCTCCTGTTTGAGCATTACTCCACGATGATGACGATCAAGCTTGATCTGTAAGCCTTTGAAAATTCAAGAAGTGAAACCAGTGCTGGTATGCCTTGAGCAAGGGTTTCAATTGTATAGAAGATCAACTGAGAGGTAAAGACAGTGGTGGTGGACACAAAGTGTGCTGTAGAAGGTTCTAATCTAACAGTTCTCTACTCAGTAAAATCATAACAATGCCTTCTTTTGGCATTTGAAAGTAGGGAAGTATCTTTGAGTCATATGAAAAAAGATTGGGTATCAAAACCAATCAGGTCAAACAACAGTGATAAAAAGCCTGCCATTCCTCATGTCTGTCTTGATATGCATCACATTGATGTTAAAGGCTTGCCAGTTTGAATGAAGAGATTTGAATGCTGTGTAATAAGTCCACACTATATCATCTTTGACTCCATAATCTTGTACGCGGAATTCGTAGGTCTCGGTGTCGCCTGCGCCAACCCATTTGAATTCAGGACCTTGACCAACCCATTTAACAGCTATGAGCCGGTCGCCTAAGAACTGGGCGGTCTGGGTGCCTTTATAGACATCTACCGCCACCGGTACTGATGTGCCTATGTTGCATAAACCCAAGGTGATCAAACTTGCAAGGATTGATAAGGTTTGAAGTACGAGATGTCCAACCATCTTCTTGATCTTTATACCAGTGATTGAAAAGTTCAGCGCAATTCATCAGTTTTCCATACCGTGGAGAATCCCAAGAAAGGTCAAAACATCAGCACTCACACTTATATAGCTTATGTCACGGTGAGACAAGAATTGAGGTCTTGAAGATTGTAAAATTTCTGTTAAATGTTTGTAAGATCAAATGAGATCAGCGATATGTCTAACAAACGATATTGATATACAAATTTCCGTACATGTTGGACCAAGGAAAGAAAAGCCTCACAAAGACTACTTTTAATCAATCGATAAAGTAATGATTCAGATTCTAGATGGAAAGGAGGGATCCAAATTATAATATTCAGAAGAGCTCAGGCGGTTCTCTAGTGATCAAAGAGCGTATGTAAGGAGTGAGAGTACAATGTCAATGATGTGGATGAGAGAGTCAAGCCTTCGAATATATAGTGAAAAAGGTGATGATATGACGAGTCATTCCTACTGAGTTGAAGAACATCCTGCTCGCGAGACCCCTGAAACAAGGATAAAGGACTTGCGAGTACAACGCTGCCTACCTTTCTGGGGCGCAAATACGTGAACTAAAGATGATAGTATTGTTTCATCTATGTAGACTATCGATGATGATGTACTCCGTAATATGTACCCCTGATCATTATTCTCGAGACGACTTCTTGATGTCTCTTCAGAATTATTCAATGAATTTTTGATGGTAATAGCATAGAATCAGATTAACTCCGTAGTGTCAGGAGACAGAGAGCTTTATGTAAGCGTAAGCGGGGATCATGTAGATGGTTTCAATAAGGCAAGATCGACAAGCATTCGGCACTGTAGGAGAAATCCATCATTGTGCACTCCGCACCATGCCGCTTGATCATCATTCCCGAGACAACTTCTTGATGTCTCTTCGAAATTAGTGGTTGGATTTTTGGTGGCAAGGTATCATTGACCCAAACTTGATGGTATGCATTATCTCCGTAGTGTCTGTCTGGAAACAATGACCTTTGTTTGAGTTTATGAGAGGGTCTGATGTGGGTATTTTCGATAAGGCAATAACAAACTTCATTCAGTATTGAAAACCGACAATGAGAGTAAATTCCTTTTCAGTTTCAGAGAACAAAACGCGTCGGTCGGTGTAAGCGTAAGAGGGGGTGATTGGTCATCTTGGATAAGGTAAGATCAAAAATCATCCTACAATATCCATAGATTGAAGCCCAGATGATTCGATGTATCGCTTGAGACAGAAAAACAAGAATTAGATGAAAATAATTGATTGGAGTTTCTGGGATATATGATATAAGAGAGTCGAAACGGTCACCCATCTCGGAGTTGCGGCAGGATAATAGAATGAGAGGCATTAATAATAGTATATCTGCTGATGGGAGAGGTTAGATTAGCCAATTCAATAGTTTGTTGCTTGTTGGATATGTGAGAGCGAAACCTGTGGTAAAATTCTTGATGTCGATTGCGTCTGGGTCCAGGGTTATGGCGCGAGGAATAGCAGAGACAACAATATGATAGAGAAGACAAGCAGTTCTAGAGATATTCAAAGACATGTGTTTTGTATGGTAACATAAAGACAATCCCTCAGGTGGACATGGGACGCCGAAATGAACAAGTGCAACGCCTAAAAGTTTTTACGGACACTTGTCATTGGAATGTCGCGAATGATGGTACATGTGTAAGTAAAACGTGTGTAATGTTCGGACCGGGTTTTCTGATCATCATATTACCTTGCAAGATAATCATGACGTCATTGCCTGTTTACCAAATTTTACCACTTTTTCTTTACCAGCCTATCATTCATCCTCACTTTGAAAATCTTTCTCTAAAAGACCTTCATCATTGTTTAGTTATTTTTAAATCCCACCCTTCCCACCCTCCCTTCTGGGTTGTGAATCGATCTTTCCGGTGGCTTTACTGGAGGATTTTTTCATGTGCTGTTTAGTTTGTTTTTCAAAAGCAAGTTTTGATTATGTTTTAATTATGTTTATTTATTTTTATGTTCAGTTGATAGGTCCATCCATTCCCTCTTATTCGAAATGGACGTTCCAGATTTGATGGTACAGTCGATTTCATATAGATTGTCTGTGGTGAAACTTTTTAAAATCGACGTGTATGGATCAAGGTAGCCAAAACTCTTGTCCCAGCTCGAGTATGTATTGTTTTGTCCAGGAAGAAAATCATGCTCTATACCTCGCACTCGAGGACGACGAGTGAAGTTAAAGAGATTGTGATATATCTCAGAGCAAATGGGGTTAAGTTCCCATGTGCATCTGGTGACGGAATCGGTTGATATCATTTCCTTTCCTCTGAGCCCGGTGAAGCGAGCCTATCAACACACCGGGGGAAATGTTTGTGTTCTAGATCGAGGTCGGGAACTGGCTGATCAGGAGGACTTTTTCGATTCCCTCTTTTCGACAAGTGATACTTCGGCAGCTGAGCTCTCAAACCGAAACAAGTGAGGTGGCTTTTGGTAGTCATCTCGTCGATCGGTCACCGGTGTCTTGAGAACCATCTAGTCGACCACAAGCAAGAAAAGTCCCATCCCTCGGTATTTCCTTAGAGATTAAAAGAAACGTGCACCAAGCAAGCTCCGCAAGCATTCACCATCTGTCTTGACTTTCTTAAAAAACCTTTACCTAGCCCCCTCAATGCTAACCTACTGCTACCTATTGCTTCCCCATCCTCTCTATCAAAACACCAAAGTAGATTCACTTATCAATCACTGAATAGACAGAGTCAATCTGTACCATCCTCAATTAGCTGTTGTTTAGTTTTCAAGGTTCATCAAATCAGCTCCGGACGTGCTTTTAATCACAGCATCTTTCAAACAACGAGTCAACCGGGTTTGTAACTCATTGTCTGTACTTCAAGTAGCAAGATTATACGGAAGTAAATCCTTCTGGGAAGGGATCAAAAAGATATTCTTCTGATTTCGAAGTCTGAACTCACTGCCTTTGAATTTTTGGTTTTCAAATAAATCGTGAGTCTCCTTCACCTGCTATACATTACCTGTTGGACTCCTTAACTAACTGTCGTGTTCTATGTTCGGACATTACAGCCATTTCATTCCTTGACAGATGAAGTCGTTCGCATTCCTCGTTTTCGTAGTTTTGGCGACAATGCACATACCAAGCATATACAGTCACAAATTGTCGACTCTCGTTAAACGTCAAGTTGGACCCAAGTTTCAGACTTTTTGTGATAAAACTGGTGGAAAACCTGTGCCTAAGAATGATCTCACTTGCACAGGTGAACCAGGAGGCAGGCCTGTTTGTGCGATACCGAGAAATACGAAAAATGTCAGAGGCGTGGTAAAATGTCTTCCTCATGGTACTCTTCAAGTCAATTTTTCTGATTGTGATAAGAACAAGGTCAAACCCAAAGTGCTTTTTTGCGAGGCACCAGTGAAAGCTAAACCACTTGAAGTTTCTTGCAAAGAAGGAGCTACAGGAACTGCAGTCAAAGATCCGCCTCAAATCACTTGCGTTGTATCAGGAGGGAAACCCAGCACACAAGAACCTCAATGTGCAGCTAGCACACCTAATTCATTTGATAAATTCTCAGGAAAAATCCAATGTCAGAAAGGGGCTACTTTGACTTTCAAAGGTGGGGCTTCAAAGGGTAAGAATCCTTGTCCTGGTAACGTGGCAACTTTGTTCTGCACCCCTCCAAAGCAATCTGGCAAATGAATAGCTATGGAATTGTACATAGACCAAAATTTGATTGTTCAGGTTTAATAATGACTTTCTAGTTTACCACATAGTGACCTATAATTATGTCAAGTTGATATAAAGTTTCTTTTTTCTGTGATAATTGTGTCTAATTGTTAATGAAATAGATTGTGATTGCTGATGTTTTTCAGGCTTGATCAAGGGATTCCGCATAGTAATTCATGTTCCACTTGGGCAACAAAGTGCCCAGCTGATTCTGGAAGGTTTCCTAGTATACAGTGAGTTTCAGAGCGGTCACTATGTACCAGTTAGAGCTGAAATACTCTCAACGAAAGCAGCTCGACGGTTAAACTTGACCTCGCTGAACTTCTCTGGTGTCAGTAGAGCACTCAAAGATCTCGATCATCCAACGGTGTTGTTTTGTCAAGAAGAGAACTTGCCCATACTTGCACTCAAGGAAGACGAGTGACCTCAACGAGAGGCGCGAGAGATGGCCTGTGGTAAAAATCTATTAGCTTCATCCTGATCAATTGGCTCAAAATACAAGCACATAAAGTCACCTCAGAAACCGAACTTATAGACATGTCAGGAGATGTGAAGGGTTGTGTGATTGACTAGCGAGTTTGTCTTTTCGTGGATGATGCTTCGGATTCTAAGCTGGGTCATGAAACTCAAGAACACAGGTGAATTTTGGTCGTCACTCGATCGGTTGTCTTGTCCCGATGATTCAAGACAATTTCGAGAAAATATAGTCACTTACCTCGGTGACCTCAAGATCAATCATGCTTCGACTTGATAAGACAGGCCAAGAGCCAAACTCGGCAAAACTACTATATGCATGCACTTCAAATTTGTCACGAAAGTAGAAGTATCACCACACCACCCTCAACGAGCTACCGGTTTACCATCCTCTCTTCCAATTTTCTTAAAGCCAATTTCATTGTCATTAATTGCAGAAATACTTTCATAAAATCGATTTCAATTAGCTGTCGATTAACTTTTAGCGTTCATTGGACAGCTCTCACCGTGACTTGAGATTCACCACGTGTCATCTCAATCTTGGAATCCTTCCTTGGCCCGTCTCTCTTCTTAAAGTGTGAGTTTAATTTGTCCTTCAATTCGTCCACTTGATTGCATTACCAACAGTCTTGATTCTTGTTCAATCAGGACCACTACTCGAATCCTTCAGAGATGAAGTCATCTGGTCTCATCATCACCGTGATTCTCACGACGATGTGTATCCATATACCAAGTATATCCGGTCAGAATATGTTTACACTAGTTAAACGTGACGAGCTATCCACTTTGAAACTTTTTTGTAAGAACACTGGTGGGAAACTCGTAACCCGAAATGACTTCAGTTGCACAAAAACATCAACGAAAAGTAAACCAACTCAACCTACCTGTGGAGGATTTGACCATAAGAAAAATATCAGAGGTACATTAGGATGTAGTAATGGAGGTAAACTTCAAATCCAATTTAAAGATGTAATGTAGGAAACACACCAGCCAAAACGATTGATGTGAGACAGGTTCAAATCCGGTAACGTCTAAGCAAGGTTCATTATCTGATAAAGAAGGATCCAAAATTGTTGTTAAAAACCCACCCGAAATCAAGTGTCAAACAAGAGGACGATCACCAGGAGACGTCAAACCTCAATGTCAAGCCATCAAAAAAGGTCAAACTGGTCAATTCTCTGGCAAGATCTCATGTCCAAAGAATACTGATCATGTTTTCAGATCTGGTAAATCTGTGGCTGAAAATCCTTGCAAGTCCAAGAGTCATGGACAAGGAGCGCCTATTTTTTGTACTCCGAAGGAATGGGCTTGATTGATTTGAATCATGTCAAAATTGGTCATGATAAAATTGATTATGTGGTATGGTTGTTGATTTGGTATGCTTACTGATCATCTTATCAACCATTGATGTATATAGTCTGTATCTAATCAGTGCTCATGATGTATATACCTTGTATCTAATCAGTTCTCATTTACTTACTTACTAAAGACAATTCTGGCTTCGTGGTAAAAAGCTCCAAGCTCATGAGGTGACTTTACAATATATGTGAATCATTCAGATTTTTCATGGGTAAGGTCAACTTAAAGAAATTGTTTTGAACATAAGAAGAACATCCTCCTATATCCTTTCCTCAACTTTTGAAGTAAATCAGAAAATCAGATCACATACATCAATTCTGAAACAAATCCAAGACTTCATTCTTTCGTGCATTCTTTTTTTTTTGGGTGATCAGAAACCGAGGTATACATATCAAGTTGAGAAGAATTGAGATCAATTGATCTATAAACAACGGTTGTAAATTGATCCACAGGGTAAGGGATCATATAGAATCATCATCATTTGTAGCATCACAAGATGTACCCTTCTTTTTTGCAAAAAAATGCTGTTGATCATCTGATATTTCTGCATTGTTGTCTTCAAGCACAAGCAGAATTATTAACAGGTCTAAACAGATTCACAAGGGCTATCAACTGAGCCTAAGCAACCCTGTTTCAACTTTCTGATCTCACATGTTCACAAAGAAAACCAAAACCAAAACCATCTTCCACACGAGAAAAAGAAAAACAAATCCAAGATGTAAAAAACCTTCATCCAGTAAAAAAATCTCTTCCGCAAGACCTTGCCTTGTGAATCGATGTACAGTCGTTTTCAAAAAACTTGCCGAAATTTGCCCGCAAAACTCGAGCAATTTGGCGGTGAATTAGCGGCAAGCTTTTTGAAAACGACTGTACGTTTTTACACTTTTCATCTGTCTATGTAGGTCTTTTGTTTCACTCAAAAACCCTCAACGCTTGAAACTTTTTGATTCTTTTACAAATACTCTTCTGAAAAGATTCCTTCAATTTTTCATTTATGCATGTTTGACATGAAATAAGTTCAAATCGATACCTTTCTCTCAAAAAAAACCCCGAAAAAAAATCATGCTTTCTGTGCATTTGAAAAACCAGGAGTGCCAAGCCTTCTTTATCTTTCTCAAGAAGATGTCAGTGTGTTTGTTTTTAAAGGAGTCAAACTTTAATGATTTCATTTATGATTTATCATTTTGTTTGTGCTGATTTTGTTTCCTTTATCAAAAGGGGTCATCTCTATATGTATGCAAGTATAGATACGATTTTTTATTTTTTTTTCATAACAAAAAATTAATTCTCGTCTTCTAGAGTCTCTGCAATTCTAGACCAAAGAAAGTTGTATGAAAGACTTCAAAGTGAACCAATTAAAATTAAAACTAGATTTTACACTTATAAAGCCTTCTCTGTCTGTCTGTCCCTTTAAACTAGCTTTTAGCGCTATCTGCAATCTTCAGTGTTAATTTTTTTTAGTCTAAAGTCAAATTTGATTTGAATTTGACAACATACACACAACAGTTGAAAGCAGTTGAAGGATTGGTTGTGAATGATAATTGATTTTCAATTTCCCAATTTCCTTTTTTAAACCACTTTAACACTTTATTTCTTTTCACAACTCACTTCGTCTGTTCACTTCTCATGTTCTTCATTCAAACCTCTCAACCATTTCAATCACACTCACAATCACAACCATCACAACACCCACACCCACACCTATCTTCAACTCAAACCATTCATCAAGACAACGATGATCCACGACTTACAATACCCAATCAACTTTTCAAGAATTTAGTCAATCCATTCAAATTCACCAAATCGAACCCAATCTATATCATCGCGCTCTTTTATCTGTTCACGATTCAATCTGTCGACGCTTTTTCACTTGAGTATCAACAACTTTATACACGTCAAGTCTCAAATTCATCATCATCTAATCAATATTCACATCATGGAATCGGTTTTGACATTCAAGCTGTGCTCATACCTATTCTCGTGTGTTTATCTGGTGTCTTTGCAGGTAACTTTGCCTCTACTTTCATTCAATGCTTTAAATCATAGAATCACTTTTAATCTGACTTCTCTATTATAGGACTCACACTTGGATACATGAGTTTAGATTCAACTCAACTTTGTGTCCTAGCCAAGAGTGGTACACCAGACCAACAAAGGCTTGCAAAAAAGATTGCACCTTTAAGAAAAGATGGCCATTTACTTTTGATCACGTAAGTTTTCCTGTCAGGTGGCATTCGAAAAAAGGTTCTTACTCACCTAGTTGCGCGCCTCACTATCTAAAAAGGTTATTAATTGCGAATATGGTTGCAAATGAAACATTACCGGTTGTATCAGATAACGTTTTAGGTGGTGGTATCCAAGCTGTGGTCGTTTCAACTGTATTGGTTATTATCTTTAGTGGTGCGCTCTCCTTAGAATCTTTCTGTCATCTTGTGCTTATCTAACGTCCATTCGTTATCTAGAAATCATACCACAGAGTGTTTGTTCAACTTATGGACTTCAGATAGGTGCCGCATGCGCCAAACCGGTTCAATTATTAGTTTATTTACTTTACCCAATTTGTTGGCCCATCGCTTGGCTCTTAACCAAGATTTTAGGACCTCATTCGGGAGTCATCTATCGTCGAGCTGAATTGAAAGAATTGGTTAACTTACACGCGAGTCAAGGTCATCATGGTGGTGATCTAAATCAAGATGTAGTGACCATCGTCGGTGCAGCCATTGACTTACAAGAACGGGTTGTGAGAGATTCAATGACAGCTTTGGATCATTGTTTTATGCTCAACGTTGATACTCAATTGGATTACGAGACTTTGGTGGCTGTACTTGAAAGTGGCCATTCTCGAATCCCGGTCTATGAAGACACACTTGATCAAAATGGTGTCACTAGACGTAAGATTTTAGGTGCATTGCTCACAAAACAACTCATCTTGATTGATCCAGAAGGTCCGTCTTTGTTTCAACTTCCACGCGTCCGACAGCATCTCCAGTTTCTCGCTTACGTTTTTTCTTCTTTGGCGTCCAGATGGAGTTCCTCTCAGGGACTTCCCACTCAATCCACTTCCTGTTGTTGCCGATAACATGCCACTTCTCAACATCTTGAATTCTTTCCAGGAAGGTCGCAGTCATTTGGCCATTGTTTGTCCCCGTCAAGCCAAGGTTGCTTTTGCACCACTTCCGGCCACCACGCCAATGAATGAATCTAACATTGAACCAACAAATGACTCAAATATTGACATCAAATCCGAGGCAGATCCTACTGAGAAGAAGTCTTTCTTTAGATTCTTTCAACGTAAGACTAAGAAATCACCAGAACATGAATTCAAAGTTGAAGAACCACTGAGCAATACAATGAGTGAGAAGAACACCTCAACCACTCAAGTCAATCATCCCTCATTCTGGCCCTTGTTGACCGATCAACCTGTGGGGATCATCACACTGGAAGACGTTTTGGAAGAATTACTTGGAGAACAGATTTATGATGAAACGGATCATGACGAACGCGGTAACATGGCTGTACATCCATATGTACCACCGGAAGCAGCCGAAGCCATGCGAAAATCAAGCTCTCGTACCGAGTTACCTCCAATTCCTATCAAGAACAAACGATGGAGCTTGAGTACCTTTCGTTCCTCCTCGATGACAAAATCTCGCAACCAGCAACCTAAACAATCGATTGAAGATGAGCTTCTACATGGTAATTATGAAGAAGTTGCAACACCTACTGACGATGAGCATAACCCCGCGATGGATATGACACATGACATCAAGGACAAGAACTGCGACAAACCGCTCGTTAGTCATCATGAACATGTTGACCTTCGTCAAACCAACAGCGCCTGTCCACCTTCCATCATTAGCACAACTAGTCACGCTTTTCCACAATCAATCAGCAGTCTCTATCCTCCGACCAATAGTATCGGCCCCAAGATCGACTTGGGAATCCAACCTAGATCAATGAAGTCATCTGTGAATGGAGGAGGTACTAACACTACCTTTTCAGATGCGATCAGTTTGGAAAGAGGCAGAAGAGCAGTTGCAGTCGCTAGAGGAGCTGTACCTGGCATCCTAAGCCATCCTCCCAATACGCGAACCGGATCATTCAAAGGCCCTGCTAGTTCTTCTTTACTCAAAGTTTCTAAACGGATCAGTAAAGAGAAAGAAAGTAGACTTGATGATAAAGAGGACGGTAAAGAGGATCAGAAAGAGGACGGTAAAGAAGAGGATGATGGTAAAGAAGAGGGTAAAGAAGCTCGTGATGGTCAAGAATCGATTTTGAAAAATGAAAACCAAGATTCAAATCAAGAACCGAAATGAAATGGAATGAATTGAGTAATGAACGAAGACTGAATAGTTTTTTTGATTTTGATGACTATTTTCTTTTCAAGCTTGATGTGAACACACCCACACACACACCTACACACTCCAATGATCAAATCTCTTTCCTTTAAATTGTATTACTGAAAAAGATTTCAACTCTTCTTCAAGCTACACCATCCAGTCTCAGACACACACACAAAAAAAACACAAAAAACACACAAAAAAAATATTCAAACAAATAAAGTCTATTCAAGAGTTTGGTTTGGTTTGATTTCTGTCCTTTTTGTAAATTTAGATCTGTATTACATACTTTGATATAACTATCTGACTCTTTTTTTTGTACTAAGAACATCCTCTTTTTTATAGTTTTGATTTCTTTTATCCTGAGAGACATTGATTTATGATTGAAATTATAAATTTAAAGCGTCCTTGATAAGATTGAGGTTTGATTTGAGATTTCAAAAGGGTTTGTATCTGTTATCAATCTTGTCTCTTGACCAGGAAAGGACAAGTGATTTCAAGGATATAAAGGATCTTTGAGGGAAAGTGGAGAAAAGAACTCATGAGATTTAGGAGAAAGATGATGGATGACTTTGAGTTTGTAAGCAATCAAAGTCAAATTATTAGGTCAAGACTTTCAAATCAGGAATTCTTCACTTTCATCAACTCAACTCATGATCAGTCTAGTTTACCAATCTAACCTTGACTAATCAACTGATTTGTAAGTCATGATCAACTCTTTATCAGCACAAATCTTTCTTCCTGACCAAATCTCAATAAGCGAACCTTGATCAGTAGATAATCAGCCTCACTTTGAGCCTTACCATCCAAGATCAAATGGTTGATTCTTCACCTGTTTGAGCTCATGGGCTTGTTTTATCACAGTGGAGAAGAGTCAGATGACTTTATGCTTACTTGAGTTTGATACCTCTTAGTTTACTAATCAACACTTCCTAATAATCATCAAATGAGATCAGATCACATCAAATCATGAGTCAGAAAACAAAAGATTAGTAAGATTCTAAACTGATCTTGACAAACAAGAAGAGAACTTTCAAGAATCACAATTCACATTGAGGTGGTACACTAAGTAAAACAAATTGGTCACATAAAAGGCTTATTCATGAGTTGGGAGTCTCTGTGATTGCTCATTGATGTTCACAATGACTTTTGAGCTATGAGACAAAGTAGTGTTGTCAAATGGTATTGGAAAGCATATTTTCTGTAGTTTCCTCCTATTCTATTTGATAGTTTGATAGTTCTGTGCATATATATAACCAGGGCTTACTTCTAGGAAGCGCGGAAGTAACAAGATGAAAAAACAGGCTAAAAATGACTGCGGAATAGGGTAGCTCAATGAAATACGTTAACAGGTTTGTTTGCCAACTTTTCTTAAGAAAGTCGAGGCAAGGATACCTATCAACGCACGGGTAACACATTCTGAGTATATCAAGACAAATTCTGGAACTTAGATCATTCTGAGATCAATTTTTACTTAGTAGTTATCTTGATATGTACATATTCAGAGAGTTGAAACAGTTTTTTTACTAGACATCAATCTTTACAAACAACAGATTTAGGAAAGGTATTTGAATTTAGATAAGTTGAAGAATCATTCTATTTTTGAAACTTGGTCATAGACATTATGGATAACCACTTTTTGAAGCTCAAGAGGAAAAGGATGAAAGGATTTGCTGACCATAGAATACATAAGCAATAGCAGACAAGAAGATAATCAAAAGACCATGTTGGATCATAATACCTTCAAACTCTAAAAATCCTGGTTTAGATAACTTATTTAAATCTCTGGCTCTATCAGAAAATGAAGATTGAAATTTCTTGACCGGGTCACTTTGAGGTGGACGATCACTTTTGGGTACGTTACTCCATGGAATGTTGATACCGAGGTCTTTGAGAACAGCTTCTGAAGTTAACTTGGATCCACAAGCAACTACTGGAACACCAGTACCAGGACTATTTGATACAAAACCATCATCAGATTAATTGGAAACAGACCAGAATCAAAGATAAGAGAAGATGATCTTACTGAGTAGAAGCCCCAACAAAATACATTCCATCGATAGTAGAATGGCGAATTCCAGGTCGAAAGTTAACCACTTGAAGAATATTATGAGAAAGACCAAGGATACTACCCTTGAAAAGGTTTAAATCCTTTTGCCAAGTATGAGGAGTATTAAGTAGTTCAAACTCGATCAAATCACTAAACCTTTCACCAGGAAGAAGATCACCAGGTTGTAAGATGTTTTGTTCAAGTGTGTTGATCACAAATTGACGAGCACTTGAAATAACTTGATTCCAATCTAATTTAGAATTCGATTCATCTAAATGACCTATAGGTACGAGTATGATCATGGCGTCTTTTTCAGGTGGTGCAGCAGTTGGATCGATTCTACTTGGTACATTTACATAAAAACTTGGTTGATCTGGCATTAAATGTGAATCGAAGATCGTATCAAAACTTGCTCTATAATCTTTTGCCAAAAAAACTTGATGTGTAACTAATGAAGGCATCTTTCGCTTGATTGCCCAATAAAACGATATTGAACTACATGTTAATTTTGAATTCTTACTTAAACTTTTGCTAAATGAAGTGGCTGGTAAAAGGTTTTCATAGGTCCAAACTAAATCTGCGTTTGAGATCACTGCATCTGCACTTAAGACTTCTCCTGATTCGAGTTCTATACCAGTAGCTTTAGATGATTTATCTTCGTTGGTAAGGATTTGTTTTACTGGACTTGAATATATGAATTTCGCTCCATTTTTCTTTGCGATTGATTCTAGGGAACGGGGCAAAGCGTGAAAGCCACCTTCGGGGTACCAGATACCTGTCAAGATGAATGTAAGAGATGTAAGGAGCGTCAGAGGCTCAAATTGGCAATATCTGTAGTATAAAAGATTCATGACTTACCTTGAGCAAGTTCGGTATATTGAAGTAGATTGTAAGTTGCAGGTGCATTGTAAGGTGACATTCCCACTGAGAAAGTAGGTTGTACGAACAACATGTAGATGGATAAGATGTTAGATAAAGTAAATGCTATTGAAATGAATTTAGATGGATCACTCACGATACATGCTGGAAAATGTAAAAGCTCTTCTCAATCTTTCAGTCCAAAAATAATTACTTGCTCTTCGATGAAGATTATCAAAGACGTGGATTTTCATAGCAGTTCTACATGACGAAAAAATGCAAATGAGACTTCTTTGTATGTCACGAGTCTTTGTGAAGAGTTATCGGATTACTCACATTGCCAAGTCAAGCTTCAAGACGGAAATGAGGGATGGAAAATTCTTGAGAAGGACATGTTTTATCGAAGCCTATTCGAAGGTAGATCATGGGTCAATCGAATGAAAGGAAATCTCAAGTAAAAAGGACAAAGAAAGACCCACTTCGTAGTGGAGTTGACCCTAAGCATGGTTTTTTGACAAACACAAAAAAAGGTCAGCATAGAGATGAGATGTCTGCATATACTCAAGATAAATCAAGAGTAGAAATTACTGACTTCAGCTAAGAAATTCAAGAATCTAGCCCAACCATCTTTACCTTCGAAGCGCTCGATCTCAGCTTTCATCTTGGGCATATCGGTTGTCAATGTAAGCTTCTCCTTATCATCGTAGTGTACACTTTGTAAAGGGAGAAACAGAGTTGAGACAAAGTCAACATGAGTGCGATGATACGGCTTGCGATGTCTTGATGAGAACTCTGTGCAAGAGTCTGTTTCTGCAAGAGTTGATTGAATGATCGAATAGAAATCTGCTACTCAACATATAATTAGGTTCGCATTTCTTCAATTCATACCAATCTTCAACCTTTTCGTTCAAATCATCGAAAAGGTCTTCAAAGACTTCTGGCATCAAGTAAAAACCTATTGAATTAACCAGACATTAGCTTATGATCAAGGCATTTGAGTGAGTCCTTAAGGCGGGCAAGAAAAGCGTGAGATGATCATGTAGGCTCACTAGGACCACGATCGAATCGGAACCCATCCTTTTCGATCAAACTACATCTACCACCACTAAAGTCATTTCTTTCTACAACAGTGACGTCTAGTCCCGCTCGAGCAAGTCGTGCTGCAGTAGCCAGACCACCAACGCCTGCACCTAGAAAACGATCAAACAAGCAAACAATCAAGGATTAAAATCAGGGATGAATAAAAGTAATCGAATCTCAAGAGAGAAGGAATTGAATACCTATGATGATGACTTTTTTCTTTTGAGTTGGGCTGGCGCGTTTATCGCCATCAACCATTAAGGAATAAGATCTCATGCTCGGGAATGATTATAAGCTGTGTACTTCAGTCAGTAAAAACAAATATTTTTGAGAGTATGTCGAGAGGGGAAGAGTTGGCAAGGTTTTCTAGAGAATCAAAGTGGTTAAATATTTCACTGAAATCACTCCGGAGGGGCCGATTTACCCAGTCAAAAAGGCTAAGAGATATACGATGGACGTGTCTCCCCTTTGTCAGATCGCTGATGATGGAAAACGTTACTTTGGGTCAGCAACTGTATCGGTGGGGATATATATTCGATCCCCACCTGCATACTTTCAGAAACTGACAGGTCTGATATCGGATTATAAGTTTGATTTCAGTTGATAATCCGTCCAATTAAGATATCACTGCTTTAGGTTTCTGGATGGTGTGATAAGGAGGTTTTTAAGTTTCTATCATCGCTAAACGGATAATAAAATCATGGAGATTATGAGGAATTTAAGAAATCTTGTCTCAGGTATCCTACATAATTTTTTGAGGATGACTTGTTCGATTCCATGGGGATCGAACACCTGCGATCGAAAGCGACACACACAAAATCATCTCGCGATGCTCATAGCCTCATTGCAATTGTTAGATATTTGGTGAATTGCTTGGTGATGAATCGATTGATATCTTGAATGGGTATGTAGAAAATACAATCCATTCGCACTTTAGAAACTACGCTTGAAAAAGCTCTTCATCGATCAAAGACGCGATGAAGATCGCGAGCGGAACCCAAAGAAGGGAGTGGCGCGTCTACACAATAATATTCATACCACTTTTTTCATATTTAGAAAAAGAATTCCGACTTTTGCAGTCACCAAAAGATCAGGTGTCTGAAAAGTCGCGTTGACTTGTTCTGACTTCTGATCCACTTGGTTGGCCACCGCCGTAATTACTGACTTTGAAAGCGCTTGTCACTGAATTTCCATTTACGACAGAAGTTGAACCCAGAGATGAACTTTGTGAGTGAGGGCCCGTTCGGCAAAAAATCATACAGTCATTTAAGAAAAGCTTGCCCCAAATTCCCCGCCAATTCGCTCGAGTTTTGCGGGCAATTTAGGGCAAGCTTTTCTTAAATGACTGTATACGGTTTAGCTCGACACAAGCCCGTGCACGCTATACGTCGTGGACCAACAATTCTCCGAGACAATCTCAATCAAAGCTACGAGTTGTTCAATCCCACTAGGATTCGAAGGACTCCATGCAACATCGTGGATCAACAGTCCTTCGAGACAATCTCAACCAAACTCAGACATTTGTTCAATCTGTTCAATCCTGTTAGGGTTTGAAGACCTCCATGTTAAATGAATCAAAGGTCTTTGAGACATACGGCGTCGTGAAATTCACTTGGTCAGTTGTTCAATCCCGTAAGGGTTTGGAGACCTCCAAGTTAAGTGGATTTACGGTACTCAAAGCTACATAGTTACACGTATATAGTTGTCGTATATACTTTTTTTTGGCGGGGAAAATAAAACGAATATACTTTTGGACTCGTTTTCCCCGCCAAAAAAAACTATGTAGCAAAAAGTATGTACGCGTACATACTTGCTTTGAGTACCGTAAATTATACACTGCAAATATAATGTATTTTTCCGAGGTGAAAAATGATTACATTTATTTCACAAAATGATTAAAAATGCATTAATTCTGCATTAATTCTGCATTTTTCTGCATTAATTCTGCATTATTGATCATTTTGTGCATTAATGTCAATCATTTTTCACCTTGGAAAAATACATTATCTTTGCAGTGATAAGACCTCCAAGACATTCTGTCTTCTTTGACACAAAACAGATGGAAGAATAGGAAGAACACACGGTGAAAGAAGAACACATGCAAATCAATATGCCTTTCTTATATGCCCTAGAGTCGGTTATCAGATGCTGTGATCCACTAGAGCATTCTTAACCACTGGTGGCCCAAGTTTTGATGTATGGGACAAGATGGAAAGCAACAGATATATACCGGAAATTGATCAAAACTGAAGAGGATGTATGTAGATGTGGAATCTCTCAAAGACAACAAGATTGAATATATACCAGAGCAAGATTCTAATCTCACAGCATGCAATGGTCTGTTGGAATAAATTGTGTACGGTTCAAAACCAATGAAGGTCAAAAGAGACATGAATCAATTAAGTATAGTGTGGACAGGAGGAATGGTGTTATGAACATATTTAAATGAAACACATGAAGTTGAAATTAGGATACATGGACAAGGGGTAGAAATGTTGGAATGTTTGGGATTTGTGAATGAATCACATTTAGGAAGTATTGGAAGAACTCACCAGATTGGGATTGACAGTTGATTAGAAAGTGGACATGTTGTTTCTGATTACAATATTATCATTTTGACAATTTCTCTTATATCCATGCCTCTCTTCACATTTAGAACTTTTTCCCTCATTGAGGAAAAAGATTCTAAACGTGAGTTATCACCAATTTGATATTCTCTTCTTCACTGTCGTATTAAGAATTCTACTGAACCACTACTTGATACACTCTAATGTTTTTCTTCCTCACTTACCATTCCTCTCTTCACTCTCTATAACTTTTCTCTATTAGATTATCATCCATAATCCTCCTTGTCCCATTTTCAGGTTTGTTTGAGTTTAGAACTCGTTGTCTTTTCTTCAGCCTCAGTGTGTCTTGTCAACACAGGCTGATAAGTGTTCTGTCACCTTTATAAAGGTTTGTTCGAGTTTAGAACTCGTTGTCTTTTCTTCAGCCTCAGTGTGTCTTGTCAACACAGGCTGATAAGTGTTCTGTCACCTTTATAAAGGTTGTCTTGTCTGTTTGTTACGTAGCTTAGTGTCTTGTCAAACTTGTTTTCTCACATGGTCAGTAGTAATGAATTATCAAATTTTCAGGAGTGTTACTTTTGACATACAACACCTGTTTCTGTAGGTCTCTAGCACCATCTGGGCTATGATTATGTTTGTGTGCAACTGTTGTGCAAAGGCTTGCAGCTGCACAATGCCCCAATGGTTGCGGCCACTGGGGTATCATTCAGGGTTACCAAATTCCTACATACTATGGGACTGAGCACAAGTCTTAGAGCAGCCAAGTGGGCATTGGAATCCCTTCAATCCACACAACAATTGATGTTGAGAAGGCTTACGTCTGGCACATATCATTTACAGCCTTTACTGTGTATGGATAAGACTGATATTCTACAAAAAGTCCACCAATTCAGAGTTGAAGCATCTAGTCATCTGTTCCATGGTACATGAGGGTAATTTCAGTTTGTCCCAGATTATCTGGTGAAGTAGCTTCAAGGACACAGCTCAAGCTGTGAATTGGATCCTTTCCGGAAAGCTATGCCTTTTGCCAAGGCTCTGCCAGGAAAATATGAACTATTTCCACCCAAAGCCAATCATATCAACCATTGGTATGCCACCCTGAAGACTCACCAAACTCAAGCTATGTATAAATACATAACCAAGCCAGGTCAACAGCCTAAAACCAGAATCACTACTTCTTTCCCCAAAATGGATAGTTCCTTTGTCATAATTCAAAACAATTTCTACTCCAATTGATATATGCTCCCAATAAGAGAGTTTCTCAAGTTTTTGATCATATGGCTGACCAGTGTGGTATGTCAGTAGATTCAAAGGACAGATACATACAAACACTCCAAGGTGATTTAGTTAATTGCCAAACCATTGAAATTCTTTGGAAGAAACAACATCCTGCCAGTGTCAAATTGGAAAGTCTTCAAAATACCATCACGGTCCTGGGCATTGCTGACATACATATAAATAATGTTGCACAATGTTTCCTTGCACACCATTAATTACACAGCCCCCAACTACTGGTCACTGGCAGGTAATTTCAATTTGTTTTCAAAGTAATACATGTCTGGTAGCACAATGTTATGGATCAGTCACAACAAAATATGTGATACCAGTAAAATTGAGATGATGTCATATGACATCATAAATCTGTGTAAAACTTCTCCTGTATTTCCCCACCAAGAATATATATTCTATCAACCTTCACAATTTAAATTGACTACTGAGTTATGTATTGAGAAGAATCTGGCCCGCAGTGTAGCCAGAAGCGCACAGTGCCTCACACAGCTGCTCTGCTGCCCGGAAAGCTGAGTCCCCAGGAGTTTTGTATCTCACTGACATTCTGGTCCTGATGAATATGGGTGCAGGGGTTTCCGCTGACCATATTACATCTACACCAATCTGGTTCAAGCCTCTACTCACTACATTAATGCAGGCTTTCAATCAATCACAAATTTTTGATAAAAGCCTTTTCAATGGACACCACTTTGATTGAAAGCTTGTCCATCTTATTTCCATGGATAAGTCTTCACACCTCCCAATTTTGGTGTGACCGGTCTTCAAACCGATTCTCAATCAATCAAAAGTTTTGGTATGGAGCTGAAAATTCCGGTCCATTCCTATCATCACAAGTTACAATTGGTTTTGACCAATTTTATTGGAACTTGTGTTGATACTTATGAAAAAACTTTGACTGGACTTGCTCCTGAGATTGTGGAGTTTTTGGGTAAAGATGAAGTTAACAGAATTTAAACAGAACATATTATTCCTTATTATGATAAATAAGCCTTCTTGAGCTTACAATCATCTTTGATTTGGTTTGGTTTATGAACTTATGGTGTTTTATCTCTTTGGTATACCCCTCCTCCAAACAATACTTCCAATGAAGGTGATGAAAGGACTGGATTGGACTTTGTGATTTTTTACAACAAGATAGTCACTTCAATCAAGCTCAACAAACTTGTAGTTCTTGTTTTTTTTGTACTTCATTTTCTAAACACTTGTTTACAATCTTTTACCATGCTTTCCCTTTATGTTTCTTTCCAATTGTTTATACACTTGTATATATACCTTTTATCATTTTTTTCACTTTCAAAGATCAAATGGCTTCTTTTTTGCCCACATAGTGGTGAAGCGCTCCCGCACACAAGTTCTGCTGCCAGTTGCTATTTTTTCTTCATTTTTTTTCCACTGCCCTTGAAGTTACATAATTTGAGCCACCAAAATTTGAGCTGTGCTGCCAAAAATGTGGTTGGCTGTGCTGTGAGCCAGGGTTAATTGAGGTTTAAAAAAAATCACAGATGAAAAATATCATTTTTGTACTATACTCAAGACTTGGATCTTGAATATATTCAATATTTATCAATAAACATATAACTTAAACTTAATTTTCCTTTCTGAAAGGAGCTTCTCCACATTTTTGGTCTGTGCAGTCTTCCTGTACAAGGCATCTTTCTACATGTAATTGTGGAATGTACATGAGCAGTCAAATTTTTCTGTGATTTGTTGATTCTAGGCTAAAGGCCAAAACTTTTGGAAAATACTATTTACATGTATATCAATCAGTCTGAGCATGATTATGTATTGCCATATGTTTCCTCAAAATTTGCCCCAAGGGCAAACAACTTCAGAAAATGAAATCTCCATATACAATCAGCTGGTGTTGGGAATCTGGCACACTTACTAGTTGAAGAGCAAAGGAAGACATCAGTTACAATTGATCATTGGGTCTCAGCATTATGAATGAAACCCACCTTGCCACTTGAATTCGGCTTGGCCTTTGGTTTAACTGCCACTGGTGCTTGGTTCTTGGCTTTCTTCTTCACTGGAGGTCAAGGTTATGCAATTGTTACACAAAAACAGAATTTTGATCTGCCCCTTTTTCAAGGGGTAAATTTGAAACACCTGGAATTTGGTTATAAAATTATTGAATGGTCAACAAATGTCAACAGGTTTGTTGTCAACCTCTTTATGGTCATTTGACTGCTTGTTAACAACTGCAAAGGTGCATAAAACTAGGATTCTTTCTAACATCAAAATGTCTGTTCTTTTCTTCAAACCATCCTACATAGTGGTCATCAACCATCTGAATTGGTTTTTTCATTTTTTGCACACTACATACATGTTGTAAACAGCAAGTTATGATGTGCTGAGAACACATTGAGTCATAAAGGACTAAAGCAAGTAGCATACTACATTTGTACTGTTGATAGAAAACTGCATTGATTTGAAGCAATATATTGAAAGTAGGATTGGAGTAATGATAGAAACTATGTATAGTAAGATATAAAGCCAGAGATGACAACCAGCAACAAGGTAGGTTGAGCTAAGACCTGATGAAGGTGGAGTGAAGCACAAAAATAGGTAGAGTTGAATGAAAACCTAGATTGAGAGTGGAAGTCAGAGCATCTTGGAGTCCAAGTGACAAAATTGGCTGAGCAATGGAAAGGAGAGGTGCAAATGATTTCAAAGGGTGTGGGGTAAAGCAATATGGGACGAGTTTGATGGAGGCGGAGGGGTAAGGACAGTTTTCCATCTGTAAAACAGCCTTGAGGCTGTTTTTCACAATGGAAGATTTTTTCATCAAATACAATCCTTTTTTGACCAAATCTCATTGCCAAACACCACTGTTTTTTTCAAAAATAAGTGTTTTGACTAAAAAAACAGCTTTTGGCTTTAGTGGTGCACTGTATTTCACCATATATGGTTTTCGTGAGACAGCCAAACAGGCCCTAATGTTTTGACTTCATCATACATGAAAGATGCAAAAGCTGCTCCCTACATTACAATCAATCAATCAAAACAAGAATACAGGATTTTATGACTATCCAAAAAATCATGAGAGGTTCTCGAGATTTGCATGTGTCAGAGATAAGGGTTTACACATTGATGTAAATAACCCACATCAAAGTCCGGTAGCTTTTTGAATATACACCTGTTGTGATGTGCTGGAATAATTGAGATTTGACACAAAATGCGGAGTATACAGACCACATTCCCATATGTTTGGGTTTTCTTGAGGGATCTAATCCCTATGAGAAGTATTCTAAAATATCTTCAAGCTTCAACCGGCTTTGTTATTTGTTTAACAAGAATCCAAGCATCACGAGGTTCGATTTTTCTATAATAATCTTTAACTTCACCTTCCACCACAAACCCATGACGTTCATAAAATGTTTTGGCATCATCATTCCCAAATTGAACATGAACATAAACCGAGGTAAGTTTAGGTAGATGCACTTTCTCTTCTTCTTCGGTCGGAGTAACAATAGCTTTAGGTGGCACTTTTGGCAACTCGTGCGTCTTGCTATTTGCTGCTTTTTTGCCTTTTTGGATTGTTTTCTTCAATTCGACAGGTGGGGCAGGAGTAGGATCAGGTTGCGGTGTGGGAACGGGCGTGATCGTCTCTTGACTCTTCAAGGCTTCTTGTATGACGTGATCGAGAAGTTTTGTCGCTAAACCTCGACGGCGATAGGGCGCTAAAACACCCAGTGTCATGATATCTTGAAGTGATCAGACATCATTGATCAGTAGGTTGGCCGAGTCATAGAAGCAGCTCGATCAGATAACCGGTAGCAGACATACATAGCTTTCCCTCTGTTGGCTTTGCGGAAGATCCATCTGTTGAATCCGAAGGTAAGATAGGCTCCACTCCGCAGCAAACGGCGCCAACAGGTAGATCATTGAAAAAAACTAAATTGAAGACACAGTCAATTCACAATACACAGGGTAAACTCGAAGAAATTGAAACTGGCACTGAACTCAGTTTGCAAAAATCCGAAAGAGACTCCTCTAAGATTTGAAGATAAAACTTCTCAGAATATCGAACTGGAAATAGAACCGTGTTGATCTTTCTAACAGTCCCTACATTGTTAGGTGTACTGTTCGTGAAGGCAAGACATGGACGTGAAATCGAAGTCAAAGTTTTGGAAATGTTATCAATTGGAATCCATAGAGTATCCGAAAAATGGTCGAGAAACTTACAGATCTACTAGAACAGACTTCGAGGTCGAACCTTGCGATTGCTTCGTAGTCTTGATGGTTGTGGTAGAGGTTGTTGTCATCGACATTTGAGACATAAGATACTGGCAGGTTGAGTGGGAAGGTGAACGCGAAAACCCCAGTGAGATTCCCTGACACCATGTCCACCTGGTCCGAGTGCTTCTCAAACCGACTGTCACCCGGTCCGACTCTCATGGCCCTAAAGCCCTGCCCCAAGATCGTGAGCCGGGCAGACAATGTGGTTCAGACTTTCAACTTTATCCACACTCTCACTCTGTCTTACATCACACCACAGGAATGAATTGGTTCAAAACCCAATTGAGGAAAGTTGTGGTGTCCAAGTCCGCAACTTGCTTCAATTGTGGATTTTGTCCACAATATGTTTACAATGGGTTCACACACCAACTTCTTGGCTGAGTATGCACAAAAGGGAGAGTGTGCACAGTCCAACACCAAGATTGTTTCAAGAGTGTAGAAAATCAAATGAAAAGAAATTATGGTGTAAATGATATGCAAACAGACAAAAAAAGTGGCAAAATAGTATTTAGAAAGCAAACCCTTCAAACATCAAACTTCTTCCCCAAGTTGGAAGGGGAATATGATTGAAAGTATGATTGATTGTGAAAGGATCTATCACTGTACAGTTGAGCCATAAGACCCACACTACATATGTGGAGATGGCTGAGTAATTTGGTAGCAATCATGTACATACAGAGTCATCTGCTCATCTGAATAAGTAAATCATATGTATCACTTCAGGTTGTGGGTGCAGTGTGTGCCTTTTCAAAAAATCAAAGCAAAGCTCAGGAGTTCTATGTCCTGTTTCCATCATTGGAGACTTGGATACTTGCTGTGAGATTTGATGACAAGTCTTTGTAACTTCTCTCACCTATAATAGGCAACATTACTGTGGTAGATAGCTCTACCAATACAAACATCAAACAAATATTAATGCAAAGACAACATTTTGGTTCTTGGCAATTTGTTTCTAAAAAAATGCGCCTGGTGCACCAAGTGGTGCCTAGGCATGTGAAAAAGACTAAAAAATTTGTGCCTCAACACGCCCACAACCTGACATATGTAACACATTTTGTGATCTTTTTCTGTCTGACATAAGCATTTCAAAAATTGACTACATACTGTTAAGATACTATCTGATAGAGTGTGTTCAGATGTTATCTTTTACGTGTCAAAGATCATTTTCCATTTTTGGGTATTTAGAAAGTTTTAGTGGAGGTTGAAGAAGTTGATCTAAAATGAAGACGTGTTGGTGAAATTAACTGTACAAAGGGGTAAACTGGTAAATGGAATCAAGGGGTGATATGGAGGAATCTTTTGGGATATCAACTCTCTCTTTGAATTTTGTTTCCCTCTCCTTTCTGATTCTTTTCTCGTCGAAAAGGATCAGTGAGTAATTTCTCTTTCTGCTATCTCATTATTTTTTCTCAACTTTTGTTTTCTTATTATTAAACTGATTTTTTATTATACTCTTAACTCAGATCAATTTGTTTTAAAACCTTTCTAAAAATCTCTGTCGCGTGCTCTACGAATTTCTTCGAGCTCGCAGGTAGAATACTTTCTAATTCACTCAATCTCTTCTCTAACAGTAGTTGATATTTCTTTCTTTATATGTTTTCTCTTTTTGTTGCTGTTTTAGGTTAGTTGTCTTAACCTTTCGTAGACTTGCTGTTCGTCGTAGTCTTACACAGAGACCTGTGCCCTCAGGTTAGTTGTCTTAACCTTTCGTAGACTTGCTGTTCGTCGTAGTCTTACACAGAGACCTGTGCCCTCAGGGTCAACACCCACGGCGCTCCGCTCCAATCCGCTAAATTTCCAATATTTACGGGCGGAGCGGTTTTGCGCTATGTAAGAAAGCACTACCGCTTCGCTATAGAAAACAGATTGCTATGAGATCTGAGAGCGGTGCGGCTTTAGTGAACGCTCCGCTCCGCTGTTGATTTTTTTTTGGCTTGATAGCGAAATAAAGCGGCAAAAAGAGCAATTTTTTTAAAAAAGCCCGTGTTGATTGCATAAAATACTCTCAAGGGCTGAGTGGGGACGTAGAAGTGATAAAAAAAGTAAGAAAAGGAATTTTTTTTTTTTTTTAAGTTTTGTTGTTTTTTATGAAACTAGCAAAAAAGAAAAGCACACAACATTGATTAAAACTGATACGAACTCCTGTTTATCAGTAAGAAGATAGATTGAATGAAAAAGGACAAGTTTTTTTGGGGGGTTTAAGGTCGTGTTTAATCAGAATGATGAAGTAAAGCAGATAACTCTAATTTTTACCCTTGCCCTTGCCCTTGCGTTGGTCAGACTCATACGCATTAACATAAGCACACGCTTCAACAAATTTACCGGTAACTAAAGTAATCTTCGCTTTCAACCATTCACAAACACCAACCAGCATGGTGATTGATTTTGCTGATAGAGACCCACGCCCATGCACCGCAATATTGGCTGCCAAAGAGAACGTCCTCTCGCATGCGCACGAGGTGGCCGATAATGCGAGGTAGTCGCGAGCTAATGTAGCAAGGACTGGGAAGTGTTTCTCATGCTCCTATAGATGAAGATACTGTTAGTAAAAAATAAAAGAACAAGAGTGAGAATAAGATATTAGATGATTGAGCTCACCTTCCACCAGAGAAGCTCGTTCTCGCCTGCTCGCAACAAGTGAGCACCTTCCAAGTAGGCACCAAGTTCTTCTTGCCGTTTATCAGAGGGTGACTGGGTAGAGACGTCGGTTGTGAAGATGTCAAATTGTGAAGAAGTAGTCGGAATGGGTGCAGGGTTAGGGGTATCCTGATTAATTTCCGATGTTTCTGATGAGGTATTGATCGGATCTTCAGGCCACTCAGCCAACGCTTTTTCAAAAGCATTGATGAAGAGTTCCTTGGCTCGGACAGCTGAATCGGGGTAGTTGAGATCAAAGAATCGTTTACGGAAACGAGGGTTGAGCACAGTAGCTAAAACAACTACATCGGAGGCCACGGCCTCTTCTTGATAGCCTTCAAGTTTTGTCAACATCACACTGAGCATGTTCTGTAAGTAAGGATCATCACATGCATCTTTAAGGGTGTCAACCTCGTGTACAATGCGCGAGTATTCTGCAAGTAATACACAGCCAGAGGAGAAGTTGCCTTCCATGCGCTTGGTAGCATGGACAAATACCTGGAAACAATGAATCAGAGATGAGAAGACAGTGAAAACAAAATGTAGATCAAAACAAAAGACTTACCTCGAGAATCTTGACAAGATTCTCAATTGAATCCCAATCTTCATCCGTGAATTGAATCCCTTGATAATATTTCGTCTTTTGATTGCTGTGAAGAATAGAATCTATAACCTAAAAAAGGAAACCCAAATCAGTATGAGAAAGATTGAATGAAATAGGTAAGTAAAGCAGGATACTCACGTCCCGAGCATCACATAACCGTTTAAGATAATCAACATCAATATTCCATCGGACCCCCCACCCGGAAATAGGGGAACGTCCTTTGTATCCCATTTGCTCAGCTTTGGCCACAAATTCGTGACGCCTGGCTGAGCTTCTAGTACACAAGCCATTGAATTTCTTGGCCTATATTGTAAGCTCAGAGTCAAATGAGTGATTGTTCCAAAGGTGTGAAAGAGCTGGGAAAAGGGTCTTACCTTAGCAACTGCACGAGCTATGCTTCCATTGGTTTCATCACCATTTCCATCATCTAGACCAGCTTCTGAAATTCTGTCTGATGCGTCAGAGTCAGAGTTGTTCAAGTCTTCATCATCGCCAGAAGAGCCAAAGTTGATATTGTCGTCACCCTCGTTGAGAGTGAAAGTCGGTGTTGGCAAGGTGACTCCAGGCTCAGTGGTCGGCTTGACATGTCCAGCACTCAGACCGAGAGCTTTGAGACCCGCTTTAACCACAAGACCAATCTTGTGTGTGTAGCATCTTACCTGATGGCCGTCCGAGTCCCAATCAACGGGAGTTGCGGCGTGTTGAAACATAGACGAAAGCTCAGTTGCCATGGTCTTATTGTTACTACCTGAATCTGTTGTCTGAGCAAGCATGTAAAAAAGGAACAATACATGTCAGCACTTGTATATTAAATGAAGGACAAGTTATGAGGAAATCGAGATATCAAATTAAATAAGACCAAAAAAAGGTGAAAATACTCATTTTTTTATGTAGCCCGTGACTGATTAAAAATCGACCAACTGGCTGTGCGAGAAGACGCCCAGAATGGTGCCAGGTAATCAATTTAAGAGTGAGATGATTGGATTGGAACATCCACTCATCGTCAATGTAAGTAGCAGAAACTCCCATGAATGCCTTGCGTCGACCTTTGGTCGTCCAGACATCATATATAAGACAGAACTTGCTTCTGTTTGACTTTAAATCACACCAGGATCACATCAGTATGCTGGGATTTGAGAAAGATGTTGATAGAAGTGGACACTTACTTGAAGTTGTTTGATTACAGTTGAAGAAAGATCTTTGTATATACTTTTGGCTGTCTCTGACGCCCAAGTGGTTCCTCTAAGATTAGCTGATTGATTTGATAACTTGAAGGCAGCTCGGAGGGCCGGGTCATGGAATCGTGAGAAAGGTTATGCATGACGTAGAATCCACAACACCAAGACAGTGTTGAAAAGCTCAACACTGAATGAGCTTTTTGATAAAAACGAGTCGAGTGTGTGGTTGGAATTGTTGTTTCCTACTTGAACGATATCCGATTGCTGCTCCCTCCATGTTGGAGGCAGGTCATGACCACTTTGGATGGCGAGATTTCGTCTCCGGCAAGGTGGTCGATCCTTACCACCATCTCGATGAGTGTATAGGTTGTAGTGGCTGCGCTTGCCTCGAGTGTAATACTCGCCACACCATCGACACCGATACCTACGAGGGTCATCTCCAACCTGTTGAAAACGTTAGCAATCTCTCAACAGGAATGGGAGAGATGTGATGATTGAAGATGAAAGTCATTACATACCTCTCGTGTCACATGGATTGGCTTCTCAAAGTATTCAAGGAGCTTAGCAACTCGGGCAAGGTGACCTCGTCTAGCTCCGGCTGCACAAACTATGCCAGGCTCAAGCTCAAACTGCACGTTGGAATCTTGATTGACATCAAGACCGGCCGGTACTTCATAGTCCTATTATATACAAACAGAAAATCAATCAAAAAACATCAAAACAATCAGAAAAAATCAATATGTCAAAACATTTAGAAAAAGGTATGAAGTAGATAAAAGTATACATACCTGAAGGACAGAGTTGGCAGCCTTTCTCCTCTTCACAAGCTTTGGGGAGCAGAGTGGAGATGAGGCTGACGAGTTACGTGACGCAGTACTTTTGCGTTTGCCCTGGCCGCGGCGTGAAGGATGCCCAGCCCCTTTCAAGAATTTCTTCTTGACTTGCAAGGGACCAGCTTGAGTTGGTGATGGTGGTGCCGAAGAGATGTTCTCTTCATGATCAGGTGAATCACTGACTTCGTCCTCGCTGGGTGCTCGGAGGGCCAGCCGGGAGTCTGGTGAATGGATAACAAACCCAGGTCAAGCTCGTACAGGACTACGGGTTCTAAGGTTACGAATAGAGGATGCACTAGGCGGGAAGAGTGAGTTTGAAGACATGATTTGAAGTTGAAAATATATCGAGATTATAGATTGAATTGAAAGGAATTGGTCTAAATATGAAGTCGAGATTATAGATTGAATTGAAAGGAATTGGTCTAAATATGAAGTCGAGATTATAGATCAAATTGAAAGGAATTGGTCTAAATATGAAGATAGGTTTCAGTAAAGAAAGACAGGCGAGTTCTATAGCCTTAGTCAATTCGAAAAACTTACCTGAAGCCATTTTATATGGCTCCGACCAACCAGGAAACAGCAACATTGTCCACGGAATCGGATGGTACTCAGACTGAGAGGCGTCAAAGTGATCTGGTAGCAAGATTAGGTGGTGGTGATGGATGGAAGGTGAATACTGCTCGGGTACATTACCGGTGTGTTGAGTAGATGAATGATTGGATGAGATCGTTGATTAGATGAATGATTGGACTCGGAGGAGATCGTTGATTGGTGTGTTGAGTACATAGATGGTGGTTGAAAGGGTTAGGTGGAGAAGTTCCAGATACAAGGCGCTATATGAGCGCCCCGGGGCGCTATGATCTGACCATGCGCTATTGAGCGCTATATGTAGTCATACCACAGCGCCAATGTGCTATAGTGGGCGGATAGAAAAACCGCTACATTTTTTTGGGTACTGAAGCAAGCGGTAGCAGGGCTCAAAACCCGCTATGGTGCCAGCCGGATAATACCGCTGTAAAAGTCGCACCGCGGGCGCTCCGCTGCCACTATCTTGGGCGGGGCGCCGGTGGTGTTGTCAGGATTCTCCTTTTTCTACTACGTTCGTATTTAGCAAACAGTCTACATCAGATTCTCATGAATCTTGAGACAACTTCTCATCGAGAATTTATACATACACTGACTCAAAGGTTTGGTGTAATTGCGGTACACAAACATCAACACCCAACCTAAAAACCCGTGGACAAAACCCATGACAACCCAATTGTTTTTTGGGTTTTGTCCAATGGGGAAGCGGAAATCCAATGGACAAAACCCCAAAAACAATTGGGTTGTCATGGGTTTTCATGTTGGGTGTTCAAGTTTGTGTACCACTAATGTCATCAACTAAATTTCATGTAACACCCGTTGTGTCACTGTCTAATGGCTTCAAGATTCATTCCTGGGTAGCTATAGAGGTATGTATATGTAGTCAATATTTGGGATAATTTTGTTAAACCTAAAAAAATTAGATGATGTACTTAAAGTGATTTACTTATGCAGATGTGCGGAAACTGAGCAGACCTGTATGTACCAAACTTATATAAGTCTCACACAGACCTAACCGCCAACTCTTGCAAGGGCCCACGTAAAGTAAAAAAGTTGGTGTGCAACTTGTCGGGGCTTTTTGCCAAATTCTAGCCACCTTGTGAACTTTTTTTCACAAGTTTCACTTTCCCTTGCCCAAAAATGAAAATTGTACACCTTGAATGTCTCTATAAGCTCATACATGCAGTTTACCAAAAACCTAAGTGGTTCTGTAAATACATATATATAAAGTCTCTCAGGGCTCAAAGACACAAATTGAATAATCCACACTGATCTGTGTACTCTAAAATGTTGGGTTTAGTGTGCAGTTGGACTACAAAGTTTTCCCTTTACTTCAGAACCAATGAAGTTATTAGGATACTACAAGCATTGGTTTGTAGAGAAAAGTAAGGTTCACTCTCATTTTTGGGCAGGGTAAGTACCATGTGAAAAAAAGTTTCATAAAGCAGCTATATTTTGGGAAAAACCCCCAACCAATCTCATGTCAGCTTTGTGACGTTTCATGTAAGTCCCTTGCAGTGTGGTACTTAGTTAAGTTTGTGCATGTACATAATAGCTACTGATTTCCTCAGCCTGATGCATATAATAAGTGTGGGGCTCAGGTATGCAGTGATGGATCCGTTTATAACCAATCAAACTCTTAAGCATTTCTCCCTTCCCACTTTAGTAAGTTGTTTGATGTTTACAGTGCAAAAGTCAAAAAATATCTAACTACATAGGACATCATTTGTGGCAGAATCTTGTAAGATCACTTCCTTGGATAATGTTGAGCTCATCAGTGAGTACAAAAACTTCAAAGTTTGTCATTTTCAGAAGCTTGTCTTGTCTTTTGAGTCTCCTTTGGTCTCACCAAGACTGATTCCTATGCATATGTGGCTGCAAAACCCAATTACCAATATCTGTGTGTACACTCTTTTCTTTGAGGCTGGCCTGCCCATAAGAGCATGTGGGCCTGACACACCTTGGTCCCACCTAAAGTCCACTGCTGTTCACCTGAGTTTAATTGGATAGGATATTTATTTTGTCTGACATCAAAACTGATACAGTGGGATTCCTTTTTAAGCATTGCCTTTACAAGCATATTTTTTGATAAGCATCAAAAATGATGTGACCATCTTTGGTGGGCAGTAAATTCGGATTTATAAGCATTTTAAGCATATGCTTCAGGTTTTGACTGATATGCTTGTATAATTTCATGTGAAGCATGAAAAAAGAAGCATAACATGATTTTTTCACGTGTTTATGCTTCTATGTGATGCAAGAAAGGAGAAGAAAGGTAGGTGAAGTGGAGTAAATTAGGCTGCATTGAGTAGAAAAGCCAAGATCAATTGAAAAACTGTCTGTCAATTTTTGCTTCTAGGTTTCTGTAGTACATATTTTTCAATAGTTGCAAGTGCCAAGCATGACATTCAAGCATAGCATAATTTTGAGCATGTTTTATGCTCCTATAGGCTATTAGGTCTGTTCCGATAAGAAGCATTTTTTATATTAGCATGGGATTTGGTGCAACCATCACCATGCTTATAAAGGAATCTCACTGTAACAACCTAGATGTGTGAAACTGAAAGTCAAGAATCAAACTTTTGTACAATAAATTTCTTTCACATGTCACATAAAGTTGGCTATCTTGGCTGTTATCTGTATGCACAGTCCAATTTAATCCACACACCACAAGTACACTCAGGTATCACATGTATGCACATCATTTTTACAGGAGCCATGATTGCCTTGAGGGCAACTATATACAGCACAGTGTCACCTTGGGCCTCCTAGCTCAGACACCTGCAAGATGCTGTGTGGGCATCAAATTCTCTTGACCACATTATGATCTGGGGTGTCAGTACTGACCCCAAAATGCCCCTATGTAGGGTAGTTGCATAGAAGAGTTCCCTTTGAACTCTGTGTGGCTCTGATTTCCTGTTGTAACCCAGAATGTCAAGTCACTGTTGAATACATTCACAATTTTAAGGATTTCATTTCAACCAAGAATAACATTAGGAATCATTCAAGGGATACTTTTGTGAGCCACTAGCTGCTCCTCAGTATTGATAAGCTGGTTCAAATCAGTCAAAGTGTCCTTGAAACCACTGTTTTGCAATGGTAAAAGGATATAAATGGATAGTAATGATTGAATTGAAAAACACATCAGGTATGTTTAAAGCCATTGTGTAAAGCCCCAAGAGAGCTCAAAAGGAGCCCTCTTTGTGACTACCCTCCATAGGGGCATTCTGGGGTTGCTGCCATCATAGATAAGTTGGGTTGAGACATCCAAGAAATCATTGGAGGAAAATCTTTGAACAGACCTTGTATGAGGTTATTATTCAAGGTATTCTTCTGCGCTGAGAGTTACCTCAGATCAAAACCTTGGAAAGCTTCTGTCCCATGTCTTGAATCCATGAAAAATCCAAGGCATCATTGGAGGCAAATCCTCAGACAGACCTTGTCCAAGGTTATTATCCAAGGGGTTATTCTGCACTGAAAGTTACCTCAGATCAGAACCTTGGAAAGCTTCTTTCCAAAGTTTGGAATCCAAGAATACCTTGGATTGAAAAACCGAAGTAAATATGTTGGTGGTGGGTCCTGTGTCAATCCATTCTTTGAATCTTGAAAAATCCACATATCCTGTGGCTCAAGATTGTTTTTGTGGTGTCCAAGCAAGGAAGAAATGTCTAGGAAGTGGCCTCTTTCAGAAAGGTGCTATTGTCAATGTGAAATCCCAAGGCAGTGCAGTCCATGCAAAATTGATCACACAATCAAACAAAGCTTTTTCATATGACTGATTGGTGATACAAGTGTATTGCATACTGATTCTTTCAGAAATATTGTCAAGTGCTTGATGTCTAGCTCTAGTAAAACAGGTCGGTAAGTATTGGAAGGAGTACATTTCACTTTAGCATAAAAAATCTCAATCTCAAATAAATATTTGTGAGTCTTGCATCAGTTTAATATAACAAATTTCAAAATCAATTGAAGAAAGACTCATAAGAAAATGACAAGATTTGCATTACATCAGAATAGATTCATGAATTTAAAAGGAACAAACCAAAATCTAATAGGTTCAAAGTTAATTTCCCTTGGATTCAGTGATCGCTCCTACCATCTTAGTCTTCAAACCTCTAGGTGATTCAATTGATCGAAGTGCATGAGATCCGAGAAGAACAGGTGGGATGAGTAAGAAGACCACCACAAGGATACCGATGATCAGGTAATCGGAAAAGAAACTGTAGCGCCATAGTAATCCACTATGTGGATCTGGCATGGTTGAGTTCTTTTGAGGATCGGCTGCGAGAGATATCTTCCTAAGAGCGCGTCGATCGAGCGAGGTGAGACTTTGAATCGTCGTGGTGGTACAGACCACCATGTATGGTCCGGGCATATTGGCAATCTCACGTGAGAATATTGTGTCTAAGGGTCGGAGCGCAAAAGACAGATGAGGTTCGTAAGTGATGGGTGAAAAGCTATAGAAGACAAGACAAGATAATCACCGATATCTTCTTGAGCTTTTATTTCTCTGAGAATCACTTTTCCACCACAGTCACTCTTCCAATGCGATACTAGATTTGGTAGTACAGTTTCATCGAGCTCTGTATTCTGAGGATTATGAGCTAATCGGATTCGACTTGCAGGAGATGCAGAGTTATAGGCTTGTGTGATTCGAGGAGACAAATTCCCATTGATGAGAGCTTTTTGTTGATCGATCGATGACAGAGTGAGGATGAGGAGTGATGATGAACCAGATGGACAGAAGGAGTTAGAGGTCACTCCAAATGTTAGCTCCTGCTCAATTGGTCGATATTCTTCAGCGAAATCGGTAGATATCAAGTTAGTCAGAAGAGCGCTGAAGTCGGTTTCATTCATTATTTGATGTCGAAATCACAGTACATCAGATATCATTCAAATAACTTGAAAGAAACTGGATCTTTGACTCACCCAGGTGCAGTTGACCAAGCCAATAGAGGCGATGTATGAAGGAAGCTTGAGCATATATGAGACTCGAGAAGGGTGACTAAAATGCTGAGTAGGATTGGTCGATGAGAGAAGTTCATGATGATTGAATTGGAATGTAACTGTGATGACCGTCAAAGTGGATTGATGGATAATTCAGCAACAGTCAAACTCAAATATCTGAAACACCATTTCAAAAACACTGTTTGGCTTCGTGCCGTTTCAGTGGCTAAGCCCCGAGCTTAGTCAGTTGGATCCCGGCGGCCCGGCCCTCGGAGGCTGGGAACCCGCGGACTTTCAAGTTTCGAGGCACCTGTTCTTAGCTTAACACAACCTGGCCGCGCATAGAGGGCTTGTGTAGGCTTATGTTCACCTGTTCCAACAGCTGCCAAGAGCCAACCCATACATTGGAAGCTTTGTAGTAATGAGTTTTAAACCACCTTCCCCATGAACTTCAAATGTATTTGTAGTGACAAGAAAGCATGGCTCCGTACCCCTCCTAAGCGCTTTAATTTGCCTGGTGAGGTGAAGCAGCGGATGAGTGTGACGGCATCATATCACCAGGTTTTACTGGTATGCAATTCTATCAGCTGCGCGCTTTTAAGAGAGTACGTGGAAATACGCGGTATCAAAAGTCCGCACTGGTTGGTACCTTGACTGCTCAATAATCAATTCTTCCCAGAAAAAGTGAGAACTTTTCTTCAGTATGCCTCTTTGCCTCAGCAGTCACAGCTTGATACTGGACTATCTACATGCAGAAAGTGTTGTCATCTTCCTCCTCGAAATCTCTCGGTGATTCTCCAGGGTTGCGTTCACTTACAAAGCCATTTCAGCCTTGCAAGACAACTATGAAACCGAATGTGTCGTTTGAGGCCAAGCTGAATGATAAGATTGACGAGATGATCTCATCTGGTACATACACACATCAAATCCCTTCGGGGGTTTGTTTCGTTCACGTCCTTCTCTTGACTTCCAATTGATCGACCGCATATCTTTTTTTTGCAAGTTCAAAAATAGGGTCGCAAGAAAAAAAAAGTGATCGACGGTGCAGTCGAATGATGACATGCACCGAATACATTGTACAACTTATGTATTCAAGTTTTCAGACCAGATCCAAGAACTCAAACACTTCCCCGACATAAGAAGAGATCGAGATTGAATGATTAAGAAGATTTTGATTTCTCAGATGCACATACAGTCACCGCTCGCTATAAGCATCACTAAAATGCACCAAATTTGATGCTTACAAAGCGCGATGCGTCATTTTGAAAGGAGTGTACTGCATATTTTCATTTTTGTTTCACCAAAATTTGATTCCTATAGCAAAATATGCTTACTCAATGTGTGCTTATATCGAGCGGCAACTGTATGTAAGACGTGGACAAGCAGAATAAGAAAGCCCGAACCCCAAGATCTGGGCTTGATTATGATACCTAATCCCACGGCCACCATCCTAAAAAAAGTGATCTGCATACGGTGAAAATCAGTACAACTGCAACTCTACAACCAGCACTGTCCGATCAAACAATTGTCTAAGAGACATGAAGGCATGCATGAAATCATCCGTTTGAGATCGAATTTCAAGGAGTGATTAAGAGACAAGATCAAGAAACATCTTTCTCATAGGGGGTATGACCATATCCTGAGGGCCCAACTACGCTTGCGTAGAGTTTATCTGAAACCGAATTAACCAATTTTAGGCAGCTTGAAATTGGTTTGGATAGTCCATGCATGCGACAAAATCGAGGCAGAAGAACAGTAGATGATATTATTCATTCAGGAGAGCAGGTGTACTAGCGTGTCTCGGAAGAATTACATGACTTCCATTCTTGAAACGACCATTCTTGAAAATATGAACACTGATCCAAAGAGAGATGAAAGATAAATGAAAACTATTAGGCACATTTTTAAGCCTCTAGGACTATATATCTATCAGGTTTGTATTGACAAAGAAAAACAAACACAAATCAAAGTGCAAACACTGAAAAAAAAGAATAGCCAAAGAAGATCCAAAAAGTTGAAAGTACAAATGTATCATAAAATTGAAACTGGAAGAAAAAGGAAATATGCATGTTTTGAAAGCTCAGATTATCTTTTTTTAATTTGAATTTTGTATTCCGTCTTAAGACGTTGTAAGCCAGCGGCAGCCACATCTTGAAAAATTGGTGCTGGTACATTTGTCAGTCGAGCATCATAATGTTGAAAGAAAGTTAGGAGAGTAATTGATATCATTTTATAAGCAAGGTGTTGTCCTGGGCAATGTGCATGACCTATACCCCAGGCTGGGAATTTGGATGGTGAAGGAAGCCAAGTACGAGAGTCGAGTTGAATTTCACCAGAAGCAAAAGGCGGACGTAGATACCGAGTTGGATCCCACACTTCCGGTTCAGCATAGATGAGTGGATCAGAGGAAATGGGAGTAGGTGAAGCCACCACAAATCCAGGTGGACAGGTCACGCCGTTATTGAGCTCAAATGGGTTTTCCGCCAGTCGTACCCACGCTCCCGTTGCTCTTAGTCGAAGCGTCTCGTTGACACAACGCGTCAAACAGCTCACATTGTTATAGCACACCGCGCCTAACCCACCGTATTTTTCGACCTCATCCCGGATCTCTCCCACTAAGTCTTGTCCAGTGCGCTGGGAATATTCAAGTATGTCATGAAGCGCACCTATTGTGGCTGCTGCAGAGTTGGTTTGTCCGGCCCAGACATAGCTAAAATTGGGATTGAAACAATATTAGTATACAAGTCCGACATATTAGTAATGGAGACACCCAAAAAATATACGGACCCATAGATGAATATTGCGATGTAGTTGACTTTTCGCTCAATGATATCCATCATTGCGGGTGTGGCACTTCCACTGTAGTAAGCACGCAAAACTTCGTCGCATTGTTTCCCACACTCGAGTACGAGTTCGGAGCGGAGCAGCTCCTCGGGTAGCTCGGGATCCGGAAGATGATCATTTGAGCCTATTCGACGAGCAGCGATTTTGATATGGCCACGCACATGATCACGAAGAAGGTTGAGGAGTTGTTCCTTGGCCTGGGCTCGTGAGCGGCCTGCAGCAAGGAGTCCAAAAAGACTCAAGTCGCCATCAAGCACCCGAAAAAGACTTGCCACGTGTGGAAGAACCTCTGGTGATACAGGACCCATGAGAGCCGCAAGGTCGAGGGCAAAGACAACATTATCAAGCCATCCGGTAGGTGAGAGGGTATTCCACTCAGGATCACATTTAGATTCGGGATCAAGTCTACCAGCGATCATTTCCTCCGCCAAGGCCCAGAAACGGCAATCGAGAGCGTCCAAGCGAGCAGGAGCAAAAACTAGCCGAGTGAGAGTTCGAGTGGGTCCGATGAAGGCCTCCTCACCAATCACGCCAGACGCGATGAGCTTATAAGCACTTGTTACGTCGAGTATTGTACGAGGAGAGGTAGCAAAGCGGTGAACGTGGGGCGCAGACTGGATAAAAGAGCAACGATAGCCCAGGATGGTGGTTGTAAACACATTGCCCTAATGTTCGGAACAACCAGCAAGAAGGGTCAGGTTTTTGGACTATGATTTTGAACACCCATTGATATAAATTCAAGGGAATGATAGGATCAAACAGGACTTGGAGGGACGACTCGGGCATATTGATCCAACGCATATAACTTGCGGGTGAGTAAGCAATAAATGCATTATACATGCATGGACAAATACGTAAAAGAGTAGGAAGGGTACAGAAGAGTTAAAGTTTAAAGTTGTGGAGTGGAGTGGATGATTACGTACGTAACGAGTATGATTTCTTCGGATAAAACCAACAGGATCCCGAGTGTAAGCAAACAAGCTACCAATCCAAGGCCAGGTGGGGACGAGAGGTGGGGATGTACATGGAGACTGAGACAAGGGGAGAATCCGATTTGAGATAGCGAGGAGAAGGAAAGCCAGGCTAAGAGTTCCTAAAAGCCAATGGTTAAGCTCAAAAAGGTAATGAATTGGAGCGGGTAAAGCAGATGGATGAGACAATGGCGAGGAAATAGTGAAAGGGTTATTGGCGGATGACATGTAAAGCTAGTAAATGTTCGGCAGATGATGAAATTGATGATGATGATGGTTTGTGAAGGAATACCTCGAGGTTAGATGTAGATAAGCAAATGGTGAAGAGCTGTGATGCATTGAGGATTGAAGAGTCAAAAGAAACACTGGCATTGATTGCTCATACCCAAACTACAGTGATGCGCAAAAAAATTGAAAGTAAGTTGCAGGGTAGTCACAAAATAAAACCAGATCAATTGTACTATGATTGTTAAAAGAGGTAGATATAAGAGATTCTGAGATTAGGTTGAGGAGATGATGCAGAATGAGAAGGAAGGAGAAGAACAAGGGTAGTAAGAACCACTTGGCGCCATAAAGTTGGGAAGGAGGTGAATGATTCTCAAACAGCAATGGTTTATGTACAGGAGATAAGTTTTGTCGTAGCTGGGATTGAGATCGACCGTCCTGATGAGAACTTCCCAGAAATTTATTAAATATTTAAAAATCCAAGCCACCTTGTTCACAGGAACTCTTCTCTCCTTCATCGATAACAACCAATGCGGAGGCCGTTCTGAAGTCCAGACTATTTCTTTTGAAGTCCGAAAAGTCGAAGTTCCCTTCATTCACCATAGTCATTCTATCAACTTCGTATCTCCCGTTACTCGATCTCTGGATTTCATCACTGTGCTTTGGTAGTCACAGACAAACTAAAATCACAAAGCACATGTCAAAAAAAAACTTATAAACACAAACTCGCAGACTTTGAATTGCATATATAGACCAATTATGGCCTATTACTTCAGAACTTTCGTGCGCACCAAACAATTACCTCCACTCTAGTTACAGAATCATCCCTACCACTCTGATCTCGTGCTTAACAGCAGTTAATCCTTGATATCTTCATTTTCAACCTTTTGCGTCGTTCACAGGCTTGTGGCCGCGTCGCTTTCCTCGGGTATACGTGAGCTTGAACTTCGATAATTTCAGGTCTGAGGCGATACAAGGGACTTCATGAGCGTCGAGGCTGTGCTCATGCACTCTAGTGTGAATACCTTGATGAAGAATGTTTTATACGATCCTAGAGTTCAATTCAAACTTTTTGATACAACCTGGAAGTTCATCTTCAATCGTAGGTTGGTCAAATATGAAATGGTGAGCTTGGTTTGTATGGCTAAAAGATTGAATTCGATCAATTTTATCATAGGATAAAGTAGAGAAAAGTTTAGCTTAACAGAGCTCTGGAGATGAATTTGTTAAGCAAACAGAAAAACTGACCTAGGGGTCTCCAGAATTTTGGTCCACATCCTCCCCATAAATATAACTGAAACATATTCCTGAAATGTTGACCGGTTTTGGGGGGGCATTCAGCATACATGTGAGCTCAACTCCGTCTAGAAAATCGATGTTTCGACTCCAACCAGGTATATATCTCTGCGTTAATATCAAGGCTGAGCTCTTTGAAAATGCGATAAGAAAAATGTACCATATCTGATTAGCAAAATATCAAGATCGCCCGACGAAATCTGGACGAAAAACTTAATACGTCTTGGATCTGTTTCATTTGTCAAAAGTTTCAATCGGGCCGGGTCACATTCAATTCGTCGTCAAGATTACGTCGGGAAACCCAAAGTTATGCGAAACCGTTTGATCCTGCAAAAAAATATCATCAATTGGTGATCTTAAGCAGAGCGCCTCCAAAGGTTTGAGACTGACACTGGAAAACTTGCGAGATAGCTGAGCCTGTAATAATGATATGGAACTGGTTCATTTTGCTCGGTCGGAATGATTTCATTCTTTAACTTGCATACTGCGTCCCTTGCAGATATAGTAAAATATGATAAGCTGATTACTAATCTCCTCGCCCTTACAGCTGAGCGTGAATTGTTGTTAGTAATCAATTGAGAATCAAAGGTAAACTATTTAAAGAGACAAACTATCACTTTAAGTTTTTTCGATCAATCCCAATCGCATGTTTGTAAACTTTCGTCAACTATCTATCATTTCTTTCTTTCCTCAATTAATCCATCATCCAATTCATCTCAAGATGTCAACTAACACTTCATTACATCATAAAGCCAACTCATTACCAATTGGTAATTCTCGTACCATTTCTCGATCTGTTTTGGCTGTTGAAACAGCTGAAGGTGCTGGTGCAGTTGTTCGTCGTAGTATTGGTACTAAGACTTTACGAAACTTTGATCCGTTTTTAATGCTCGATCATTTTAAAGTTGGAGTCGGTGCTGGTTTTCCAGATCATCCTCACCGTGGTCAAGCAACAGTAAAGTCGTCCTTCTCATACAATCACTTTTCATGGTTCTTGAGCCCAAATTTTGATCGATCAAAAGTCGAATATACTGACAGTGAAAATTTTATTTTTCTTATGATCAAATCATATTTAGGTGACATATATGTTAGAAGGTCAATTCAAACATGAAGATTTTGCAGGACACAAAGGTTTAATTTCACCAGGAGATTTACAATGGATGATAGCAGGTAAAGGAATCGTACATGCAGAGATGCCAGTACATGAAAATGGTGGACCAGATCCAACTGGTTTACAACTTTGGATAGATTTACCCAAGATTCATAAAATGGTACCACCTCAATATCAAGAATTAAAAGATCATCAAATTCCTAAAGTCGAACTTGATGATGGTGTAATTGTTAAAGTCATTAGTGGTTCTTCACATGGTATCGAGAGTCCTGTAAGACATTTAGGTGGTTGTTGGTATTTTGATATTCGACTTCCTCATCCTTCCTCACGTGTTTTTCAAGCTCTTCCTAAAGGATGGAACGCATTTGTTTATGGACTTGAAGGAAGGGCTGGCTTCGGAGGGGGAAATGGAACAAGTCCGACTCAAACAGCAGATGCGTTCTATACCACAGTACTGACTGCAAATGATGATGAGGATGGCGTTGAGATCACTAACGCTGACCCAAACGGAAACCCAGTCCGACTAGTACTCATTGCTGGCGAACCTTTGAACCAACCCGTCGTCCAATGTAAGTCCCTGTGTTTCTGCTTGGCCAAGAGATGGGACGGAGAAAGTGTTCACTAATCGATGGACACAAACATCTTTACAGACGGACCATTTGTAATGACGTCACAAGCCGAGATCCAGGACGCGTTCAACGATTATCGAAACGGTCGAAATGGTAAGCAAGCTAAGCTTTCTCGTTTCTTTTTCACTTTGACACACTTGACTCATTTGTTATATTGTCCTCTCAGGCTTCGAGAAAGCGGCAGAATGGACTAGTTCGATTGGTGGCCGGTAGGGCGTAGAATTATTACACTTGATCATCCATTGATTACTCGATTTCTTCTTAATGGTACGGCTCTTTCGCCGACACGCATGCGATTACTCAAATATGAAGCATTGTATCCTACTCGATCTTGTAATCTTAGCCATATGAGCTTTTTAACATCATCCTTAAACCCAGTTAAGAATCATAATCCATCCTCAGAGCTCTGCATTGTCATTGGTAAAAGTACACAGATGGTAAACGTGTGACGTAAAAATTTATAATAAGCAGCAGGAAGTCCAAGATTGATACAAATCAGAGACTAATGATGAATTGCCCAGTACATGCCTTAGCGTGAAAACAACCCAGCATCAGCCAAATTGAGATCAAATGATAGGAGACTGATCTGACACGGCCATGTAAGTCGAGATTTTTTTTGGACGGTTTAAGGCTGCGCAGCTCCCACTTCATGTAGATAGCAGGCCAAAAGTTTGGTACCCTGCGTGGCAAACGTAATGATTAGTCAACTCAAAAATCGAGAAGGATGCCTTGTAATTTTCTGACTGACCTGGATGTAATTGCTAACATCGAGCTTCTCATTTGTGCTATGAGCACCGTCATCACCTCGCCCCATTGGCAAAAGCATCACGCTCTTACCCAAACTGTACAGAAGATACAAGTTGTTATCAGTTTAAAACCACCTGATACACCAAAAACACAAATACGACTGACGCTTCTGCAAATGTAAGGGTGACAGGAATTGAGCCACCTTCGCGAGTGTAATCTGGCTTCATTCCATATACCACTTCTGTGGCCTTGGCAGCAGCAGCTAAGGTAAGTTTTGTTGGTGGAAAAGCGCGCGTTGTATTCAACTCGTCAGCTGCTGGTAAGAATGCACCGGCTTTTATCAGAGTGAAAAGTACAAGATGATCTTACTATAGTTGTAGTGGTCTGGATCTGCGACCCAAGGTTTACCACCATGCAGAGACTCTACATTAATCTTGTTCTTGGACTTTAGCTTAGCAAACTCAGCTTCCAAGTATTTCTTGACCAAAGATTCAACTTCGTCCGGTGTCTACGGTCAAAACATCAGCATGTGAAACAAACTCAAGAGTTAGACTCAAAAACCCAAATCTCAACACGGGGATGAGCATATCGGCCGTACCATGTTCGGGACAAGCCTGATGCTAAACTTTCCATGCACACAAGCCGGGATGACCTGAATGTTACATCCCATAAGTACAGCTCATACGACATAGAGATCAATTGGGTCCATAATTACCGTCTTGCTACCAGGCGCTGAAAAGGCACCCTCGAAACCGTGTATCGATAAACTGGGCTCACGCATTCTGAGTAGCAAATAAAAGAATTGATACTCATCAAAACGAGTCTAGATTGGAAGTGTTCATCAAAAGGGAGACGTACCGTCCCATAAGGGTTTGACATTTGTCATCACTGAGCAAGACTTCCGCCCCTACGGCTGTCGACAGATCTTTCTAACATGAGTTGTACGCGGTCAGGAGCCATCTTATAAGGGTCGACTATACAAGCGAGCAAAGATGCGAGATGGCCGATCTCACTCACGTTTGTAAAATCTATTGCTTCGTAACGTTCTCTTTCACCCGGAACAAGCGGGGCGACCAACTTTTTGCCGCAAATTTGATGAGTGAACGATCAGGTTTATCAAGCTAGCTGAGAGAATAAGTGCTAACCTGCTTTATACCTGGTACAAGGATTTCCCCTTGTGGACTAGTCAGCTTGGAGAAGATATGTACGAGGTCGTTCATGGGTTCGTGCACGGTGCCACCTGAATGATTAATGAGAGATTGAATTGTTAGACCCGGTAATGGTGATCAAAGAAAGATGTGACCAGCATACCGAAAACTCCCGAATGCAAGTCGTGTGCAGGCCCACAAACGGTCACTTTGAAGTAAGAAATTCCTCGCAGACCATATGCTACGGAAACACGCGGTCCAAAAAACTATAAATTTAGGGTGATACTTGATATGAACTAGAACGGTGGCCTTACTCAAGCACGGTGTCTGAAAAAGTTACATATTATCAGTACACTTTAGCGTAGGATTGAACAAATTGTCATCACATACCTTTGTATTGAGCCAATAACTTTAGATAATCCATCTTGTAAGTCTCATCACCACGCAAAAGTCTAAAAGGACACGTGTACTGACTTGTCCGAAACTGACAATGAAAAAAAAGGTTGTCAACAATGGCTCTAGATCATAGACTTCATCCGAGCAGAAAGACTCACTGCAAACAGCATCCACATCTGCGAAAAAGCCTTTGGCTTCTTTCACAATCTCGGCGTCCAAGCCTTCCGAGCCTGACTCCTCCATTCCTATGTATTTGCACGTATAAGTATCAAGATTGACTTGTACAAAGAAAATACCAGTGAATTCTCACCTTCGAAAACCATCTTCAAGTTAACCGGGAATTCCGTGCCGGTCTTCAAGTGAGCTTCAATCGCATTGAGCCAGCCCAAAACAGGACCCTGAACATTGCAGCCAGAGGTAAGTCTGCCTATAAACACATACAATGCATCAGCCATACCTTGTCATCCGAACTTCCTCTACCATAAAGTCTATCAGTTCCGGTATCATGCGTCAACTCAAACGGTTCTGTGTTCCACCCGTCGGATTTCAACGCCTGATATAAATGTGATAAGCTTATCAGCATCGATCAGCATCGATCACTCTCTAGTACGTTGCATCAACTCACGGGTTGCACGTCAAAATGGCCTGAAGAACGAAGTTATGTCAGCTCTTCATTTCAAATGCATCTCGAGTCAGCCGCTGACGAACCGTATACCAAGATGGTCTTTTTCTTGGGATCATTTCCAAATTGCCCCAAGATGATTGGAGGTAATTCTAATTCTTGTCCGTCCATGACGTGTTTACCCAAAGGTCTTTTCTCTGTCCTGTTTTAGATTGGTCGCCGTTAGCACAAAGGTGGATCGATGGCTTATTTTTGGCAATCAAGCTTGAGGTTTTATGATGTAAGTCCTTTAACGAATGGATCCTTACTTGACACCTAATGCTTGAAGCTGAGCATCGAGCCAATCTGCCATCTTGAATACATCGGGACGATAGACTGCATCACCAGATACTGATGGAATTGCCACCGCTTGCTTCAGCCGGTCGATCAAATTGGCTTGGTTGGCATCGATATAATCAAAGACGGGTTGACAAGTGTGACTACTGGGCATTTTTGATTTAGATTTGTTGATGAGGTGCAAGTGGTAAACAAGAAGTCTGAATGACCGTTGACTGCTTTGATGATCAAGAGGCTGCCAAGCTATGTAAAGCCTGTATAGGCATTCGATCTTTGTACTGATAGCCGTGAACTACTCTTTTAGCATATATGCTTATAGGAAGCGTCCAGAACCTCTGTGCCGAGCAATCCTTTGCCGCCCTCGGGCTCTGGCAAGCGATTATCAAACATGATCAGCGTTCATAAAATATCTTGGCTTCCTTGATTTATTTTCGGATATTTGGAGTCTGGGCGTATCTGGTTGTCAGCTATGTGCATCCAGAAAACCCACCTATTGATTTCTCGGGGTTGTTGAATGAAGAAATTCCCTTTATCATGATCAGCTTGGAAATTCTCCAGCGGTCGCGTTGCAACAACACTCGATAAAAGCCTGGGTGCCATGTCATTGAGGAATTTCTCAGCAAAAAGAGTATCGAAACCTTTATCCTCATCCTTGATCTTGAATCATCACCAACCCAGCTTGAGAAAGCATTTCTCACCGCCTTCAGAATCAACGAAGAACAGACATCTGGCGAATCAGCGACAGCTCTTGTAATGCCGTAATGGAGCAACCAATCAACGCATCACAATTACGAGCAGTCGCTTCTATGCCATCTGATGATACACAACGTTGCCTTGAGATAATGACTCATCAGAAATCACGAAATTGATCATGATCACTGGATGAGCAACTTCAGGAAGACTTATGAGAACTGAACTGAGGTATAATTTTATCGGGGCCATATCTCTGGATCAGATCAAGTCAATCTTTTTTCAATCCTGTGACGTTTCTCAAGCGAAACTTTTTCATAGCTACCCCGCGCAAACAATTCCGCTGGATAGGATTGTTCAAGTGTTGGCATCTCATCAAAAGAAATGCGGTCTATCTCGCCCTTTTCTGCATCAATTATTTTCTTGTTTGGTAAGTTACCCATAATGTGACTCACACTGAACTCGAGCTGACTCAGAAAATCGAAATTAGTGACTCCAATTCAGAGGATTGAAGCATCCGCTGATGGTTTGGCTTCCACCAATACTGTCGTCTCATCCGGGTACAGTCCTCTTATATTCTTCTCTTTATTTTACCACATCGTCGTGTCACTGACAGAAAATACCTCGTGTATCATAAAACCTCATGTATGTTTTAACATGGCCCACAGACCTTCTAATCTTCTTGGAACGAAGACTGACATAGATCAGAACGAGGTACACCAATTTTCTATCGATCAACAACACAGAAATTCGAAAAGGACACAACGTCAGTATCCTTTTCATTTTTGTTTATCAAGTTGAAGATAAGGTAATGATTTGACTAAATTGACTGTTCGGTACCACCTCCTTACCTTTGATTAGGTAAGCGAAGGTGCCCAACATGTTCGTGTGGCAGTTGCAATGCGGCTGCGGATTTCAATGCCCTAGGTGTGTCTGGTAATCACTTACGAGTTTTGGAGACCCACTATCAAGATCAAAAATTCTGGTGCGAAGGGCTCATATTCATGTATTTGCAAAACAGGGTTTATGAACGCAATTAGTGCTTTGTACGGGGGGATTTCGAACGGGTTTACTGGCGGCTTGACCATGTTCGGTGGAGTCGTATCTGGTTATGGCGGAATGCTTCCTGGGTTCGGACCTCCAGGTGGATTTAGTCAAGGTGGTGGAAATCGCCAACAGAGGCCTTCACAAACCCGTGGTTCGAGTGTATCCGCGGTGAATTCAATTGCCAGTAAATCATCTCCTGGTGCAGGTGGATCTAAAGGCAAACCAGGAAGATTTTCTCAGCTTCGGGATGAAGATAATTCAACCCCAGATTCAGATACATGGGGGTCTCTCAAAGGTACAAAAAATACATTACTCTCAAGTACGCCACCTTCGAAACATGCAACTGGGGCGAGCTCAACAGTCACCAACCCAGTGTTTGAATCACATAGTTCTCAGGTTAGCACTTCACGAACAAACCCTGCCACACAGGTCACCAACGTCTTCAATCAGGCGATCTATAACATCACTAATATTGAGAACAAGCCGAACATCAGTATCATCAATATCGAGAACAAACCAACTTTAAATCTTACTAATCTTCTGTATCAGCAAAGCTTGAATCTGGCGAATGAATCAAATGAAAATAACCTTGGTATTGCAAAGGTAGACCGATATAGTGTCCGTGGATCCGATGTGTCAGTTAGTCCGAATTCCACTGATGTAGGCAAGTCGTCAACAGTTGAAGATGATGGAGGCAAAGACAATGATATCACAAGCAACGCCACCCAAGCAGATGGAGGATGTCATGAGTGTGCACAAAGCTTCGGCTTGTAATTTATCTTTCCGCAGACATGAGAAAGCTCACATTTGTGTTTCTATCGCAAAGTGTAAGAGAGGCTCACGTTAGAACTATATTTTATATAAGGACTTTTACTTTTTATATCCATTGGAATGGAGTTGAAATTTCGGGTACTGTGTACCATTTTTATTGAGGTTTTAGATAAACTTTAGTGTCTTGAACCAATTTTATATATTCATATTTATGTCACATTTTTTCATTTTGCTTCTTAAAATTTAACTTTGCTTTCTTCTACATCTTTTTGCATCTGATCACAGATAATTAATCCATCAAGCCAGGGTGAAGTGCTATAATAGATGACATTTAAAATATGTGACTAGGTTTCATGGCCAGAAAAGTCTTCTGTCCCTGCTCTCTCCATCCCGAGATAGATACAGTTAGGTATGAACCGCTTTGTGACAACTACCTGCGTCTAATACTATGAGCCCTCCTTATTCACAATCACTTCAACATTCCTCGCTTGTGATCAGTCCCGAGTCCCACATCATAAATATCCCTCAGGAACCAACTCAATCAAGTCCCCGCCCTTCATATGATTTATTGGGCAAGTATCCGTGGTGTTGTTGTGTGACTTGTGCTAAGTTAGCCACAATGCCTAATGAGATGTATAATATCTTGTCAAAATATATGACATTTTGTGACCATCCCGGATTCCCGATAAAGATTCAGCAAAATAAAAAACATGATGTGAACCTTTTGAACATATTGCTATCGACACAGATTCAGATTGTGACCCAGGTTTTGAACCACAGCTTTGCCCATAGTAAAGAATGATACGCAGAGTCATTCTTATATAATCATTCACTTCGATAGCTGCTGAATTCAACATTCCAAGTATAATAGTTGCCTTTTCATCAGGAGCAATGCCAAGAAACACGGGCCTTTCATGCATAAGCGAAGCTGAGATACATTTCTCATGACGACTGTCCCATTTTCGTAGTTGCATCTTGAATACCATGGACAAGTGGGGTTTGGTCAATTTGTCCAAGATCAGAAGCATCAAAACAGATTTAGTACACAGACCTAGCTGCTCGTGGCTTGTTGCCGGAAAGCATTGTCAAGGGATTTGAGCAAACTTTGGTCTTGGAGCTTCACCACGACCTCATGTCAAAAGGAAAAAGACAAGCGCGACTTTGGGGGTTTCAAGTACCGGACGAGAAGCCCCGAAACAGCCAAAACACTCCCCGCGGGGGTCGAACCCGCAATCTTTGGATCGCCACCTTGGTGTAGAAGTCCAACGCCCTACCTTTACACCGTGGGCAAAAGCCCGTCGCATCCGGGTTTGCGACGACAGGACGCTTCACACGGGGTGTAGCGACATGTGTATGCTACATAGCCAAAACTGACATGCGACCGTCTGACATGTACTGCGACAGGACCCTCGAAGGTGCGACAGGTTGTGAACAGGTTGCGACAGCGGCCGATTTCGCCTTTGCGGTGCGACATCAAGCCGTTCAAGCCATTCTTGATCCAATCCGACAACAAAGGACAACAACCTTCATCTCTCATCATGAGCGTTTGTACTTACTCACAACGCACAACCGAATTGTACACCGACCAAAACGGACCGGCTCACCGTGGTCAATGGAAGTCAAATACTCAAGAGAAGACCTCTACAAACATACGAAGATCCAAAGACCACCGACGAGGCTTTCCTTTAGCGATCAGATAGAGGGAACAACTCAGCCGACCCTATTCCTCTGAAATGCCCACTCGACATCCAGCCACTGAACATCTCCGAGGTGATCTACCATATAGCTTCAAAGGACAAGGAAGCTTAAACTGATCAAGCGCTTGATCATGCTCATATCCGATTGTCTGACCTACAGCATCAACACAGTACATCTCCATCAAAGACCCCATTGTATCTACTATTCAATCAAGCCTTACCTCGCTGCAGTCGTCGTACTTCTTTCAGTTAAACTATCGAGGCATACACTCAACTACCTATCTACTATCTACTTTTGTTAGGTTTTTCTTTCTGAAAGCATCTCATGAAACATTGCCACAATTGATCAGTACCGACTCAAGTTCTCCATTTTCTTCAAAAGACAAGCTACACATTGATATTTTGGATAACTAAACCTATCTAAATGCTGAACATGATGGGCCAGATCACACTCAATCTGTATGAATATAATCAATCAGAGTGCACTCGTGGATGGTTTAGTATCATTTGGGTAGCAAAACATGAGAGCCCAAGGTGTCTTTGAAACCTTTTTGAATCAATAGATTGGCATGCCTTATGATCATGCTTCTCATTGGTCGGTCTGTATACAAAAGTCCCCATATGAGTCCATTGATCACACTAAAAGTTGACTCGTTCCAATCACAGCGGTATATCGGCTTCTTTACACAACTTACCAAACATTTGAGCATCTTCAATCTGTCTTAAGAAAAAACATGCGCATGTAGCCTTCATTGCTCATCTTTGGCCTAGTGGTGAGGTTTACGGGCATTGAGGAGTGGGTAGGAGAGCTGAGACTGAGTGGCGTATGGAAGTGGCTTGATGTCGCACCGCAAAGGCGAAATCGGCCGCTGTCGCAACCTGTTCACAACCTGTCGCACCTTCGAGGATCCTGTCGCAGTACATGTCAGACGGTCGCATGTCAGTTTTGGCTATGTAGCATACACATGTCGCTACACCCCGTGTGAAGCGTCCTGTCGTCGCAAACCCGGATGCGACGGGCTTTTGTCCACGGTGTTAGACTAGGGGAGCTTGTGCCAAAATTCCATTTTTGCCGTTCTGGTTATCGCCCTATAGACACTGGACAGTCATTGATGATATGCAGTGGCTGTCCAGTGTCTTCTGATGCCAAATTCGAATTGATAATCACCCTCAATCACCATGGGCCCTTGGCGTGGGAGGCGGCAAGCGTAGGATAGGAAGATCAGGAAGATATATTCAAAATGGAGTGGGGTCAGGCCGTCTATTTTTAATCTTGGACCCTTCCGTTCGTTCACTGTCTCAGCGCCGAGGGACTTCGTTAAGGACCCTGGAAAGCTCCTGGAGAACAAACCGTCCTGAGGGGGTTTTCGGATACCGGTGTTTTGTGAAGTCATGTCACATGGTACCAGAGATGTGACAGGTGCAAAAGATGCGCCTCAACGAGGGCTATCAGATGGTACACATGTCTGACCCTGAACATGACTGGTGGCTTGGGAAATGTGTGATTTGTAACTTTTGCCCCCCCAGACCGACGAAAATCCATACCGGCTCGGGTCGGGTACTTACATACGGATATCTCGGTGATTACACGTGGTACAAAACTGAAAGTATATGTAATCGAGAGCCCTGATCAAGGCGCTTCTCCTACCACCGAGAAATCCATGTTAACCCACCTCTCCTCGGGGCAAATAGTGAAAGTGTGAGGGCCGGGGCCGGAATGGATCGAGGACGGTTTGTTCTCCAGGAGCTTTCCGGGGTCCTCTTCGTTAAGTCTTGCTTGAATGACAGCTATCTCAGCGCCGATTGCAGCATCTTGATCACTTTTGTCCTTTCAAGTTTTCTGTGCTCCGTGGTTTTAAACATCGCATACTCAGTCATTCCTTTCAGTCCTTAACACCACAATCTCTAGAACGTAGCAACTTTTTTTTAAATCAGGTCTACATATCGCGCCAGCTTCGTATAATTTGGTCAAATTCAATACCCGCGTACTCCTCACGAACTCATACTTTCGCGAGCGAAACAAGATATTCAAAAATTCGCAGTAGTCCGACTCCCATCGTGAGTTCGCGAGAATCCTTTTTGCTCATTCGTCTTCGCCATCCCGTGAAGCTCGGACTTTTTCTTGTAAACTGACTGGCGCTCTTATGTGACGGTGTAGTGCCACAGATATCGGGTATGAGATTAAACTCGTACTTGATTCGGGCGCCCTGCGTAGGATTCGTATTGTGCAGTCTCGCTGAGGGCAGTCTCACTCCGGTCCAGCCTTCTGATGCACGATCGACCGCTGCCAAACGGAATGTTGATTCGCCATCCACAAATGGTCTCGGTATCACGCTTCCCGTGCTGCCTGAAACTTTGCATGTCGGCGTTGCCAATGCTTCATCCTCAATTCCCAGCACACCTGTGTCGAAACATGGCCTCGTTGTGCAAGTCATTCGCGGTGTGATGGCCGTTCCATTCCGACTTCCCATCAGACCACCTGTCCCACAGGTCGCTGGGCCTTTATTCGAACCGATTGCTACTCAACCTCCTGCCTTCTTCCAAAATGCTGTACAACATCCAGTGAAGCCGGTAAACTTGTTGCCAGCCTCAGGCCTACGGCTAGGCGCGACGGACGACTATGTGCCAATTGGAACCAGCAAGTGGTACAATCAGTTCCTCTTACCAGCTAGTCAAGGCACCGATCCTGTTTTTTCCTTGCCGTACGCTATCGCCTACCTCAACGGGTCCTCCACGCTTTCGATATCAGATTCTCAGGCTATTGTAGGAATTGGCGTGTTCCATGCATCCGTGGCTCAGCGTATATATGCTTACCCAGCAAATGATACTGGGCGAACGGTAGCGCGATCATACACTTACCCCCTCAATGCTACTATCAGTATGGGGGCTCAAGAATTGACTCCAGCCAGCGTCCGTGCCGAACTTTCAAATTGGTCCGAGCTCACTGCATCCTTGACTCTTACATTGGCGGGTGCCAGTGCAGATTATACCTCTACACTTACAACCCATCGCCCTCAGCTCACTTCTCCTCTCTGTCGAGGGGCGGCTTTTCTGACATTCATTTATCAAGACCTCACCCCTTCCATCCGCTCAACATACAAGATAATATCCTTTACTGCGGTTGAGTCGCCACATGAGACAAATCCTGAAGCCAATATCGCATCTGATGAATGTGACTCCGAAAACTCTCCGACCCGTTTCAGCAAATATCGCGTGTCTTACAGCGATAATTCTACCTGGTTGATTTATGCGAGAGCTGCCTCAACTTCTACTCAGAGACCTCTTCAGCTTCAAAAGTCGCCGAACTCGCCCTCGGAACTTGTTAGCTTGAACGGTGAATGGACAGGTGTTATCCAAGTTGTTAGGCTAAGTGACAATGCTAAAGTGGGATCCGCAGAAGAGGCATTGTATGATCGCAGTGTTGGAGTTTGGGTCACTGGCGCTACGATAACGACTGGCGCGGTCGGCAGCGGCACTTACGGTTTCGATTGGGGTATGATTTCCTGTTCCATATAGCCGAGACCGAGCAGTGTAGACTGATGCTGAAATTTATGTCCACCCTTTTCGTGCGTGTTTGTTGCTTAATACAGTAACTTCGGGACCTCGAAAGAACTCTATGCCTCCGTTGCTGTTTGCACTCCCTCATCATGCGGCTTCCATGTCTTCCTCAATCAGTCCTGTCAAACCTAAAGTAGTCCTTAACTCCAGAGTGAACGGCGATATGGTTTTGTACGCGTCCAAGACATGGAAATTCATAGAGCCAGAGATCGAAGCTGTCAAACGTTACACCATTCGTCCCTTCAATCCAGAATTAAGTCACCCTGCTTCACCCACATCTCGAGATTTGGATATCCTTCGACAAGTGGCCATCAAGGACCTTAGTGTTGATTTTGTTGCGGAGTCAAACCTAACAAGCTGGTGTACGTTGTTTGTTCATTTTCATCAACGTTGCAAACTTTATCTGATGCACCATTATGGGTGTTGCAAACTTTACACTTCCAGATTTTAGTGGTAAAAAGCTAGCCAAACAGGCCTTGCAGTGCCTCGCCATCTCCGAAATACTCAAAGACTCCAACTTGACCTCGCACTGTGTGAACCAAACGCAACACAGTTTCCTCCAATTCCTGGACCCTAAGGCTGTGAGAGCTACGGATCCCTTAGTTTATGAGCGAACCTGGAAAGGAATTATCAGTTCTACATTCCTGAAAACGGGTGATCAGTATGCTGATTTTGGGAATGGCGTGTATAATGGTCTGTCTTTTGTTAATCTCACCTTTTGATCATCTTTAATTGACGCCAACACCAATGTACCCTTTTGATAGATCATCATTTCCATTATGGATACTTCATTCATGCGGCTGCTATTCTCGTCAAGCTTGATCCAAGCTTTCGTGATAAGGTGTCTTTCTTTGTCGAGTCTTTGATTCGAGATGTCAATAATCCAGCTCCCGATAAGGATAGTTACTTCCCGTTTTCGAGGCACTTCGATTGGTTCCTGGGACACTGTCTAGCTACTGGTTTACAAAGTTCCATCAATGGAAAAAATGAAGAAGTTAGACCTCGTGATCTTATTCTTCCAATTGATACAAGAACTGACCTAGTTTTTCGTCCAATCAGAGTACGAGTGAGGATGTCAAGTGCGTAAACTCATACTTGTTTTAATATGGATACAGACTCTCACATTAAAATCTTTACAACAGTTTCTTTTATGCCGTCAAGAGTTGGGCAGAGGTAACCTCGAGGTCTGTGCTGGGAGGTTTGGCCGATCTTCAATTGACTATTTTACGACGCAGTATCAATTTTTATTACCTCATGACAGAAGAGAATACGATCCAACCAGGAAATTTCATCCAGAACCGTGTAGCTGGAGTGATGTATGAAAACTTGGTTAATTATACTACCTTCTTTTCAGTGAGTCAACTTTACATTTTCTTCCGACAAGGTGCTTGAGCTGATCTTGGTTTCGCCAACTTTTGAAAGGAACTCAAAGAGGCTGCTCATATGATACAAGTGAGTTTTCACTTTGCAAAAATCCTCGACATTCATCGTTGCCCCTAAACATCATTCTGGATCTTGTCTCTTAGGTCTTGCCCATCACTCCAATCACACCATTCACTCGTGCCATTGATTTTGTCAAGGAAGAATGGGTAAACAGTGGACCTAGTACAGATCCCACCAATCAGCAGATCTCTACGATCGCTAGCAACCGTACTAGTGGTAGGCTCATACGCTTATCTGTTCCAATCCGCATCTGGGTCAAATACTAATACAATGCCTTGTCCCCCTGCGCGATATAACAGGTTATCGTACTCTTCTTTACACCCAATACGCAACGGTTGAGCCTCGAACTATCTTCGAGGGACTTGCCAGTAATCTGACGACGGATAGTTTAGACGATGGAACTAGTCTAACGTGGTGCTTGGCATTTGCGCTTAGTCAGATGACAAGCACTGGGAAATGATTCTACTAGGTTTTTGAACATAAAAAACCTTGGATGACGTATGGTTTCTTCTTGGGATCTAGGACCTGCTTGAGGTTGATATAAGGGTAATAAAGTTGGATCGAAGTCAATCCTATGATGTCTTTTGTTTTTCACACTTGATCTTCTGTTTTGGATCATTTTGTAATTAAGAACAATTTTTTCTCTTACATATAAAACCTTCAGCAAGCGTACCTCTTTCCAAAACAATCGGAGCCTAGAGCCATTGTGAGGTACCGTGATAAACTATTTCCACCTGGGTGTCCCTCAAATGGACCTCACCTACAGGTGTTTATCAGACAGGATTCAGTAGTCTAGGACAAGTTGAGACACAACCCTTCAGATGACTGATGACCTACAAAAGTCTTATGCCATGAAGCATGGAAATAGTACATGAATAATTCTGTAATGGATTGAGACATTGATCCACAGAAGACTTGAATTGAGATTTTTCACAATGAATACACCACTTGCCTGATATGTATGACTTTATTCTGACTAGCTGAATTGGATGCACATGCATCGAAAATTACTCTGGCGTCATACTAATAGATCATTCATCAATGCTGCTTGTGATGGGTATTAGTTGTAAGCTCTGGTGGAGTCCTACAAGACAAAGGAATCACATTTCCATCATGACCAGAAATCCAAGGTACTTTCAGAATTCAGGTATATGTTCATCCTTTGAGAAGGATGGATCACGATCTCCTATACATTCTGCATTATTTATGGTTCCCTATATTTGGTAATCATTGGGGTATCAATCAAGACTTTTAATTTTGTTCACCTTGAACAGCCTCACTTCCAAAAAATCCAAAACCTACTGAATACTATATTATTTACCTGTTGGTTAAGAAATTTTCTTAATAGCCAACATTGCTGATGGTTGATTGATTTAAACTAGGGTCAAAGGAAAGGCTTCATATACTAGGTTCCAAAGAGAGTCAGTCAAGTATATCTTTCTGATGCTTGACCTTTTGGTCATGATCAGAATCTCTTTTGTAGATCTTGATAATATGAGAATGAAATGCTCAGCGCCGCCTTGACACAAGTTCTCGCAGCCTTGGATCATATTGATCATTGAGAAACATTCCAAGGTCATTTTTCAGCAGAAGTATGTTTTTGCTTTCCTTGCTCTTTTTCAAGCCTTGGGCCAAAAGTATACCCTGTCCTTTCTGTGAATTACCTTCTGTGACAGTATTGTCCAATTATCAAGATTTTTGTCCATTAGGATATGAAGTCACTCTTCAAGTTTTCTTTCATGAAACTCTTCATGCACCCCACACAAAATGACATTTTACACTTACAACCATCATTCAAAATGCATGATACATCAACAAAATCCACCTAGTAAGTGGTCAGAGTTTTATGCTTGGAGCATTAAGAGCCTCCTTCTGTCTCTTCCAATGATGATAACAAGAATGATTGGAGTATGCAGCACATCACATCTGTCACATTAAAAGTCTGACAAGGAGGTCCTTGTCCAATTCATCTAAACCCAGAAAATGAGCTTCATGATATCTCATGCAGACAAGACAGGACAGCTTCTTGATACCTTGCCATTGAGAGAATTTCCAGGATTTAGTAAACAATGCGGAGCTTTGCATCCATAGTATGACATATGATCTTCGTGGGCATCTTTCATCATCACCTCATATCAGTGTCATGGTCCGAAATTCAAAGTGCTCCACATAGCCTCTTACAGCTCTATCAAGAGGCGGGATTGAGTGGGGATTGGTAACATTGTCTATCTTTTGCCCAATGTCACCTTAGTGCATATAAAGTACATCATGAGAAAGGTAATGCAAAGTTGCGTATGGCAGGGAATGGGATCGATTGCTACAAAGATAGAACAAAAAACTCTATGTATGATCCCTCTTTCAAGCCTTGCCGATTTTTTCTTTGAGGAGCGATTTAAGTGTCTCAGAATCCTCTGCAAACTTCTTAATACCTTCGTGTAGTTTGTCCCAAGCCATCTGGTCTTGTAGTAAGGCCCATCTAAACTCAGGCTCGTTGTCGACATACGACACTTTTGCCAATTTTTCACCAGTGGTAGCTAAACAAATGAGAAACTCGGATCAGCCCATGTCATGAATCGAAAAACAGATGTGTTGTGAGGCTTGAATACCGAAAAGGTCTGATAAGCTTACCTTTGTCAACACTTAGCTTTTGTTCAATCTTTTTGTCAGATTTGTGTAACTCATCCAACAAATTGGGCGAGATAGTTAAGAAATCACATCCTGCCAATTGCTCAATCTCGCCCGTCTACATAGATTCGCAACTCAGTCAATTCTTGCAATGACAACTTAGGGAGATGAACATTAGCCTACTCACATTACGGAACGAAGCACCCATCACGATCGTCTTGTAACCCTCTTGCTTGTAGTAACGGTATATCTTTTGAACAGATTGCACACCGGGGTCGTTGGCACCGTCGAACTTGCCATCAGGGTTCTTTGCCTTGTGCCCTGCGAATCAAGATAGATACAAAACATTACAGGTCAGACATTGTGCAATCTAGATGATCGGGTCCCGAAAAGCGGTGCGATCATTCAACACTGTAAACAAGCTTAATGAAGATCACTCACAATCCAAGATTCGACCCACAAAAGGTGAGATCAAGGTAACACCAGCTTCAGCACAAGCAACAGCCTGGCCGAATCCAAAGAGTAAAGTAAGGTTGCAGTGAATATCGTTCTCTTTCTCTAGCTCTCTTGCAGCCTGAATTCCCTCCCAGGTAGAAGCAATCTTAATCAAGATTCGATCTTTGCTGATCCCAAGTGATTTGTATAACTCGATGAGATGTTTGGCTTTTTGTTTGGTGGCTTCCTTGTCAAAGGAGAAACGCGCATCGACTTCTGTCGAAACTCGGCCTGGAATCAAAGCCAGAATCTCTTTGCCAAACTCGACTAGGAGTCTGTCGACGGTAGCATCTACCTGGTTATCGATCGACCTACGCTTTGTTCGTCAGTGGATTTACTCTACAGGTACATATTGATACCGGGAATTACACATACCCTCCTTGTGACTTCCCGTATTGGACAGCTACGTCGATCAATTTAGCGTATGCTGGTTTCTTGACCGCAGCCAAGATTAACGAAGGGTTGGTGGTCGCATCCTAATACGCACCAAGTCTCAGTAAAAGTGGACAACGACATCTACTCGATCTTGAATCAGATTGAAAATACGCACCTGAGGCTTGTATTGGGCAATGCCTGCATGTTTGTGGATGCAGAGATAGACCAATGAACATATGCATCAGTAACATAAGAGTTACAACGAAGACAAACGAAAGCGGGCACTGACTTTCAAAATCACCAGAATCAGATACGACAGTGGTATACTGCTTAAGCTGGTCTAAGGCGGTGGTCCTGTGGTCACCATACAAAGGAAACCAGTGAGATCAGTATCAGAGGTGGTACCACCACACCATAACATCTTTGGTAAGAAGAACTGTGAGCAAGACTGACATTTTAAAAGAGAATGAAGGTATGAAAGTTGAGATAGGTAAGTTCTATGGAGTGATATGGAAGTGGTTGGTTTTGGTTGAAGAATCAATCGGTTGGGGAAAAGAGCTTGAGAGAGCCAAGAACTAAATCTCGATCGATGACGTTTTTATAGCATATGTAACACTATGAGGCAGTGTTCGCATTGTGTGCTTCAATATGTAATCACATACATGCTGTACAGACATACATACTTTGCACACAGCGCAAGACTCGAATCATGAATGCAACCCACGCACAACGACTCACCACCACTCACAAATCGCCATGTGACCCGCGAAAGGAGTCGAGTTTATCGGCCATGAAGCTCTTCTGGCCATCCCGCTAGGAAGCTTTCAGAATAGGGTATTCACAGGGGGTTTTCAGAGAACCAGCTTGTGGTTTTGGTGGATCAAAGCCTTCCCGTCTCAACAGACGACAGATTTCCATTCAATCAATCATCATAAGATATGTTTAACAATTTTCTGACTAATTTCTTGGGCAATGGTTGGCAAAAATCTACGTAAGTAAAAATTCGCCAGGTATGTGAAAAGGTTTCTTTTGATGGAAGATTTTCCCGTCAATGTTCAGCGCGTTATATTCAAAGAAATTGATAGCCAGCTATAACCCACCAGAATCACAATCTTAACAAATTCACAAAGCCTTGTGCGCGGGGTTTGAACATAGCAAGCGATGAAATATGAATTTTGATGGACTACATGTAGTCATTTAGCTTGCAATACATGGTCTTGATCTTTTTTTCATGTTCACTTTCATAAAATCAAAATATTCAAAATGAGGATAATTAACATAAATTAGGATATATACTATGCACTGTAAAAAATCAAGTAAGACGAAGATCAGTTACGCAATCATGATCCCTTCTTACATTGATAATATATATACATCTGGCTCATATCTAAAATTTTCACTTTAGATCAGAAATTGATGAGTGCTAAGGAGGATATGAATAGCCATTCTAAGAAAGATTGACAACTCTTTTCTTGCAAAAATTTGTCGTCGCAGCAGGCAAAAGCAAGCCAAGATAATGATGAAAGGTATCCAAACCCCTCATGGATCAATTGAATGACATCAAAATACTCAAATTTATAAGATGTTTAATTTATGAAGGAGTTGAGTGAAAACCAAACAAAAGAAACAGTTCAAGGTAAAAAAACATGACAAATTTATCTATCAAGATTCGTAAGTGCATTGGGAAAAAAATACGGAGATAGCAACCAAAATAAAAACTAAAACGGCCTTCTTGGCTTGGTTCTTGATTCACAACAAAGAGATGGGAAGGTGGAGGAGCCAAGCTCAAGCGTTAAAGCATTCATCAATCCATTTTCCAAGGTACATGACAATCTTTCCTTTTGGACCTGTATATGAGTGTGCAAATAAAAGGATGAATTCAGAAAAAGAAACATTTTGAAGCAAGTACATAGATCATCAAGCAAAAAACTGACCATTCAAACATTGAACATTAGGTTTCTCTTTGTTTGGACCTTTACAGCTTACATCTAAACATTCCAAAACAAACAATTTCATCACTTGGTGAAATGTGGATTATGGAAAAGACTCTTGAAAAATCGAATTACGTACCGGTGCAGATCTGATGAGGTGAGAAAAGGATCAAAACATCACAAATTGTCGATATGATGTGTTTAGACCAAAAACCAGACATTAGCAACCTTGAGCTTTCGTGCGCGTCCCAAACGCCTCAATGGAAGTGGGAAAGTGAAGAAGTAAGTGTTAAAGAGATCGCTTACATCAGGAAGTCGGATGATCATCCTCTGTGATCGATCTCCACCTTTGTAAACTGTGAAGTCAGTCCTCGAGTGCACGTCACATCCGTTCATGGTGTCTTCGTAATGAACCCAATGAGCAATGCTTTTGGGATCCATATAATCTTTACTACCCTGCTTGGTCACCGCCGTGACCGACACAACCGAGCCACTCAACTGGGGTACCCAGTTATGTTTTACACCGGTCGACTTGCAATGTGCACTTCTAGTCCATGTAACCGTAGCGTGACCAGTGAAGATACCATAGTCTTGTGGATTCGAATTTCCTTCATCTTTCCAGCGCCAGTATACTTCTGCACTCTGAGGTGGGTGATCATCTGCCAAGGTCAACTAAGGAATGCAAAAGAAGATCCCTCCCTCCGAATTAGCATTGCTAAATTTTTACCAAAGGGGTTTTATGGTCCAGAATGCAAAGGTAGCTTACGCTTGGTAAAAACATGCAAAGACCCAGAACGAGAGCTGTTTGTAAAGATAGCATGATATATAAATTTAGGCTGGTGTAGGCATGACTTTGTCAGAAATCAAGGAAGAAAGGTCTCAAATGATTGGCTTTCTTGGCTCGGAATAAAAGATGTGGTCGAAGGTCAGAAGAAGAAGCAGAGCTAGAAGGGTCTATACACAAGGAAAAACGGTGAGACACGATGTAGATGGGTTGTGGATGGGATGCGGGATTCAAAAGTCCATTGGCTCGATAGCCTTTATATGCATCCTCTAGGCGCATGTAAGTAACATATTTATTTGCCTCTATCACAGTCTTGCGAACACGTCGATGTAGTCTCACGTCGGTAGTATAGTTAGCTTAACAAAGCCCTCTCTGCGCGGCCGCGTCCGCGCCCTCGCAGAGGGGCTTAGGACTAATCGTCGATTTTTGGCTTGAGCACTACACTCCTTAAGTGTCTCTAAGGAGTTTTTCGCATTTTTACGCTTCCCTCACAAACCAACCTCACTTGGCGCTGCTGGGAAAGTTGTTCATGATCATTTTCTACATGTGTATATCTTGTTATCACGAGAGAAACACTACCTCACCATGCTGTTCTTGAGGGAGTTTTCAAGCCTTATGTCTCACTTGTAAAGGGGCATACAGGGTGAATTTGCACCGTACCCGATTTTTGAATCATTTCTACAGGTGTGTTGTAAGAATCATCAACCTCCTTTTTTGGCCACACTGTTCACACTGGCCATGATGCTAGACTACGAGATTATGTAGAAATTTTATCAGAACAACTTTCCCTGCGGAGTCAGGTGAAGTTTGTTTGTGAGGGAAGCGTGAAAATCCGAAAAACACCTTAGAGACACTTAAGGAGTGTAGTGCTCAAGCCAAAAATCGACGATTAGTCCTAAGCCCCTCTGCGAGGGCGCGGACGCGGCCGCGCAGAGAGGGCTTTGTTAAGCTAAGTAGTATAGACCCTTTGGAAAGATTCGGTGGCGATCGGTAAACCCTCCCTTGGAGGTAACAATCTGATCCGCAGGCTGGGATACCTTGGCTTTACACAGCCCTCTCCACACGGCCGGCAAGGGATATTTACCTTCTCTTCAGACTTCGACACCGATTGATTATTTCATGTGGCACCGGTGGTGACTCATTTGGTGACTCATACAGTGGGTTAGGAAGCACGAGGCGGTCCGAGACCACCGTGACCGTCCCGGACCCTACAAAGTCCTTTAAGGAATGGACATTGTCATGGCGAGGAATTCTATTCTCTCATGATAGCATTAAGAGAACAGGCGAGAACAAGGCAGAAAGAATGTAGAAAAATCTTTGGGGAAAGAAGAGAAGGAGAACATGTGATCAGTGACAACTTTGTGCTTTCCTGTAGTAAAACACATTCATAAATCTAAGTGAGGCCCTTGAGAGCTGCAGTGGCTTTGGACGGGAATAAAAAATCCGGCTTTCCTCGCCAATTAGAGTCCGAAAAAGGATGGAGGTGGGCGGAAGACATCTCAGTGCATTTATTCTGATTCAACAAATCGAAGCAGAGAAATTGAGAAGAGATGAAATACAACAAATCACTCCAAGCGTCGACCCCCCAGGACCCATGAGCCTCATCTTAAATAATCTTAAGCCTGAAGGATCGCAGGGATCTCTTAGCGTGCTGGGTTGAAAAATTTCCGCTAAAAAACTTTGGTCAGCGTAACTATTTGAGTGCGCTGCTACGCTATTGCTACACTATCGCTACGCTGTCTCAGTATTGAAATGTGTGAGAAGGACTCCTTTTATGGAAGATTTCTTCGCCAGTTCCGAGCGCAATCATTCCAAAAAGTTGATAGTTGACCAATGGCAACATGATCAAACCTTTCTGGTAAAAGAAATTATTTTATTCAACAGGCTTTGATAACTTCTTTTGAATACAAACTTTATGGACTTTACATCCTTCAGGTGAGGTAAGCTGTCTACATGTTTTTTACATATTTAGTCGTCTTTACCATTTGCATCTTTTCAGGTTCAATTGGATAAAATCAAACAGGTGAAACAAAGAAAATTCAGGTAAAATGTACAAATAAAGTATTTTATGGATCACAATGCAAAAAGTTTCTTAGACTTCACTTCTTGGTCACATAGATTCATGTCCAAAATCCAAGCTCATATTTATGAACCCCTGACCTTGTGAAGAGTTCCAGTCAAAGCACAAAAAGCCTGAAAAACTTCAAGACTGGAGTCAGTTCTTTCCGAATATCAAGACAACTCCTTCATAAAAAAAATATCAACCTCCTTATCCCAAAAGAAGGAAAAAAAATCAATCTTCACCAAAAAACACACACACTTCAAAGTCTTCAAATAAGCAACGACAAATAATTGCATACGATTGGCCTTCAGAAGGTATTTGGATAGCAGACAGAGATAACAAGGTTCATTGAAGTACTAGTTACAAACAAAGAAATTACAAAAAAAGTGGAAAGGAATTGATGAGGTTTTTCTTAGTTGTTCATGAGTCCCATTGAAAAAAGACTCGCGAGAATGATATGATAGTGATTCTAATTCCCAAGACTGCTGAATCACATTTGAGAAGTCTTAATAAGATGTGAATACTCTTGAAAAGATATTGGGGAATCGGATATACCAAGTATTGTGATACCATAGGACTTTACTTTCTCAAATAACACCGGGAATAAGTCTGAAAAGCATAACAGAACAATCAGTTATATGGGAAAGGGAAAGATAGGAATCGAAACTATAAAATCAGAAAAAGAAAATCGGACTTAACAAGTAAGGGACTTTTTGACAATATTCTTCCCAACCTTTACCATATTTTTTTGAACATCTTTCATTATCTCTCGTAACTCTATGTAAGAGCATACATAAGAAGAAAACTAAGATGAAAAGAAAAGAAGGAACAAGAAATCAATGGCGTTTTCCTTGTGACAACCTACGATGATGAAAAAGCGGAGATGAGATTTCACCTGGGTAGAAATATGGGATCCAACTTGTTTGACCTGAACTTAACCCCCAACATAAACCTTGAATAAGATCAGCGGTATAATTCTGTGATCAAATGTAAGTGTAAGAGAAAGTGAGATCGATCGAGTCAATATCCCTAGTTTTAAATAAATGAATGTATGACCATTTCTGATAGAAAGACCAAAAAAGGATTGATAACTGACCGGTTTACGACAATAAGCCCACCAACCATCAAGTAACAATTTACGACCACCATCCATAACGATCATTTTAGGATTTTTGATATATCCATAAGGTAATTGAGGAAACCCATTCATTCTCTGAGTCACTTCAGAGCCTAAATCTTGTTCCATCTTGAATCTACATTTTTGGCTCATTGAGGTATCAAAAAAGTAATAAGCAATCAAATAAGTGACAAAGAGTGCAATCGTTATAGGAGTCGAGTATGCGTATTCGGTTGGTGCTTGTTTGGTGATATGGATCACAGAATGACAGCTATTGAAAAGTTCTCAGTCAAATTGTGATCAAATAGGAATGGTGAGTTGGAGGTGGACTTGAACTAACTAAAAAAATGCCACCCCTGCGAAATTCCAAAAACAGAGTAACCAACCCCATTTCTCATAACACATATCCCAAGTCAAAGGGATCATCTCTTCACCCTTACAGCAGGCATTGATGTACCTATAAATTCATATTTTAGTCAATCAAGAGAAGATTTGAACTTGAAAGTCAAAAGAATGTAACGAACAATCCAGTGGCCATGACCATAAAGATCGAGTTTGAAGTAACATAACCCAGGGTTTCGTATTGCTTTGCACTACCTGAAAGAGCGATCAAGAAGAGCAAAATCCAGGGAATCCGAACTTCTGCAAACAGCTTTACGTCAATATGACCAATACGAGGGCTAAGAGCAGCTCCCATAAACTATTGAATCAAGAAAAAAAGTCAGTCAATTGAAACTTTACAGAAAAAAATGAGGTAAATCTCACGAAATCATAAATTGCATTTCCGCTCATTCTAACACTTTGTCCTTGTAAGATTGGAACAAAGTAATACCAAATCGAGATCGCAAATCCAAAGAAAGTAGCAATGGTCATGAGATGACCTAATTGATCGAAAATGTCTACTAGCTTGAAATATGGTGTAAATCGATCGAGAACGAATACAGTTGCAAGAGTCGTGTACCAGGAGGCGAGCGCATTACCTACCGTTCACCAAGATCCACAGTCAAGCAAAACAAATGAGCGATCATCCAATACAATAATCAACCAAATCAAGTCATCACGAACAATAGTAAAGCATCTTTCCACCATTAAGTGAAGGGATTGGTAAACCTTCTTGCCAAACACCTGGCATCACCCAAGCCAAGAATAATTCATAGAGCATAAAACCAGTGTAAAGTCTAAAAGAGCTCCAAGTTGGACAAGTGTGCTATCGATTCAAACAAAAAGTATCAGTTTTTGGGTAATTGAGAAAGACTCTTCTTTTAATGATGGATTTTGAACTGACCAATTTGATCAAACCCCAAAATTCAGTCCACCAACTTATCACATCATTTGGCATCAACGAGTCTGGTCGAGATAACTTTCCATCATAGCACCATAGACCTGACGAAGATTTCAAGCGGTTTTACAGATGCGGATTGATCGATTTATAATGGACGGTTTTTAGCTTTGATTCGACTTGAAATCTCGATGGGCAGAGAATAAGAAGTCAAGATGAGAGCTTACAGATAAAGAAATAGTACATCAATGATGGAAAGAAAACCATCATGAAGGAAGTACCAAGAGGTCCACCAAACTCATAATGTAAATGAGGGTCTACCTAAAAGATTAAGTTGATCTGATCAGTTCTTTCAAGCAAGATAGATCGAATAGGATCCTACGAAGAGTGATAATCATCAATCTACCTTTGGATTGAATTGACCAACAAGTTCTCCTTTTGGAGGGAACTTTGCTATGTAAGCTGATACTTGTTGTTTAGAGCTAGTATTACTGTCACTTTTATGAGACTGATGAAGTCTTTCAGGGTTCATTAATCGATTACTGATTAATGTAGACATTTTGTGTAACCTGAGTTGATGATGAAGGTGTTCAGAATAGTGGGTGGAGAATGCAAGAGGAGGAAGGAAGGAAGAAGAAGTTCGGAGTGAGTCACGGTAGGATATAAGCACAAGAGAATCGATGCGAGGTAAAGAAGTGGTAAACAAGAGATACACTAAGAGCACCCACTATGGGTGCGGTTACGAGGTGATTTAGCGTTACCTTAACGCTAAAATTCAGACAGGTCCACTATGGACCTGTTTTACGCTTGCGGTCCGTACCGCTGCGTTAAATCTTGCACCCCGCGTGCTCAGATCTACGCAACCCTACGACATGATTTATCGTACGATAATCGGTCAACAACTGTAGTTTTCAAAACCCCAAACTACAAAACATCACAATTCATTCCTTCAAACCTCATCCTCAAACTTCAACACCTGAACTTCAAAGTTCGAATTTTAAAACTCATTCGAAATCGACGTTCAAATTTCGATTCGTATCTGGCATTTGGTGCGAAGTAGTCATTGTAAAGTTGCTGACCGCGAGCAACACGGTCTCCATCTATACGTATACGAGTATGAGGAAGGGGTGGCGGTGGTGGGAGCTCATTGAAGAGGCCGTCAAAGACCAACTGGTCATAGTCCTGCTGCTCGTCATCGTCGTTTGAAGACCTCAAAAGACGTTCGATTTCTTTTTCAAGGAGCTCGGAGCAGGCATTTGGTGATCTTTTTTGGATGAAATTTATGAAAGATAAGTTATTTCATTTCAAAATTAGACCACTGTGGATCGACCAGATCCACAGTGATTTATCTTTGGTAAAGCAGACGTTACATCATCCCATAGTGGAATTCATGCGTTTAACAATTGAGTTGTTACACGCATCATCAAATTTGGCGCTCAGGAACGCAAAATCTACGATAAATCACGCCCACCATAGTGGGTGCTCTAACTAGTATGAATGAAGATTTTAGATTTAGACAAGGAGTAATTAGAAATGTACCGGTGACTGGTGAGGGTGGGAGAAGAGATCAGTGCCCAGCAGTGCCCGCGTGAGACGAGACTGAGAGACGACGGAGAGACTACCATGAGCTCCATGAGACGACCAGACCCAAAGACCAAGAGTTACATGTTAAACATCAGATTCAAAGTTATGAGTGTATGTCAATTTCTCATCTGAAATCGATATATTCATGGTTTATCCTCAACTGCTCATCTTCGTTTATCGGCTTTTTACTTCTCAAATCAGGGAGACAGAGAGACAGAGAGACACAGTTTGGCTGTTCAACAGCTCGTCTTAACATTACAGCACTTTTCCTCAGATTATTTGCTATAAAATAAACAACAGACTTCCTAACTTTGTACTAAATCCAGGAGTTGAACATTTTAACTGCTTGCGAATCGCAACTGAACAAATTGTTAAACAACCTTCCCTTGATCTGTTCAACCTTGACTACCCCTACCGGAGAGTCAAAGGTGGTCCGGAAAGGGGAAATGCTCCTGGAATGAGTTCCTCAGCCCAATTTACTATTGATGTCAGTTTGGATACGACGGTTTCAATCGATCTCGACTCTGAACCATCCCCACCTCTCAATTCACCGCATCAGTATAAACTTGTCCAAGTCCCATGCTGCTTCTCGCACGCTTTGAGCACAGCCGGGGACTTATGAGGACTTATGACAACGAGGCACGCTTTGGCGGCACTTTGGCCTGTGAGGGGAAAACGTTTTTGCAGGAGAAATCTGGCTTCCTTGTCAAACTTTTTCCCCGATTGGTGGATTGTCATGAGGCAAAGAAGTTTATTGTTTGCCTGTCTGAGACGCATTGATTCATTGAAAAAGACCCAAAGACTCCTCCCTCTGCTTTTGCTTGAAGTTCAAGGTTTTTGTCAACTTTGCTGTATTTTGTATAGGGGGCTACTAAAAAGTGCCCGCAAATAAAACCTGAGACCGCCCGCTTTTAGAATCCGGTGTTTACTAAAAATGTTTGACTGAACTGTGGTTCAGTCCCGAGGTAATAATTTGTAAGAAATCAAACGGAAAGCGGGCGGTCTTGAAAATTATCGAAAACCCTTCAAGACCTCCTGCTCCGGCTCCCGCTACCCACATCTCACAACCAGGATAGCAAGTTGTTGTGTTTCTTCTTGTTTTCTAACCAAGCTCTATACCATAATTATAAACCTCTGGCTGATGGGCTGGTGTTGAGATAAGCGATCTTGAGTACACGAGTACACTCACAAACGGCTTTTACTTGGCTAGATTCAAACTCAATGAGGCTAGAACTGCCCCTCTGTCTGCCAGTCTCTTTTACCCAAGTTGGCAATGTGATTGGTCTTTGAAGACCTCGATCTGCCTGTTGCTAATCCGAGAGTTGGATAAAGTCACAAAAATAGTTGGTCAATCTATGATTGATTAGCACTCGTTTCTTTTTCCTCTCTCGCTTCAAACACCACAAACTTCTTGGCATTCATTGCATACATGTCTTGCTTGTTGAAGCAAAGAAATTCGGGAATGCGATAAGATGTGTCTTGCATTGGTTTGAAAGGTTTTTTACCACTCGTTATTCAACTTACAGGCTATGCAAATTTGCAATAAACCCCCTGAAATCCACAAAACTGTTTTGAATCCAAGTGATGTTGATTCTAGCCTCAACCTTTGAGACTTTGGCCAGACCAAGTGAAGCCATCAAACTCTGGGGAACCCTTCAAATAGAGCCTTGAATCCTGTCAGGCTTCTGGCCTCATTGACAGAGGATATGTAGTCAAGCCTGAGGGGGTGCTGAGAGGGTCTGATTGTGTTCAGTGCTTTGAATGTCTTTCAAGTTTAGCTGCACAATCCAGTTGAGATAAACGATTGATATGAAGGATGAGATGTGGGTATGTAGCGGGAGGTTTTGTAGGGTTTTTGATAATTTTCAAGACCACCCGCTTTCCGTGTGATTTCTTACAAATTATTACCTCGGGACTGAACCACAATTCAGTCAAACATTTTTAGTAATCATCGGATCCTAAAAGCGGGCGGTCTCAGGTTTTATTTGCGGGCACTTTTTAGTAGCCCCCTTTGTATAAACCACTCTCAGTGTTCAAATACAGGTCAAAACCCTTGACCACACTCCAAAATCCTGAACTTCAGAAGGAACTTGAAAGAGTATTCCTTGGGATTTTGATAGAAAGGAGCATCTTAGAGAGGGGGACAACAAGTGTCTATCGTTCAAACAAATCCACCAATAGGTAAAAAAGTTTTATAAAGAATGAAATTTTCTCCAGCCAAACTCGATTCCCCTCACAAGAAAAAGTGTGTCTGGCTGTCATATGTAAGTCCTGTGGTGTACTCAAAGCATAAGTGGCTCTCAAACCTTACCCAGTTTCAAAAAACCCGGTTGCCCCAGTTGAATTTTTGGCTGGGAGCTGTCAACAAATGTCAACTTGATACACAAAGTTACTGCCAAAAAACAACTGGGTCAACTGGGTTTTTTGAAAACCGGGGCAGGTTTGAGAGCCACTATACAAGAAGCAGTGTGGGATTGAATACAAGTTTACTTCAGACTCAGTTCATACCATCAATTCATCCTCTGGGCCAGATGTTGACAAACTTTCTACTTGAATCACTCAGGCCCAACTCCAAATCAATCCGTCCACACTTAGGCCCCATTTGGTATAGCTTACAAAAACCGGGAGAAATGTATTATTTTCTGAAAATAATCCATTTTAAACTTTTTCAAAAAAAGTCATTTGTTATTGCTTTTGCCCTCTTTTGCCCCTCATTTCAAAAGCCATTTTATAGTCAATAATCCATTATTTTTGATCATTTTGAAAGCTGCTCTAGACCAGCTTTCAAGTTTTGATAATTCATTATTACCTGGAGGAACCCTCAAAACTCAGGGCTCTGTTGCATCAAGACTCAAGACCACTTCCGATCAAAGTCTTGCCGACTACAAACAAATCTTTCTCCATCACACAAGCCACTTCAAACTTTCAGACTATCAACTCTACTCTGATTTGTACTTCAATTGTTGTAACTTGGCTCTAACAACTGTGATCCTTACAAGTTCAACTTTCATTTTCAATCTTCATGATCATTGATTTGCCTTTTGTCTTTCAATCAATTACTGGTGATAATAGAATCAACATTACTTGTTTCTTGTTGAACATATAGACCAAGGGGTCCAGACTCAGACCAAGTGATTTCACTATTGATCATCTCCATTGAACCATCAATGTGATGATTCTATTGAGTCATCAATGAATCAATAGCCAAGTTCAGTTGATCTCTTAAATGTCCAAAATCAAATGGACCAATCAAGAAATGACATATTTTGATTGATATGTGGTCTTGTTTGGTGAAATACCAAACAAGACCAAACACCATCAATGGTTTTTTGCTTTGAAAATTGAATTTCAGATCTGAAAATTGGCTTCATAAAATAATAGATTATACACTGCATAATCTATTAATTTCTAATGTATTTGTAAAAGCTGAAAGCTATACCAAACGGGGCCTTAGTCTGCCATTGCCATCCAACTGGCTCAATCATCAGCATCACCTTGACTCACTAAATCAATGCCTTGCAACAAACCCAAAGCTACTGCAACCAAAACTTGTAACTCACACCCAAATAATTCCAAATTTAATTTGACCAAAAAGACTTCAACAAAGGCTTGTGGTATCCTCACCTCCCCCCTTAGTGACTGTACCTTTTACCTTAAGCTACACCTAACAACCTGGATTTTTTTTTCAATTTTTAATCTAGAAATCAGATCCTTTCAATTGCTTTCACACCACTGCACTTTCATCTCAACTCACTTCATTGGTGCAAATTCAAACTCTTTGACCTTCTTGTATGTATTTAAACTGTCTTTTGACGGTCTGTCACTAACTACAGAATGCTGAAGATTCCCTACAAGCACACACAAAAATTCACGGATACTGGTTCATAATTACTAGGACCATCTTTGCACAGAAAGGCAAGGGGCCAGCAAGGAAGCAGGTCTTTGCCTGTGCTCACGGAGATCAACCTAGAACAATTGATTCAGATGTACACGCAACCTCCACCTGCCTCCTAGGATGTCTGTGGTCAGATAATGCTGTGCATGATGCAACTACATGCCAATGGGCACTTAAGATCAAAAAATGAACACCAAAACCACAAACCTTCTAAGAGATTTGAAGACATGACAGCAGCAAGGAGACACACAAATGAACAGGTTACTGAGGTCCTTGACTTGGAAAAAGCAGGTGCTGCCTCTTGAGTTATCTTGAGTACCCTCAAAAGTTCAGATCCAAACAACCTATCAACTCCTCAAGAAATTTAAAATGTGGTTAAAGAACATTGTAATGAACATTTGCATGGTCATTCATCACTCAAAACTCTACTTGATGAGCTGAAGGAAGAAGGTGATTTTCACACATACCAACTAGATTCAGACCACTTGTTATGCTGCCTGTTATTGGTTCCAAATGTGTGTGCATTGTCTACTAAGGATCTCTGGACTGGTGATATATCACTGATGGACTTAACTTACAAGACCAATTGATATGTACCACATCTTACTCAAGCTTGATTCAACACCATTCAGGCTGATGCCCTACATTACCTCTCAGATTTGACATGCCCCTACTAGTACTATACATGATGGGGGTCTCAGCACCCCACAAGTCAGTCTCAATAGCATTTGATTTTATTCTACAAGAAACAGAAAAAGATTACACTTGGATTTTAGAGCAGATGAAGGCCTTCTTGGGCTCCAAGACACTACCAACAAGTGCTATGGTGACAGATTGAGAGTTAGCATTAATGAATAGGTTGAATCAGGTGCTCCCACATTCACACCAGCTACTCTGCAAGTGGCATACAAACAAAGTGTACTTGACTGATGAAGCATGGAAGAAATCAAAGGCAAGGAACAAAATATGTAACTCTCTATCTCCTGAAGTTTTTGATCACTGTATCAGGACAATCAGCACACAGATTTGCTCAAGAGCCTTCAATTACATCAAGAAGACTTGGTTCATACCCAAGGAAAACTTTTTCCTTGCTTAGACAAAGGATGTTAAACACTTTGGTCATACTGTCACCTCTCATGTCAAAAGAGGACATGCCTCAATCAAACAATGGGTTGTGATGTCAACAGGAAATCTGGCTACAGTATACCAAAATTTAGGTCTACTTTGTCAACAGCCGCAAATCAAAGTAACTCAATTGAAATATGAAATACAACCACACTCATTCTTTGAATTGATCAAAAGGCAATAGGGGTTGGGCAAAATTTTGACAAACCAGTTTGCAAAACCCATTCAGTTGTAGTTCAACAATTTAAGAATCCTTTTGAGATGGCTAGAAAGCAATATCAAAGCCACTCTTAACCGACCAAAACTTTCATCAATCTTTTTGCTTTCCAAAAAAGTAGACCGGTATGATGTGATTCTTGATCACGCCAAAGCTGTAGCCATTCAAAACTCTTACAGCAAAAAGTAATTTGTGCCGCTACAAGCCACACAGACTCCCCTCTGGGTCCTTTCACAGAGCCCCAGATCCTTCCCTTCTGGCAAAAGCTTACCCAGGCACTTGCCTAAAATCTCCCGGTGCTGAACTCAGACCTGTAACAGATGTGTGAAACCCAGAAAACATGTCTTCCTCTATCTTCGACTCCTTTTGCCGGGCTTCTCAGAGGTGCAAAACCAGTTGATCAAAATTTTGCCCAACCCCTAATATCTGGAGCAAGGGAAATAGGAAGATCTCACACTACACATCACTTGAGGTGTGTTTCCAATTTCTCTTCCACATCACTTGTTATGCCTGAGGTTGTTAGCTAATTTGTCCCTTTGCTCAGGTTTATCAACAGTACATAAAGTCACTGTTGTTGAAAAAGGACTCAATTTGCATCATTTACTTTTGGGATCCAAAGGTTTACCCTGCATGCACTTCATAAAAAGCTTATTGAACCAAATACATATAATCTTCTGTTTCAACACTTTGACAATCATTGGCAACTTGATTATGCTCTACCCCTATTGAACCACTCTAGTGCATTGAGATTGATACAATACTTGAGAATATTCAGACTTGATATGTAACTGTACAAGCCCACCAACAAACTGTTTTAAAGAATCAACTCGCACAAATACCAAATAAACCAACTCCATCAGTTAGTGATCTGGTTCCAATTTGTTTGCTTAGGTGACGACTTGGTGCTTTGAGCAAATCTAAGCAAGATCAATCTGGATACGAACAATGTTGCCAATGTCATGAAAGGGGCCATAACAAACAAACCTGTTGAATTTATCTCAACAATACAGGAAGTTCAACCAAGCTCAAATTGTAGATCATCAAACCTTTGCTCACCACAGATAGATCCAATCATGTATACCTGATTTGCAAAACAATAACAAGCCCATAAAGGGCTGTTTATACATTACTTACAAATCTAAGTGCACGAGTGAGTGAGTGAGACAAATGGAAGTTGACCGGGGCAAAACAATCAAAAACAACAGCTATTTATTGATTGTTCAAACAATTCAGTGAAAGAGATGAAGGTATTCTACTGATACAAACACATTAAAAAACAAAAAGAAGCTCATAAAGGGCTGACAATGATTAAATCACTCTCCAAATTGAGTCCAAAGGAGGTGCAGTGGTGTGAATGGGCTTTGTTTTAAAAGATACAATCAGTAAGTTAAAAGGTATACAATTCTTGCAAAAATCTCTTCATTGCCACACATGGTGAGCCTCTTAAACAAAAGATCACCAAAGAAATATTCCTACCTGATTGTTTTAAATTTCTTTGAAGTCTACATTCATTTGACCCCATAATAACTTTTCACAAGGGTTCAAGTGATTGCATTAACATATCAGAACATCATTGCTCACAAGCCATGTTAACCACAATCTCTCAAACAATTCTTGTAAAAAATATTACAAATTGTCCAAACAAGTATCCCAACCTATCTTAGAAGAAAAATCTAGTTATTAAAGATTTACAATCAAGTTTCTCACTGCCATTTGAAAGATATCAAAGATTTTGAATCCTCCAATATGGAATATTGTGAAGTTTTATATCCTATACCATCACATCACAGAAGTCAAAACTTCCAAATTACTGCTATGATTACAAGATCATACCCGCGTCTAGTGCTATGATATCCACCACATATTCCTTTTATTGTGAAGGGTTGGTGATTAGAAGTTGATTCTATGAAATAGACGTCCCGAATTCCATCTGAGCTGCAAATTTTGCATTAGTTATTTATCAAAGATCTGATTTCAGTCTAATCTTTCACCGTGTCCAAATCAGTAGATATAATGAAGTTTGAATGGTGATTCAAATGGTGCTTAGACTATCAATGGATGACAATCAAATGACATTAGCATCTCGACAAACCTGAATTAAATGAAGGAGATTATGTCTCACAATGCTCTTTATAAAACTCAAAGCTGCAATTACTACTTTTGATCTCCTTGCAATGAGTTTTCAAGACCCTTCCCAAGTCGCTTGGTCCACCTGATCATCCAGTAAAATAATGATCACAACATCAGTATGACAATGAAAATTATGAAGTAGAGGTATATGAGATCTAGAGCTCTCATCAGCCCTTTTGATCTAAGACTTACAAAAGAAAACTCCAACTTTACGACTTTTCTCTTCGCCTTCAAGCGCAGAAAAAGAATTTACCGTATTCTTCGCAGGTTCAAATACGTCACGTTTCCAGTCTGGTCGACCGAAATGCGTTCCAGCTTCTAATCCAGTGAGTGCATCATATTGAGATTTGGCACTGTTCAAAGTGACATTCATCACCGTGTCAGTATCGAGGTGACCGGTGAGGTACATATCCATTTGCAAGAAATCGGGCTCTTGAATGCTTTCTTCTAAACCTCGTAGAACGTCTCGGAACCATCCAAATGAAGCCGGCTCCTATACAAACAGATGGAAGAGGACCATGCATTTAGTTTATTTATGGTTCCTGATCAGTTATGTAGAGGGTCACCCAGGAGAAAGTGTTCACCTTGTTCAACCAAATGAAGTGGACTTTGCGCAATCTGTGCAACTCTCCTCTCTGGTACTTAAAGCTTGTGATTTCAAATAGCACTTTACATCAGACAAGGCTCATGTAGGTAAAATTAGGTGACTTGAAATCAAATAGATGGACTCAACTATATGTTTTTCAGTATGCTAGAGAACGGTGTAACACCGATCCCTGCTCCAATCAAAACAGCAAACTGAAATTTAAACACATCCTCTGCCGGTGCACCATGGGGCCCATCGATCCGAATGGTGGGTAGCCTAATGTTCCTAACAGAGCTGATGTCCACAAAGCCTGTAGTGCGTGCGTCCTGTCCTTTGACACCAGGTTTGACCATACTGTCGAGCTGTTTCGCCAATTTGGGTGTAGCCCCAAGCCTCTGACCGACTGCTCGAGTAAAGTCGCCAACCTGACGCATATGCAAGGAGATGTGGGGTTCATCAGGAGCGCTTGAGATCGTGAAAGGATGCCATTGAAATCGAGAAACTTCTGGCATTTGTAAAAAAAGCCATTGTCCGGGAACATATTTGAAACTCGGTTTTTGAAATCGTAATTCTACTGTTCCCGAAGGATGTAGAAGAACACTGGTGATCCTTGTCTGTCTTCGAGCGGCAATCTCGCGCCAAACCCTTTCTGAAAAATACAATACACCCCCGAATATTTCGTAATAAATTCCGTTGTATCCTATACACTTTACTTCTGCACCGGGTAATGCACCTCGCACAAAACATCCACTCGCGTGAGAAAAAAAAGCAATCTTCAAAATACCAATCCCATCAATACTTCAGCACTTAAGCACGCAATCCCGTGCCCCTTTCAAGTGACTGGGCAAAAAGACAGGAAGGACATACCGCCCAGAAGAATGCCAGTTGGTGTGTATACCAAAACGCTTCGAAACATTGTCGACGCACACGCCAATGCTAGATGGAAAAAGCATGTGATGATTGTGATTAGAGACAATCTCAAACACTTGAGCAACATCGCCTTCATAACAAATCAACCCACTGCCGTCGTAGCCATGAGAACCATTATGAGAAGCATTATATGGCCTGTTAAAGGTCCAGTCTCTGTGTACCTGAGTGTATCAAAGTACAACATCACAATTAGCTCCAAGATGAGATGATGAAATTGTTATGAACATCTACATAATTCCTACGGCTGTATTTGGCCGAACTTGAGTTGCTTCAACAAGGTACATATTCCGGTAGTGGGCAGTGGTATGAACCCTGGTAGATGATTTGATAACATCATCAGTATCGTATCAGCATTTCTTACGTTGAAATTGTATTTCGCTCACATGCTGTAAAAGATCATGGAATAGGCAACTTGGCGATGAAACCACGTATTCCTTTGGACCAGAAGGGACACATAGACGTTAGTAAACCAGTGACATTTGGATTGGGAGTATCTCGATTTTTGTGGGGAAAAAACCATCAACTCACTCGTTCAATGGCATCAGCCATGTGAGTTTCGGACGCAGGAATGAGATTGTTTTTCTACAGACTGTAAGCAAAAGATCAGATGCCTTAATAAAATGTACAAACTTTGAAGGAATGAACACTACAAGCTCTATGAATGATTATATACACCTACCGGGTAGGAATATCAGGGCGCCATCCAATACAAGGCAGAGACCGGCACCTCGAGATATCCACACCGAGTAAGTGAGCAAATTCAAGATGGCGAGTTGATCGTTTGATTTTTGAGAATACCATCCCCAAACAAACAGTGCTGCATGTACTCCATGCCAAATGAGATAAAACAATAGTCGTCGCGCAGTGAATTGTCGTTTGAATGTTTTAGAGAAGCTCATGTCTTCGTTTAGTCCTCTATGTTTTGAATTAGATCGCTCTCACAACTTCGTTTGTTTCGCTCGAGTGGCTTTTTGAGCTTTCGAGGTAATTGGCCAAAGAATTATACCCCGAGCCGAAACAATCGTTGAATGAGAGATAACTCAAGCAGTCTTCAATGAAGGTAGGTTAGAAGCGTCCAGCGCCCTCAAGGTCGAGAAGCCTTATACTTACTAATGGAAAAATAAAATGTGAGTAAAATACGAGTGACTGAGTACATGTGTAGACTGATTGATTGGAATATCAGAGGATGAGGTTGAGCGGAACTCACGTACGACTTGCTAGAAATCGCAACCGGCCTCGAGATTACTCTACCCACTCACTCGGTTGGCTTGGAGCCCAACCAAATTTGGATACAGCAGCCTCAAATTCACCTCTTGGTGATGAGAGTGAACATGGAGGGCATTTTGTCACACTTGTACGGTGGCTGTAGAGCGACAATTGAGTCAAAACGACAAAAGCGCAAAAATTAACATATTTTCACATGAAACACCCGCCGAAAGCCCTGTTCAGGATGTTCCGACCCTGAGTCCGTTGCGCTCGTCCACGACAAGCCATACGAAGCCCCTCAACCAGCTCGCAGATCCATATTTCGACTCAAATGGCAGCTCGTGGTGGGCTAAGTAGGACCCCGGTATGCTCCTATGAAGGGTACAGATCTAGAATTGTGACTTTTGAGCTCGCGCGGAGATACGGCATATGGGATTAAACAGCATTCTCTTGGATTTTACCTGTTTCTGCCTGAATTTTAGAGTCACTAAGTCCAATACAGCTGATTAAAAAGACTAAACCTGTCTTAAAGCTATGGGTAAAGCCAGGGACAAGTTTCCGAGCGAGCTCAAAAGTCACATTTTTGGATCTGTACCCCTTATAAGAGCATACCGGGGTCCTGGCTAAGTGCCATTCTTGTCAAAATTCACAGTTAATAAAACTAACCGAGGAACCCTCTTCGTCTTCCACCAAAGCCTCTCACTCAAATCGATCCGCGCGCCAAACTCGATTCACCATGCCACGCCCTGCCATCCTTACAGAAGAACACCGAGAAGTGCTGTCAGATCTTGTCAACCAAGGACTAACCAACCAACAAATCCAAGATGTGTTATTGAACGAATATCATACTCCGTGCTCGCTCTCGACTCTCACTCGTGCTCGTTCCGGTTGGGGCTTACACGCGCGGTACGACACAGACACACAAGATTTGCTTCAAGAGCTCGTCACTTTCTACCACAAGAAAGGCTTACGTCCCCAGGAAATCATCGACATACTCAGCAAAAGACATGCTTTGGAAATCACGAAGCGCACCCTCGCTCGACACTGCAAGAGCATGGACCTTCATCGACGCCAAGATGATGTCGACCGAGGTCTAGTCACCTTGGACCAGGTCGCAGAATTTATCCGGACCTCTAAGCGCCGTCCTGACGGTAAACTTGCCGGCTATCAACGCGTTCAGAATATCCTTCGCCACCAAAATAACGTTGTTGTCCACCGGTAAGCATCTCGTAATTCACATCATGATGTCTTAAATTTACTGACATCAATACGGGCTCACCTTCAGCAGTGTTGTTGCTGAGATGGTCAAGCAGATGGACGCCGAAGGAGTCGACACCCGCCTTCGCAAATCGATCCACCGTTGAACGTTTTATGTACCTGGTCCGAACCACTCTTGGTCTGCGGACGGACACGACAAATTGAAGAAATTCGGTATCACTATATATGGTATCATTGACGCGTGGTCCCGACGTGTGTTGGGATTGTTTGTCCACATTACAAACAATAACCCGGCACACATTGGCCTTTATTTCCTTGAGGTGGTGAAAAACCTCGGAGGAATACCTCAATGCACCGTGACCGACCATGGGGAGGAGCACACGGATGTATTCGCATTCATTGTGCAAATTGAATATGATATGTGAAGATATCTAAGAAGAAAAAATAGTAGGTGACGAAGAGGAAGAAAATTACCTACCTGGACGTGCTTCGTTATATACAGAAGGAGAACACGCGCTGGGTGATCCAGTACCGTGGCATGGCCCTGATTTCATGACTAGTCTGGAAAGGAACGGCATATTTGATCAATTGAGGCAAGTGGCAGTTGAAGGCAAGGCAGTCCTTGAAAAATTAAAATATTACGAAACAATCCGGCTTGGTTGCTGAGCCCAAGGTCAAAGTATAGTCCGGACTGACGGACTCAGGGTCAAAACCATCCAGACAGACCTCTGTAGCGGAGTTTCATCTTCAACTTGGCGCTTTTGTCCTTTTGACTCAATTGTCGCTCTACAGCCACTGTACACTTGACACCACGGGAATTACAGCCGTTGTGAGAACTAATGGTAACTTTTTTTTATTTTGTGTTGTGTCGAGATTTAATTCAAAACTGGAAAAAACTAGAAAAAACTCCTTTTTGACCATGATTACCGTGAGATAGAAGCATATTGCAGGAGCCAAAACAAGGTTTGGGCCTGTGAGATCGAAAAAAACTGAGTTTTGGACCAAAGATTAAACTCTAGTTAAAACTCGGCGACACCCATCACCTCAAAACTTACCAATAGTTCTCACAACGGCTGTAATACGTTCGTAACCTTGCACTAGCAGTGAGCTTCTACATAAGAACTCGATTGGCATCTTCTGTGAGGTTTTAAGAGTGGTGAGTTTGGGTAATTCAAATCGTAATGGTCCCCACGTTCCAGGGAGGTGGAATTTTACACCGGCCGCTTTACACTACGGTCCAAACTTTAAGGGCAAATATGTGTTCAAAACACCCCCAGTAATGACATTCGAGAAACATGGGACTTACTTAGCAGTGACAAATCTGTTTTGTAATCATGATGTGGATTATAATTTGAAAACATATATTCTCGAGGTATCTCAATACCTCACCAGAACATAAACTGCCCCAACGGATTGAAAAGCCTGCACCAAGACCTGAGGCTTGACTTTGAAAAACCAAGTCATGAAAATCTTTGAGCAAAGTCATAGCTTGCTTTTCACATCTGTTCACTCTTTGACTCCTTTTTCTTTCTATACAACTTCAGGTAAGACCTCTCTTTCTCTTCATCACCATTCTCCACATATTCAGACCTGTGTTAAGTCGATGAAGTCATGAAATATTGGATGCTGACATGTCCCCCATTTCGCATTTCCCATCTTGCTCAATCATTTCCATTGCTCTTGTTTGCAGCGTTTGGTTCGCTTTTGGTCACACCGCGGGAATTAATAAGTTCAAAACCCGATTGAGCAAAATTGCGGTGTCCGAGTCCGCAATTCCACTCAATCGTGGATCTAGTTCACAACTCGTTCGCATTACGTTCACAAGCTTTCCTCGAGTTCCCCAGCTAAGCCTATGTAAACATATACACACGGCCTACATGTACAAAGGCCCCTTTCAGAGCAAAGACATAGCCTCAAGAATGTTTACTTTAGCAAATCCAGATTTGATGACTGAGGAATCTGTAAACATAGTAAGTAGACTCAGGTTTGAGAACTTAGAAGGTTGAAGGGTGACCAGTTGACCCAAGCCATTTAGAGCACCCACTATGGTTGCGCTAAGTGGGTGATTTAGCGTTACCGTAACGCTAAAATACCCACAGGTTCACTATCAACCTGATTTAGACATGCAGTCCGTAATGCTGCATTAAATCTTGCACCCCGCGTGCTCAGATCTACGCAAGCCTACGACTTGATTTATCGTAGGAAATCAAGTTGAAACTGCGGTTTTCCACACTTCAAAACCTCGACTACAATCCTCAAATCTCAAACTTCAAGTTCAAAACTTTGAACCTCAACTTCAAAGTTTGAACTTCACATCTGCCTTTTGAACCCCCAATCAATTATGAATTTGAATCTTCAATCATTTTTTAATAGAGTTGTACACTCGTTTGAAATTTACATTTGAGCTTGAGCAACTTGAGCATCTCAATCTTTTTGGATGCAAGAGTGAGGAGGTGGAGGAGGTGTGTGACACTGAATTTTATCGAACAAGAAGTCAAAGACCATTTGGCCATAATGCAACTGTTCACCATTGTCATTCAAAGACTCCAAAAGGGCATCGATTAGTTTTTTGAAGAACTAGGAGCAAGCATTTGATGGATGTTTTTTGGATGAAAGTTATGACAAATAAGATATTTCCTTTCAAAATCATACCACTGTGGATCAGGTCAATTCACAGTGATTTATTGTTGGTAAATCATGTGTTACTTCATCCCATAGTGGATTTCATGTGTTTACCAACTTTGGTAAAACACGCATGATTAATTTTCGCGCTCAGGAATGCAAAATCTATGATAAATCACCCTCACCATAGTGGGTGCTCTTACAGCTGAAGGGAAACTTGTGAACGTAATGTGAACAAGTTGTGAACTAGATACGCGATTGAGCAGAATTGCGGACTCGGACACCACAATTTTGCTCAATCGGGTTTGAACTTATTGATTCCCGCGGTGTCAATAAGCCTTGTCTCCTGCTTCAGCTCAACCTCATACATAGAAGTTCTAAGTATCACTTCAACTTTTGATTTTTTAGTCACCTAGAATCGGATCAATCAATCAATCGCGTCGCAATTGCTAGTGAATCAAGCTTCCATTCATTGATACCCTTTCAGTCTGCCTCCTTTATATACACCAATTCATAAAAAGCTGCGGTTCATTTCTTGTCTTGTTTGTGATCTCCACAACTTGTATGTACACTAACTTCCCTTGCATGCAAAGATGTAATGCATCCTCATCACCATCTCACCTTGATGAGTTCTTGAGCCCAAACTCGTGACGAGCCCAGTTCCCCAATGTGCAGGTGAGTGCAGTAACCAATTTTTCAAAAAAATAACCCCATCGGATCGACTCCTTTTTGAACTGAGTGTATGTTCAGTCAAGGTTTTATAATGTAAGAAAAACATTTCCACGATGATTCCTCTGCTCCCTTAATTCCTCCTTGACTTGAATGCACCTTTCAATTGATTGGGGGGATAGAAAATCCACTGTTCAGGTCCAAAATAAATCCACTCAATCAATCAAGCTCAGAACTGCCGTGGAAGATATTGTTCATACTTACTGGCTATCTTGATACAATTGGCAAGATTGCAGACTTGATGAGGTGAATAAGCAGGTATCATGATGGCTTGACCGGGTTCCTGCCCAGTCAAAATATTATCAGTTAGAGGAAGAAGCAAAGCAAGACCTATCAGGGGGATCTGTGCATAAATTCACTTGTCGAATTTCCCAGCCTTGGACTTGACAATTTAGAAAAAGTTCTGAACAATTTTTGGGATCTAAAAATGTTTTCGACCTAGGATAAGAGTTTTTGTCAGTTTCTTTGTTGGGATCACAGATTAAACCAAAAACCAGACTAACAGATGGATCGGGTCATCATATTGTTTCCTTGACTCCACTGTGCTAATACCCAACTTTTGAGCTCTTTGGTCTATAAGGTAATTTCTGATTTTGCTGGTATCCAAATGATGGTATATGTGCCAGAGTGCCTGTATGGTTACAAGTCATTAGCACTAGGTGATGTAATGAAATAAGAGGAATACATTCGACCCACACAACCTTGCCCACCTTCATCTTCTTTAGCATAAGTTTGTATGTTGATAGCATCTATCGGTCAAAAACACAAATGCAAAGTTTTGAGTACCTCTCAGGTTGGGCCAGATTTTCTAAACTCACCACCTGCATCCAGGTGCAGACTTCAAAAAACAGAGCCAGCATGTTATTAGAGGCTTAAATATTGAAGGTACACAAAGTGGGATCTTACTTACACTGTTGAGCCGTGTGACCCTCTTTGATCCTTATTTTGCATGGCCACATACATCTATAGTAGAAGTACACAAACAATCAGCAAGTGATGTGGGTTTGATTGCCTTTCGGCTTACCTTGGGCCCTCTGAAAAAAAGAGTGTGCTATATATGTCAATGGAACAAGACTACGATGGATTAATTCAATGAGAATACTCACAGGTCTGGCTTGTTGGCTTCTTTTGGGAGACTTCACCACGAGACCATATGTCATTGAAGAGGCTGGGATAGTCCTTTAGGGTTTCAGCTGGGATCTTATAGTAAGGTCGCTGGTTCTCTTCCAAGGGTTTGAAAAGGAATTTGTCAATGGATGGTGGGAAGTGAGATTCTTGCACAAAGTCTCCTGGGTCTGATCGAATGTCCATTTCATTAAGCATTGATTGAATGTCAGTTATATTGAGATGAGAAACCTTGATGTGGGAACCATCTCCATGGGTGCTGATTCGATTGTGTCTCTGACATCGGGTAATCTGAGTGTGCCATTTTGTTTTGAAGTTAGAAATGTCTCGATGGGGTGATTGAGAAACTAGAATAATAACTTCATAGCACTTTGGACAGGCCATGTTTCCACACTGCTTGCACAGGCAATCAGCACCCACCAAGGTTACTGAACAATAATTACAGGTTATAGTAGCTTCCTCCTCGTGTTGAATGAAGTATACAGTTGTATTGTTGTTGTACCAGTCTCGTTCTCTTTCAAGGATGGGTTTCAAATGCTGAGTTATGGAATGTCGTAGTTGATTTACTTGGTTGGCTGTTGGAGGTTGATGAAATTGGTTGGGAAATGTCAAGGTTGGGAATCTGTAGGGTATATGATTTTCTTCTATAAAGATGGGCTCTCCAAGATAGTTCCCTGTATGTCTTTCCATGAACCAGTAGCAAATATCTTGAAATGAGCAAAAGGTCTCATCTTCAAGCTTGAGGCAGGCTGTGCAGTAATGTTTCTGAAGGATTGCTGGCAGTTCCTTGCAGGGAAATGATTGCTGAATGATGGTGGTATTTAAAGTATTGATAACCCCGTATTTGTTCAATAGACCTGACATACTGTTTGACTTCCTGGCATTAAAATCGATTGGAGTAAGAAAGATAAAATATTGAGTGGACTTAAGCAATGATCCTCCAAAGCGTATTCAAAATATAGATTGGTAATGTAGATTTTTTGGGGGCTCAAGAATAGACATGTGGTTATCTTGTGGATGCACAAAGTGGGAGGGGAAACTGAAGCAGGGTTTCTCAAGATTTAGGATCACCTGATCTTTGTTCATTCAAAGTTCAATATAGGTGGTTGGAATACATTGTGGATTTACAAACAAGGGTGGGAGTTTGTTAAAGTTAAAACTGAGGGTTCTACCATGAACTCTGAGACTGTATTTACTGACGGATGGAACTTCTTTCCTTTTTGTGGTATTTTACAGTGGTGATATCATCAGCTGTTTACCACTTTTTACCAACCTATCCATTTTCTTCCCATAGTGTTCACACTTGTCTTCTTCTGTGTTCTGAGATTCTTTTTTACTTCTGAGATCATCTTTGGTTGTTTTGTCAGCCCACCCACCCAATTTCCCATCTTCTGTTGCTGTTGCTTTATATTTTATTTTATTGTTATGGTGCTTTTACATTTTAAAAGAAGAATTATCAAGTTATGTTCAGTTTTTGTTAGTCATTATTATTTCTTTTAAGTCAAAGGTGTTATTTTTCTTTGGTTACGATGTTTTTTGTCTTATGTTATTATTTCTCTTTGGCTGTGGTACTCTTTATCTTATTTTTTCTTTCTTTTTATTTTTTATTTTGTATTTTTACATTTTTTATATATAGTCATTGTGGTTTTTTAGTTATGTTTCAGCTGCCACCCCATAAGGTTCATATTTTAGTCAAGAAATTTTATACTCTAGGTTTTCTAGCCTAGGGATTAAGGGTACTCAAAGTACTATGTGGTGCCACATATCTGGCGTCACATACTTTTCAAGTCCATTCTCAACTCGTGATATCTATGTTTGGGAACTAGATGGCACATTGGTTTTGGTTTCTTAATTCATAAGTATTATTCATTTACTATACTAGTCTTTTGGTAAATCCTAGTTAAACCAAAACCATCCCTTTGTTCGAGAGGTTTTAGGTTTCTTGAGGGGGCCCCTCCGGGAGGAGGGGAGTAGGACCACCTAGGACTGTAGATGGGGGAGCTCTGAACGGCGGGCTAGGCACCATCTACGTACATGTATAGACAAAATAAAAAAGGAACCATAATGTAAAGAGAAATTAAAGGGTAAAGAAACCGTTAGCAACCTGTCTTCGTCTTACACCGAAAAACATTCCAAGACTTTCCAGGTTATAAGAACCTAGTTTTCGTTAACCTCAGTTAACCATTCCACGTTACCTAAATTGTGGTACACCGTACCCACTTAAAGAAATACCTTGTATCCTAAGGGGTAAGTGACACTCTACCTGGGTGGAGGGCGGGAGCGAGAAAGATAGTTGAGAGACAAAGTGTGAGAATGGAAAGATAGAGAGGATTTCCTGCAGAGTGCGAGATCTCTCGGGGAGGGGAGAACTTGACGCGTGGGAAAGAAGATGGAAAAGTTTTTCCGCAAGTCTGGAAAACTTTTCACTTCTTGTTTTACTACGTGTATGCGTCAAGAAAAAGGTTATCCTCTCTAGAAGGATAATTTTTCCCCGAAACAGCCCCGTGCGATGTCACTTCAATGTCATGGAAAACGGTGGTACCGTCGTGCCTTTGGGTACCACCTATCATTTCATTTTTGACAAGGAAATTACCATAACCAGTTGAAGAAAAGGACATATTGAATTATATTTGGCATATTGTAATGTCAGCAGAAAGGTCATTTTGCCTGTCAAAAACAAAATGAGAAAGTATGTGGTGCACATATGTGGCGCCACATACTTGCTTTGAGTACCCTTGGCCCAAACCTTGTGCTTGTTTGGTATTTTTATACTAAGTTTTAGTAAGCTTAATGTTACACATTTCAAAAAAAATGATCAAACGAAAAGACAAAAATACTGATTAAATAAAGGAAGTCTAAGAAAGCAAAAAAAATAAAAAAAAGATTGATCAGTAAATTCTAATAAAGTAAAAAAAGACAAAAAACACTGATTAAACTGATTAAATGAATGAATTCTAAATAACAAAAAAAGGACTGATTGAACAGTAAATTCTAATAAAGTAAAAAAAGACAAAAATACTGATTAAATGAATGAAGTCTAATAAAGTAAAAAATGATAAAAAAATGATTGAACAGTAAACTCTAATAAAGTAAAAGAAGATAAAAAAGATTATTGAACAGTAAACTCTAATAAAGTAAAAGAAGATAAAAAAATGATTGAACAGTAAACTCTAATAAAGTAAACAAAGACAAAAAAACACTGATCAAACTGATTAAACCAAAGAATTCTAAGAAAGCAAAAATAATATAAAAGGACTGATTGAACAAATATATTCTAATAAAGTAAAACTAAACACACATCAACTAATAAAAAAAATTGAAGGTTTGGGAAAACAAGCTGCTGTTCCGCACTTGATTCCAGTGCCCAATCCAAGGGTTTGAGCTTATAGTATCCAATACAAGGGTTTGAGCTAATGTAGCCAATCCAATCTTTTGGGGGTTCACATCTCAACGAGATGTGATCACCCCAGATTGGCATTGGAGTGCCATCCCATCCAAAAACTTTGGTAGGGACTTGCTCTACAATAACAATATTTGTTTGCAGCCAATACAATCATTTTGGGCGTTCACATCTCAACGAGATGTGATCACCCCAGATTGACATTGGAGCGCCGTCCCATCCAAAAACTTTGGTAGGGACTTGCTCTGCAAAATATATCATCAATGGATGCAAAGCATCAATGCATTGAGGTTCCATTTCCTACAATATTCCATAAAAAAATGAGATCATTTGGAAATCTGATTTTTGAAAAAAAAAAAAAACAGTGTTATAGACCTCAGCAACTAAGTAAAACCAAACTACCAGCTTGATGAGCCGCAGCCAATGAAGTAGGTACCAAATAAACCAAACTCGAAATCCCCAATCCAACTTGAATCGAAACCATTCCGACCATTGATTGAATCCACAAAGAAGTTGAAGGTGGTAAGTAAGATTTCTTTTTCGAAAGGTATGTAAATAATCCAATGATAGATGTCAAGGTTAGGCTTGCTAAGATTCGATGATCAAATTCAACGGTGGTTGGGTTTTCAAATATGTTTCAGATCCATCCGGGTCTTCCTTTGTTTTGATTTGTTATGGTTGCAGATATTAATTCAGATTTAGGTGGAATTAAATGATCTCCCATTAATGGAAACGTATGATAAAATAATCCTGCATCTAATCCTGCCACAAATGCACCTAAGTTAAATAATTGTTCATAAAAAAACATCAAAAAGTTAGCTTTAGTATTTTTTGTTTGAATGAATTGAGGGATGAAAAAGAATAGATCTTACCTGAGACAGCAGTAAGAAACACAAGTCCAGTGACTGAATTCACGAATCCACGAGCTCTCATAGGAACCTTAGATTCCAAAACCTTTACAGATTCAGTGCGGTAGATTGGTTTTCCAATCAGGATAGGTTTCAATCAATGAAACCTAATTGACCAGGATAGGTTTCAGTCAATGAAACCTAATTGACTGAAACCGATGGGCATCGGTCCTAGGTGCATCGGTCTGAGGACCGCTCAAAAAAATGTTTGAGGCAAGCTATTGGGTGAAACATTCCCTTGGTTGTACTGGTGGATTGATTTTTTTTTTTTTTTATTTATTTATTTTTTTGATCCGTTTTTGGCCCGCTCGGGTAACAGTTGCTCGAGTAGGGGTGGGGTGGTCTGTGCACTTGATTTATCAAACCACCATCTGAAAGACCACCGACTAACGCTCTTCTCACTCACCAACTCCAATATCATCATCCTCCGATCTTGATTTGGAAACAAATCAAGTCGTCACCAATCTAAATCTTACCTACTCACCTCATCAATTCATTCATAATGTCTTTCGTAAGTCGAATACCCTCTTTTGCTTTCTTGATTGCGTTCTATTCACTTCAAACCTGTTTGAATTATCGATGATTTATATGTAGATGTCTTGATTATAGGATATACAAACCCGATCACGAACTCACACGTCAATCCTCAAATGCTTACACAAAAGTTTGATCAATGTCGTAAATTAGCACGACAACTTCTTTTCTTGTAACTATCAACTCCGAGATCATCGAAAGCTCAGCTTGAATGAACTTTTCCCGGCCTCACAGAATGTGCACCATGTGAATTGATTGTTCCATTACAATAACTTTGCTTCACATGCTCCTTTTCCTCATAACCTTGCATGTATTGCTGGTACGTTTCTTCAATCTAATTTGATTCAATAGGGAAAAGAAAAAAAAGTTGACAAATTTGGTTTGGGTTGGATGATTTGTAGGGTTTTCGGATGAGATCATTATAATGACTTCGTTACAAAAACCACGGAAGATATTGATACGTGGATCTGATGGAAAAGATTATCCGTTTCTTTGTAAACCTAAAGATGATTTAAGAAAAGATGCTAGATTGATGGAATTTAATTTGAAGATCAATAAGCTTTTGAAAAAAGATTCTGAATCGAGAAAACGTAATTTGCGTAAGTAGTGTTGTTGTTTTGAATAAGTTTTTTTTTGTGATTTAGATAATAACCACTTGAACTTTTTCTTTCTTTTTCTTTTTTTGGATATATTATTCAAATTAATAGATATTAGAACATATGCTGTAGTCGTCTTGAATGAAGAATGTGGTTTATTAGAATGGGTTCCACATACTCTTCCACTTTGAAATATACTACACGCTTTATATTCTACTAAAGGAAACAATTTTCCTGTTTTTCTGAATCCGAGTGATTGCCTGGTAGAAGTGCCATTTACAGCCATGCAATTTTGATCATGCTACATTTTTATCATGACAATTGAAGACTTCCATGTATGCATCCTGAAATCCGACTTTCTGAGCTAGTGAAAAATCGACAACTTGTTCCACCATCATACCTTTATTCTTGTCAGACATAGTTGTATTCTGAATCTGCTGAAGCAAGACTTTGAAGTGTATCTTGTAATGTTTGGCTGAAAGGCCGCCAAGCCACAAAAACAGGACGGGTACCATTGTTTGATGGTTTTGCAATATTTTGAAGTTGTTAATAAGTACCCTAATTAGAAAAAACAGTAGGTAATGTCGGAAAGGAAGCCGCCTGTATAACTTTCGGATCTCTCACCAGGTTTGACCAAGACATCTTGCATCCATTTGTTCTGGAAAGAGATGTGGGTGTTTTGGCCACACACAGACAATGAGGGAACTATCAGGCCTTCCCTAAAAGAATTACAATACATCAGACATCAATTTGTGACATGACAGAAAATGATACAGATCTAACCTTGACCAGTCCATCATGGTAGTAAGCCACTTGTCACCGCCTTTGAGGTCTTGTGTGTTTGTCATTATTCCCGCTTCCGTTAGAAAGACATGCCGTAAGTAGCCTAGGCGATCAATGTGTCCAAAGGATGGATGAAAATATGTGACTGAGGTGATGGGTTCTTTACCCACATGCGCATTTCCAACCTGTATGATTAAGGACAATAAAATGAGGTCAATGACTGGACCACGAGGGAAAAATGGGGTAATCATTCCACATACCTTCATCCCTATGGGTCCGGTCCTTATGTCATTGATGACTCTTTCTTTGAGCTTCTCTTTTGCTATCGGATCACCCTTCTTCACCTCCGCCCACTCATGTTGATGATTCCCTTCATGACAAAGTAATCCCCAACCCTCTTCACCATCCCTATTTAACTCAGTATCTATTTGACATTTGGCGTTACATTTGACGTGCCTTTGATAGCCATTGCATGCCAATTTAGGACAACTTGTAAGTCTGGAAAATGATTTAAAACAGAGGACAGATAAATGAAATGCATAGGAATAATTTGAGACCAGTTGGAACCATTCTCACGCATCAGTAACTTCTGAAATCTTATCCGCTCCAGTCGGCGGGGATCCGGCATAATCACAATTCTCTTCTGAACACTGCATAACCCCCAAACAGTAGTATCGTCTAGTAATCCAAGTCTTTTTCTTGTTGGTTTTGGAACACATGGTGTGAGTCCAAGCAATATAGCGGAAGTTGGAGGCTGGATGCTCAGGGTCATTGACATAAACCGTTTTGCTGTTGGGATGGATGGGAAAATTTTCCTCATTGACTTCACATCATGTTGAGAGACATATCTGTCTCTCAATATTTTACTCAGGTTTCAGCAGTAGTGAAAGGTGATGGATAACTATCATAGAATCATTACATACAATCCATACACGTGCCCCACATAAGCCACCTTAGCACAATAGTATTAATTTCAATACTCAAACCTAAACCTAGAATACTCCTTTATTCAAATAATGCGCCTCCTCCACGCATCATACAGACTCTTTTCCTTACCCGTTATTCTACGGAAGGAAAAGAGTAAGTCCCTTATAATTCTCTATTGTTTCATATTCATAAACTGATGTCATTCTTATAATGTTCTGTATTTGTCTTCTTTGTTCTATTTCACCTTTCACTTACGACGACGCTAGATCTGATAGCTGAAGCTATACGTGTCGATCTTTTCTCCTTAACTTTATCCTTAACCTGAAAACCATTATAGGTTAGAGGATATCTGATCTTTCCAAACCATATTGTTTCCTTTCTATCTAACTCTAATCCTCTTATCCATTTCACTACACCAAATGTAATCTTTACCCGGCGGTAAAGATGACATTTTGTGTAGTGTTTATTGTTCTCTCTCTATGTGTTTAGGTTAGTTTGTTCAGGTAGATAGTGACAGAAGGTGATAGAGGCTCACCTTTAGAAATTGTCACGGGATATCAGGTTAGTTTGTTCAGGTAGATAGTGACAGAAGGTGATAGAGGTTCACCTTTAGAAATTGTCACGGGATATCAGGTATTCAACGGAATTGTCGCTTTTCATGGTAGCAAGAGTTGGTTTGACTCTTAGTTAATTGATTTGAAACGCAATTCTATGTCAGATAGAGAACATACCTCTGACAATATCCACCTACCAACGCCTGCATCAACCCCAGCTCCTTATTCAGAGGATACCGACGAGACATCAGTCGAATCCCAGATAGAAGACCTATCAGATAGATCCAGCTCTTCGGAAACTGTTCACTCAGCTCAAACTACCTCTCCCCACACTACACTAGATCCAGCGCAAGCTATGGCTACTAACGCACCAATTGATAATGATACTCCAGCTCAGCGCCAATCTATTAAAATAAACTCCATTTTACATAAGATCATCCTCAGTACTAAGTTAACCGCGACAAATTATGTTGCTTGGTCAGATGGAGTTCGCTTTGGGCTAATGGCAACTTTGTACAATCACTATCTTGATTTGGAGGAAGCTGGAGGAGATGGTATTGATCTACAAGTTGATTTAGCTACTAAGAAAGCATTGTTTTATTGGTTACTCGCCAGTATCGAACCGGTTCAATCTACAAGATTTATATCCATGATCTCTAAGTTCGAAAACGGGATCAAGATAACTCCTCCTTCACCATCATTGCTCTGGAAAACAATCCAGAACCATCACATTAGCAATTTGGAATCCGTTAAGTTGATGCTACGAAGTGAGATAACTGACTTAAATCAAGGTTCAACTAAAGACTTGCTGGAATATCTGGACATCTTTCATTTTAAAGTCGATGCTTACCTAGGATCTAACGGAGAAATGACTAAGGAAGAACAAGCCAGACAATTCGTCAGATCGCTCAATCAAGAATGGGCTGAAAAAGGATGTGATTTGTTGGACGCCGGTCATGTAAAATTCAGTAACCTCAAAACCGAATTGAAGAAAACATATCAAACCCGGAAAATGTTCTCTTCCAGTTGACAACAGACTAGTCGATTTTCTGAATCATCCAAAGCTGCTCAAGGTAGACGCACTGGTAGATGGCAGACCTGCAATAAGAAAAAATGCTTAGGTCAAGAATATCCCACCAAACCACACAACCAAGCCGATTGCTATCATCACCCTAACAACTCTGGGAAGATGGAAAGCTGGAAACGTCAGAAGCAAGAGAAAGGTGAATGGGTTGAGTACTCACAAGGAATCCAAGGAGGTAACCGTGGTGGTTTTTGTGGCAGAGGTCAAGGTTGCGGCAGTTCACACATGACTAGAGAATCCAGACATCAAATTGATAGCTTGAACTTTCCAAATTCTGAAGACTTAGAATCAGCTTTTGAAAACCTCAGACTAGAAGACCGAGAAGTCAGTTATTGAATTGAAATAGACGGACAATTCTCATGCTCAGCCAAACCTCAATTATCATGTGCTGGTGATCAGTGTGACTCAGTAGCTCTCATAGATACTGGAGCTTCTCACCATATGTTCCATGACCCAAGTCTATTCAAATCAGCCACCTTAATGGCAAACCATGATCCTGGAGCAAAATTAAATCTAGCCGGTGGTGGAGCTACACTCAAAATTCATTCAGTAGGAAATGTAAACTTACTAAACACCAAAGGAGAGTTGATCAAACTTAAAGATTGTTTGTATGTTCCAGAGTTATCAAGAAATCTGATTGCTGGTGGCAGGTTATTAAGAGCCGGAGCTGTTACCACCATCCTAGAAGACCCTAACTTCCGAATTGATCACGGGAAGAAAGAATTATTTATTGGAAGGTTCATTGGTGAAGGCAGTATGATGTATGTGGCCTTGAAATCATTGGTCAGTCATCATAATTCACATCAATCCTCAATTCAAAACACAACACAACTCACTATCCTAAAATTGCATTACTCGTTAGGTCACCCAAGCAAGAAATATTTGAAAAGGATGTGGAGCCTGGGGTATTTCGATGATGTACTCCCTAAATATGTTACTACCAAAGATTTTGCAATTATATCTAAGTGTCCAGTGTGTCCGTTAGCCAAAAATCATTGCCTACCATTTTCTTCAACCAGACCCCGAGCAACCAAATTTCTACAAAACGTGCACGTAGACTTGAGTGGAATAGTTAGAAGTACCTCAGTTAACCGTGAAGAATATTACATTCTCTTTAAGGATGACTACAGCAGTTATCATGTCTCCATTGGTTTGCCTGACAAAAGAGCCGATACCGTTTTTGAATGTTTTAAACGCTATATTGCTTTCGCAGAAAGACAAACCGGTGAATCATTGAAAATGTTCTCACTTGATGGAGGGGGCAAATTCATTAATGGACTCCTTTCGCCATACCTTGAAGAACTGGGATAATCACAAGAGTAACTTCGCCTCATACTCCAGAAGAAAATGGAGTTGCCAAGCGTTCAAATAGAACTATCAACACGAAAGCCAGATGCATGATGATACAATCAGGTATGCCAATTAAGTATTGGTACCATGCCATATCATACTCAGTGATGCTACAAAATCGGACTATCACTACTTCTCTTGGCCTCAACAGCACTCCTCATGATCTGTGGAAGGGAAGACCTTCAAGTTTGAAGCGTTTCCAACCGTTTGGGTGTCTGGCCTACTGTCATATCCAAAAGGAAATTCAAGGAGGAAAATTTGAACCGGTTTCTCGGCCGGGAATTCTTCTAGGAGCAACTGAAGACAATCATAATTTCATCATATTAGATCAAGAAACAAATCAAATACATACCAGTCATGATGTGACTTTTTGTCAGGGTGGCAAGTCTCTATATGAGCCTGTAAGGTCTAGACTTACTAGGTTCGAGGCCCTGACTGCTATTTCTCTGGTTACGAGGAATAGGTACGGTAGTAATACTACTAGAAGTTTCACAAGGGATATTGAGACAGGTGAGTACTCTAATCCTTCAGTGTGATTTTGGAGAGACGGCGGCTTACCGAGGTTTTTGGTTGAAGGTTGGTCACACCTAAGCCGGTTCGGATCCTACTAGACAAGTCTAGAAGGTAGCCTGTTAGGAACAGGGATCTCGTCAGCTGAGCGGTGACGGATCAAGATCAATAGACCAGGAGAATTACAACTAACTAGTAGAAGGATGGAGCCTTATCAGGCGTGAACCTTGGGTGGTTGGCTGGGACTAAGGACTGGGAAGCTAAGGCTCCAGAGGCAATAATCCAAGGGAACTAACAGGAGGACGGACAGATAAGGGGCTTCAGTATGAAGCAGAGAACTGATTAGACAAGCGAAGTGGAAAGGATTTCTTCAGGCTTCAGGATCAAGAGTGGAACTAACGAGTGATTCTAAGGATTTAGAAAACGGGTATAGTTGGGCTCTTGATAGGTGTTTTTGGGATAGAAATATCTATACGAAAGTAAGTAAATGTCGGATCAGATACCTTCTCTCCTTCCTGTCGAGAAGGTCATATTTATACCCCTTCCCTCAACTGCCAACTTGTGGTTGCTGATAGGCTACGCTTGAACTTGCTTCGTGGGCGCCCACGTTAGTTGGTTCGTTAGTAGGAACTGCTCTTGTTGCCTTATCTGTTTGAAGGATATTAGGTCGAGAGGCTCGTCGTCTCTTCTACGGCTGTTGATTTCATCTCAGCCTCCTTCCCTTTTGAGAAGGGTGATGTATGTCTTGTACTCTTGCTAGGTGCATTGGAGTCTTGTGGGTTTCACACTTGGTATTCCTTCGTGATGTGGTTCACGGTATTTGACACTAGACCTATAAGTTGTAATTCTTTTATTATGCTTTTATTGGGTTTGGGGTCTTTGAAACTAGACCTTAAGTTGTATCTATATTTTTATGTTATTTATTAATTATTGCTCAATCTCTTCTTGAAGTACCTTTGGCTCTTCCATTGGAAGGCTCGGGTGCTGACACTTTTCAATCTCTAATCTTCCCTTTCATGAAGGATGCCGAGGACAACCCCAACTGGTTGTTCATTGAAGATCTTCCGCTAGATTCTGCGGAAGATTACCAGAAGGATCAGGAAATAATCGATCTGGTAATTCAAAGAGATATCTCAGATTATGACAAAGAAAGTCTAGAGGAAAACCTCGTCCCTAGCACAGTCAAAGATCAATTGAATTCAAATGAGAACAAAGACACCTCAGTCAAACAAGAAATCAATGTTGAGGAAGAAGTCAACTCACCAGAATCATGTGAACCAGTAACCAACAACAAAAATGAACAAGCCGAACCTCAAGCACCAAGTCAAAGTCAACCAAGACATTGTAGAACTTATAACCCAACAAGGGTTATACAGAGCTGGAAGAGGATAATCTACTAATATAATGACTAGTAGAAGTTGTCTAAGGACTGCTCTTCTAAAACAACACAATCAGAAAGAGCTCTGTTGTATTGAGTACTGATAAGGCACCAGAGAAATGTATCTTCACACGTATTTAAACTTCAAAAAGCACACTTTGTATTACTATCAACACTGCTATAGTGTTATTCCCAATTGATAACTAAAGAAAATAAGCAATATCCGATTGATATTATTCCCAATAAGTCTTTATGACTATGATACTAAAGTAAATTTCTCTTTATAGCTGTAATAAAGGGCGTATTTAAGTGACCAGGTACTATTAAAATAGGTTTATGATGATAAACAAAATAATAATGGTGTAAATGATACAGAAAAAAGGGGAACAACAGTCCCAAAACCCTCTCAAAGTATATATAACAATGTACTAGAACTTTTACAATGGTCAACAGCCTCAAAACCAATCAAATCTGCCCAAAATTCCCTAAAAACCCTATGATGACGCAATATAATGATTTTGTTACTAATAAATGATGTAATTTTCACAGCAAGAAGTGATCAATGACGCAATAATATGATGTACAGCACTTCTTATGATGAATTCAGGTGATTTTTTCCTTGTAAACTAGCTGAAAACCAATTTTTGAGATTACGAATTTTTTCAGATGTGCTCCAATTTTTGATTACTAAAGTGAATCTTGTAGCCCACGTGTTATTGATCATTTCTGACACCTACATGACCTACTTCTGATGAGTGATGAGTAAGATATTGAGTTGTGAAGTTAAGGTTTTTGGTGTTACATGTGACTTGTGACTGTAAATTTGAGATTCACACCAATTCTTTATTTGCCTTATAACTTTTTACACACACCTCCGTTACTAATTATTTAAAGTTTGTACATTATGTAATCCACTCTTCTGCGTTGAATGAGCCATCTACCAACCTATTCTGACGTCATTTGACATATGTAATTAGCTGAAAACCTCCATTTTCCACGAATTTCACCCATTTTCTTCACTTTTCACAGCTACTACTCTCTTTTTCTTGCTCATGTAATATGAAATCATCATCTATAACCTTAAAAATCCCGGAAAATCCTCTTGGCAACCTTAAATTCCATCACTACCACTATTACACATCCAAACTACACGTGTACCTCTTGTTTACCAACTTCGAAAAAGTACCTTTTCCCTAATAACTTTTATTTCTGCTTATCAACCTTGAAGATTAAAATTGTCATAGTATAATATAATGTTGTTCTTTCATATTCTAACCTCATAATACCCATAACTTTATTTTTACTAACCTAAAAACCATTTTCCAACTTTTATACCTATATTTTCGAATTTTTCTTATATTTTTCTTTCTTTCTTTTTGTAATAAGTTTGTAAGTAAACTATAATGATCTTATGTATAATGTGAAATAAAAATGATGTAATGTTGACCTAATGACCAATACATAAGCCTACAAGAGCTTCAATTGATCAAAAACCTCCATTTTGAATTTTCTTTCCTGCTGAATCCTGCTAATAAACTGGTAAACTGGTAATTGTGAATTTTTTAATTGATCCCATAAATTGATCACCACATCCTCCTCTTCTTCCAAACTGCCCCCAGTTTATCAATTAAACAATTCAATTAAACACTCCAAATCACTAAATTCTTGAATTTTCCTTTATTTCCAATATGGTCAACACTGTTTCACC